ATATCACGTGATATGTCACGTGACTAGACCTGGACCTTCGGGGCACATAGGACTGTTAGTACTTCGTGTACCGGTTCGTTCCTTTCTGAACAGCCTAGCGCTGATGTCATGTGATGTCCTAGTCACGTGAGGGTTGAAAGACGTGAAAATCTGTGACAATGACCAAATCTCAATGAGTTCTGGGTGTCCTTCCAAATAGTGCCAGTATTCTTCTAGTGCCCGAATAATAGCAAGCATCTCCTTGTCGTAAATCTCGTAGTTCCACTCATGTTCGTTGAGTGACTTAGAGTAGTATGCGACTGGATGCCATAGCTTGTCCTCTCCGAGTTGTTCAGGTACTGCACCAGTTGCGTAGTCTGAAGAGTCTGTCTCTAGATGGTATGGTGCAGTGTCGTTGTAGAATTATAAGATCAGGGCTGAGGTGAACGTCATTTTGAGTGCGCTGAAGGCTTGGTCTTGCTCTTCCTTCCATTGCCAGGGCACGTCCTTACAGGTGAGAAGCATTAAGGGCTGTGTGAGTCTTGCAAAGTCCTTTATAAATCGCCTGTAGAAATTCGCGAATTCCAAAAAGGCCTGTACTTGTTTAACCTTAGTAGGTGCAGGCCAGCCAAGTACACATTCGACTTTAGCTGGGTCCATCTGTACCGAGTTCTTGCTGATAATCATGCCAAGATACTCGATTGAGGACTGTTCAAAGAAGCACTTCTCCGGTTTGGTGTTTAAGTCATTGTCCTGAAGGCGCTGTAGAACTGCTTTTACTAGTCGTCGGTGTTCTTCGAGATCATCCGTAAATATGAGGATGTCATCTAGGTAGACTACCACCTTTCCAGTGTGAATCAAGTCTTCGAGGACTGTATTCATCATCGTTTGGAAAGTGCTAGGAGCGTTGCAGAAACTGAAGTACATTACAGTGGGTTCGAAGAGGCCACGATGTGTGATGAAGGCGGCTTTTTCTTCGTCTCCCTCCCTAATTCTTATGTTGTTGAACCCCCATCTCAGGTCAAGCTTCATAAATATACTAGCATGTGAAAGTCTGTTGATGAGGTCCGAAATGCATGGGATTGGGAACTTGTTCTTCTTTGTGACTGCGTTGAGGTTCCTGTAATCTTGTACGAGCCTCAGTGATCCGTCTTTCTTTTTGACGAAGAAGACAGGTGCTGCAGTTGGACTCCTTGATCTCTTGATGTAATCTTTGGCCAACTCTTGGTCTATCCACGTGTCGAGCGAATTTCTTTCTTGTAGGTTCATAGGATATAACTTTGCCAGGCAGGGTAACGATGCCTCTGGAACAAGTTCGATTGGATGATTGTAGGGCTTTCTTGTGGGCATTCGTTCTGACTGCTTCTTGGAGAACACATCGCCATACTCATGGAAGTGTTTGGGAACATAGGCTGACTAGTAGTTTTTGCCCTGTTCTCCTTTGTGTGGCACTCTATCCTGATTCCTCTTGGTGTCAAGACCCATAATGAGTGATGCTACAGCCTGTGCGTCAGGGTCTTCTGATAATGACACCCATCTGATGAAGCTGTCCATGTTGTTCCAGTTGTCACCTAACTCCTGGGAACTGATGAACTCCATCAGGTCTTCGATGTGGGGGATGTTTGTGTCTTCCAGGTCTTCATCCTGGACTGCTACCTGTGAGGGTGCGCATCTTTGTGAGCACCGGGTGAAATCGACTGTGAGTTTTCCCCAATCCACTTTGGGGTTATGCTCCTTGAGGAAACTCATGCCTAGTATAACGTCTTTGTGTCCTATATCGGTAACCAAAAGGCTTTTTCTGCTTGTGTGGTTTCCGATAGTTATACCTAGAAGAACCCTTTTCTTAATGGTTCCACCCTTGTTGTGAGATGCATCTGCGTTATAAACCCTGATCTCCTTCTCAAGTGAGATCGTAGCGAGATTCAATTGATTAACCAGCCGTGGGTTGATGTAGCAAGAATATGCTCCTGAGTCGAGGAGCGCCTCAGTCTGGACTTTCCTTACTCCTTGTTTGAGGTGAACAGGTAAATCGATCGCGTGTTTTGACGAACCAGTAGATGCGATGTATAAAAAACTTGATACTGGTACATGCGAGAGCGAGTAGGTACTATTACAGTGTCTATGGAAACTCTGGCCAGACCTCAGAGAACCCGCCAAAGAAAATCCTCATCATCTTCTACCTCCATGATCCTAGCCGCTTCGATGGCTGGTTCCGGTTCTGCCTCTTTTTCCTTTCCCTTCACGTCATAGCTGGTGATGAAAGCACAAACTGCTTCCTCCCTCGCCTTGCTGTCATCGGAGCTGGTAGATGATGCCATTGTCAATATTGCCCTGGTTGCTTGACCTCACTTTGGCATTTCAAATTTGTCCTTGTACTTGGGGTCTGGGCATCGTTGTTTAAAAATGAAGGTGTGTTTCCCGCATCGTATGCACAGCTTCTTTTCCAGCCATCCTTCTTGCTCCTTGGTGAGTGTGGATACTCAATCCATGACCATTGCATTAGGGTCTTTTGGGGCTGGCCCTGAACTTGGACTCCAGTTGAAGACATAGGTTGAGGTATTCCGGCCATGTGATGGGGTCAGAAATTCCTAGACTGTCTCGTGTGACCATTGCCTGGCGTACGTCCTTGCTCCAATGTTCAGCAATGTAACTGATGAGTGCAGTGCACCCTAAGTTGGTCTTAGTGGCCCATTGACGAAACTGTTCTGCAAAGGATACCATTGTGGGATACGTTTTGCTGCAGATCTCCTTCAAATGCTGCTGAGCATCCTTGTCTGGGTCGAGGGTCCTGTAGTTCACTTTGAGAATGTCGATGAAGTCTTCCCATATGCCGAGTGCCTGCCGTGTCGCTGCCCTAGTTATGTATTCGGACATATATGTGAACGCTCCACCTTCCAAGTGCAGCAGGGCTGTGATAATCTTGTGCTCGTCATCATTGATCTCATTCCACCGCATCCATATATCGAGTTGTTGGAGCCAATCCTTCAGACTTCCTTTGTCCGAGTAGTGTGGAGGTTTGGCAATTTTGATGCGGGGCTTGTGAGATTGGACCATACTGGATGTTTGACCTTGCATCACAGTGACGTCGCTTGCTTTGAGCGAAGCTAGCTCATGCCACAGTTTGGTGTTTGCGGACTTGATCTCCATCATTTCCTTGCTGATGTCAAGCATTGCTGCCTGGGTCCCTGAAAGCTCATCGTTTAGAACTGTCATATGCGCATCTTGCGCGAGGATTCTATCCTTGAGCTTCCCAATTTCTGTTTGGAGGACTGCCTCCTTGAGTTGGTGCTCGCTTTTGTTGTTTTGGATCAGTGATTCGAAGGCTTTCTTGTGCTCATACATTTTGTTTCCGAGCACATTGTAGACCTTGGCAACATCAGTGCTGACCGTAAGCTTCATTGCGATAATGACCCATTCGCGGATGTGGTCCCGGACTTCTCCAGGAGCGGACTGCCTGAGTGCATCTTCCAGATGCTCAAACTGGTGTCCATCAAACTCCCAGATGGGGGGAACATAGGCGGATAAGAGTGATGGTGTTGGGGACGCAGGTCCTCCAACTTGTGATGCAGAGTCCTGGGGTCCTAGCCCCGGCTCAGGTGAATTGCGCTGCAAGGCGCATGGGGTACTGCCATCATGTGCTGACTCGACATTTGTGTGAAGAATGTCATCCATTCGCTGCCTGAACGTGGATGCGTATGCATGATCAGCTCCTTCCATAGTGATGTAAAGACATATAAACTAATACAAAAAGTGCAAGTATCTCTTCTTTGAGATAAAAACCAGAGCCTTGGCGATTTCCTGCAGCCTTTCCTCCTTTCCTATCTGCTTGAAACTGATTCCTCCTATCTCCAAACAGACCGTATTGATAACCTGCTTCTCGATGAATGTATATGTGTGTGTCCCCATATGTAGGTCGACGCAGACTTTATCGAGTTCTGTGGTGAGGCTAAAAATGGGTCCTTGGTGCTCGTCCTTAAGACAATATGAGAACACTCCTAGTATAGGCTGGAGCCTGAAGCGGGTAGTGTCTACCTGCTTTGTAAGGGTCTCGATGTGAATTGTTGGCCTGACTCTGGAAGGGAGTGGGCAGATGGGACGTGCAATGGTGTTTGTCTTTATGAAGTTGGGTAGGGGACGAGTTGGAATGGGAGCAATGATGGGGGGAGGTACTGCGTTAGAAGTGATGAGCTCTGGAGGTGGTGCTGGCTTGCGACCACCTGTAGTAAGATGTCCCTTTCTGGGCTTGTAGCGTTCGAGCGGTGGGGTGCGATGGCGTGGCTTGCAGATGATTCTGCGCTTTATGATGTGTGTGGTATCTACAACCCTAGCTGCTGCTCGCTGCCTGTCTGTGGATGATGAGCCTAGTGATGTGAGAGTGAGGAGCCTTCCACACTCCTTGTTGATTTCCTGATGCTTGTAGTGAGCGTCGAGGTCAATCCTGGGGGTGGCCTTGTGCTTTGGTGCCTTGGGCAGCTCAGAGTCTTGCTGAGGCTCATGGTGGGTAGAGATCAGATTAGAATGTTTGTCAAAAAAGCTGCGCGCTACGGCTGAGACTGCTTGCACTGAAAATATGTGGCCACTTGTGTTAGACACTAAGCAGGGGTGCAGAAAACTGTCAGATTGTTTCTAATGTCATGGCAACACCGGACAAGAGATCAAAAAGACTAAAAAGAGACAGTCACGTGGAACGTGCCACCCTGATCCCCCTGATCCCAAAGAATTCCCCTGAACCCTTATGTGGTGCAAGAGCCTAAGACTTACTAGTCGAGGTGGCTGATGCAGGAAAGGATAAGAGATATATGATGGAGCTGGTGAGCTCAGTAGGGTGCTACAGTAGTAGACGAGGAGAAACAATCTGAAGTTTTATCCTCTACATGGCTGGTCTTATATACACGTACAGCAGGCTATCATACCTAAGCTACCTATCTACGGGTATAAGCTAATGGCTGTACATAAAACAATAGGATGTTCAAAAGTAGAACAATAAGTGGGAAGATCGATGGTGGCTGCAGTAATGCATGTGCACATCGTGCCTATCTTGGTTTCCCTTTTGTTCTCCAGTGTAAACATCATGCCTATCTAGGCTTCTGGCTAAACTAATAGGAAGTGGAAGGCTGATGCATAACAATAGTCCTTGTTCCCTTTGTTTCCAAATGGGTGCCTCTATTGTATCCTGGAATAGACAGGTCCAACCGTATCATCCGCGGGTCTGGACCATAACATGTGATGTGGACTATCACCTGATCTCTACGCGTCGCATCTGTGGCTGAGTGGCATGAGATATTGGTGAAGCACGTGATCTGTGGTGTGAGAAAAGTCACGTGTGGACTTTGTGGCAAAAATCTGTGACACTGTCAAATCTTGATTCATCTATAATATCGATCCCCTGGCTTTTCAATGAGTTCAAAAAAGTGGATAATGTTCAGGAAATGGAAATCATCTATTGTATCATTGGTAAGCAAGTGGATGGACATAACTACAAATATTGTGGTGCTTATTGTCCCACAGGCTGTGTGAATTTGATGTAGGAAAGCACTCTATACTTTAGTGAGAGAGTCTTCGACATCTCCTGCTGTCCAAACGAACGAGTCAGCAAGTGAAGTATCCATCTCAACAAAAATTACACCATTTGAGAAGATTGATGAAAGCAATAAGGAGGTAGACAAGAAACTGGAAACAGCACCTGCACATGCTTCCCTGACTAGAGACTTTCTGCATCACATTGTTGAAAGCACAGAAACCAGTGAGACCTTGAGTGAAATGATCTTCAAAGTCCATTTACCCCTACCTCAGAAGTTGCCATTTGGATCATGCGACTCTCACAGACAGTACCATGAATCTTGGGTGGTGCCCAGATTCTACAGCGATAGCGCAGGCTGGAATGGTCGAGTATTGCTGGTAATCTTGCATATGATGATCATTGCCATCCCACTGGTGGTGCCATTCACTATCATTGAGATCATGAGCAGATTCCACATGAGCAGAGAATCTACTGGAACACAGCTGGTCTGCATAATGCTGTGGTATGCATTCCAGGAATTGGCGAGCTACGTGGACATGATTTACTGGACTATCGGCGGAGGTGAGTTGATAATTCGGAGGATGCATTTTGCATTGATATGTGGACCTGTCAGGATTGCAGGCTACATAGTAGTCATTCAGATGATATTGCAGGATCATAAATCCTGTCAATGTCGTATTTGAGTGTACAAGCTATAAAGAGCGCGCCTTCATCATTTGTTCACTTCTTCATGTTACATATACATCTCTGCTAGTTGTTTCAACAAAGGTGACCTTTATTTATGGTTTACATGTACTCACCACAGAAAAGAGAACTTCAATGCCCATTGTTTTATTGGAGAAATGTCCACCATCTAGTTTATTCGAGAGGATACAGATGCCTTTATGGACATATTTTCGATTTGTTGGCTCCAAATAGTGCTGCAATCACAGTCAATGGATATAATATAATTCCACGTCAAGGAGATAGAGCAGCACTGAGTATTCTTGCCACAGATTAATACACATTTGACATGCAGCGAACTTAATGTTATGGTTCACTATTCCTCATTCACAAGGCTGCTGCGATGACTGTGAGATGTTCATCTATGCCACACCTGGTTCTGTCTGCTTACTGGAAAGCAAGACAGGTAGACAACATGGCTACGTTGTATAATGCAGGTTATGACTCCGCATGACTGCTGCATATGACATTGACTGCTCTTGATGGAATTGCAATCACATAAGCAGAGTAAAAAGGTAAAGCCAACATCATGAAGCGCATAAAATCATGTAAAGATATGACATGGGCTGCTGGTAGGAGCATTGATCGAGTGAGGAAGTGTTATGAAGCGTTCCCTCGAGAACCTTCCTAACCACTTGCCCTTACAGCACGTGCTAGCTCCTCATTGAATGTTATAGTAGGGTCTTAATCCTAGTAGTGTGTAGCAGTGAGATTTGGTCACTCTACTCTTGCTAGGTCGCTGAGAGGCTACTGCACGTTCACTCGCAGGTTACTAGGTTTGCTCTCTGATCTCTAGACAAGCGCACGAGCTTGAATACCCCTTGAGAGCGAGTGCAGATCCCAACTGATCCATTAAGACCTGAAGTATTGAGAAAGCTTCTTGTCAAAAAGGGTTCTAGTGAAAGAACGGGTCTTGGAAACAAGGAGGAAGAGGTTAGTCCTTTCTCCGTGATTCGTGCCCCTTATATAGTCACAGACCTATAGTCTGGGGTACTAGTACAGGGGGTCCCACTATCCTAAAGATAGATGAAACACACCGGAGCTTAGCTGCTGTGAGCCAGGTAATTGGCGAGCTAAGAAAAGCATAGGTAAAATAGAAAACCTCAAACACGAAGGTCTTGTTCACATGACCTGAGTGAGTAAATCATGAAAACGAAAAACTGCTAATCCTAGAATATGTCCACAAGACCTATGAACCATAAATAGTAAGTGTCACGTGACCATGAAGTGCTGAAACTGTAACAGGAAGGGGAAGATGTAGCAACGAGAGCGAGCCTCAGAAGTGAAGAGCCCCAAACACAGGACAGCAAGGAAAATTAGAAAGAATGCAGTCAGAGATTGCGAGTAAAGACCATCAGTGTCCTGAACGTGGTAGGACTTTCAGCATTCTTGAAGCAGGGTACCGTGTTCTGTGAGATAGTTTGGGGGATATGCCATCGCTAATCAGCACAGCACAACAGCAAAGGCAGAACCAGCTAAGCAGCAAGCATGCATATGCTGCATGCATACGTAACATGTTAGCCGTGTGCACTATGCATGATGGGAATCAGGACATCTTGCTCAGATATGGAGCTGGTCTGTTTGGAAAGCTCTACATTGTCTGCAATGCAACAACAATGGATACGAAGCAGCAAGATGGCATTGGATGACAGAAGGTGCGAGAGCCTTAAATTTGGAGAGTTACCGTACAAGCATCAGAAGCAGTGGAATTGATCAGAAGAGAATCTGCATCCGGAGCAAGTACTTGGCAAAGTCCGCACAGACGAGAGTCAGAATTAATGTCTGACTGGGCTTCTATTATTGTCCGAGGTGAAAATTTACGAGGGCTGTAAGACACGTAGGAATGAGTGACTCAGCCTCGATGTATGATGCGAGTGCTATATCAATACCTGTAAGACATGTAGGAACGAGTGACTATAGTGTATGAGTAAAAGGTATGTAAGGAATCCAGTAGGTACTTACCTCAGCCTCGATGTATGATGCGAGTGCTGAGGTAGCAGGAAAAGATCGAGCGTGCTTGTGGCTATGTGATTACATAAGTGAATGCATGCGGAACGTCCAAGTCCATGTCCCACTGGACATAAAGTCTGTATGACTTCCAACATGCCCACTCAGTGGGAATGTGGACCTACTTTTAGAACACTAACTGAATCCTTCATGCTGCTTGTGCTGTGCGTGACCAATGGTCTTTGAAACATACTGTGGCTTGCACGGATTGGATTGTAAGTGCCTGTGGCGTAGGGTTTCTTGAGTCCATCTGGGCAGATAGAACCTGGGCTGCTGTACACTGTCTGCATCATGTGACTTCACCTGGATCATGCCTGATTGCGGTGCATGGACGGTCGTACTCGTCGTTGAGTGTGGCCTTGACGAACAGGGTAAGGTCTTCCATTGTCACTAATTTTCGTTGATCCACATCTGATGTTGATTCTTCGAGGTTCTTCGTCAACTGAGTGACTTGTAGCGCCTATGTGAGTCTTGTCACGTTCGACTGTGCCCACTTGATGCGTGTTCTTTCCTTCTCTCTCTGGCTGTTCCCTTTCGCTTCTCACTCTCTCTTGGACTTCTGGGGTCTCTATTCTCAGCTTTGTCTTGGCTCTAAAGTCTCCTAGGACTGTCTTGGGCTTGTATGCACTAACAGAAAGCCACAGGTCATCATCGCAAATTGGTGCTCAGCACGCGCATGTCGATTGATGGACATGGCTCTTTGGAGCCTCTGGAGTGGGAGTAGGAGTGGCCAAGCATTGAGTCCGAGTGTGAGAAAGGGATGTTGTGACCTTTGAGATGGCAGGTGAGTCCTCCTTCTCATTTTTGCACTGGGGTGAAGGAGCAGGTGAGAGGTTTAACATGGTCTGGCGTGGCAACGCAGCATGATGGCTGGACGAGGATACTGTGTTGCCCTCATCGTCTTGGTCATTGCTGCTGTCATTGTCGCTATTGCCAGTGGATGTGCTACTGAGTGCATCAAGTGGTGGTGGCATTGAGTCGTGTTCGGCGGCTATGATCGCGATATGAGCCACTCATCGTTCGCGAGGACTGTGAGGAGTGCCAGCAGATGAGTTTGGTGGTTTGCCCTGCACTTCATGTTGAAGTTCAGGGTCGATCACCGTGTGTGTCTGCTGTGTATGGACACCCTCATCGGAGGTGGCATTTTGCGCATCGTGTGTGCGCCCACTCATTCGGTGAGAGGCAGCATGTGCCTTCACATTTTGAGCATGCCTGAGGGTGACGCACTTGACCGACTTGAGGTCGAGTCTGATGTCATGGGCCATACATCCATGCATGTGGATGTGTGTGGCTGAGGGCTTGATGCCCGTCTGGATGGGCTTACCGGCCTTTATGTCGTGAGTCGTGTTGCTCATGGTGTTCGTGTTGCTGACCACGCCTTGATGGACCATTTGTAGGGTGAGTTCGGTATCCATGTTGCTTGATCCTTGTCATCCCATTCGGCCTGCTTGTCAGGTTCAGAGTCTGAAGGTTGAGCTTCCTTACCCTGGGTGATGTTCCAGAGCTTTCTGATGCATAGCATCGTCTTGAGATGGAACTTCCATTGCTGATAGTTTGCTCTATCATCCTCAAGGAATGGTATGTCATAGAGGCGGTTTGCTCTATCATCCTCGAGGAATGGTATGTCATAGAGGCGGTTTGCTCTATCATCCTCGAGGAATGGTATGTCATAGAGGCGGTTTGAGCTGAGAGAGAGTTTGACAGATTTGGACATGGCGTGAGAGGATGTGGAGTGAGAAGGTGTAGACTGTGGTGCAGGAGGTGCTGGTGTGGGTGCTGGTCGAAGAGAGAAGATTTAAAGGAGTGTGAGCACAGTGGAAGCTTGAATGAATGGACAGGTTAGTGTGTAGCCGTAGGGCTCATAACCTATTGTCCGAGGTGAAAATTTACGAGGGCTATAAGACACGTAGGAACGAGTGACTCAGCCTCGATGTATGATGCGAGTGCTATATAAATACCTGTAAGACACATAGGAATGAGTGACTACAGTGTATGAGTAAAAGGTATGTAAGGAATCCAGTAGGTACTTACCTCAGCCTCGATGTATGATGCGAGTGCTGAGGAGCAGGAAAAGATCGAGCGCGCTTGTGGCTACGTGATTACATAAGTGAATGCATGCTTTTTTTTTGAGTACAATTTATATCCCACCCCGAAGGGGCGGTCGGAGGTGTGTAAATACATATCGTGTAACAACGGAGGACCAGACGCATCTGGGGGCGAAGAAGCTTAACGTACGGGCACCAGGTCCCCACGGACGCAACAAAGCAGGCATATAGTAGAAGGGCACGAAGCCCGGTAAGCTGTGTCATGGACCACGCAAGCGCTGATAATCTAACAAAATGCATATGCCTGACCAAACTCGAAAACTGCGCCGCGGTCAGTCCGTTGACTCATTAGAAACACTGTGTAAGGGGAATCGAACCCCCAAGATACTCCCACCAAACAGACCTCGTCCACCGCAGAGGCAAAGTGGCGTGCGGGGCATGGTAACCAATTGAACATTGAGGAGAGCCAGCTGGACCAGCGTTAGTAAATTGCACAACGGTGGACCAAAGGGCAGATTGAGTTGACAGCCAAAGAGATGTCAGGGTGGAGGAAAGAAACTGAGGGAATCGACAGAATGAGTGGGTGACGCGCGGTGAACCCTACCATGTAGCAGGCTGGATAAAAACTGATCCCCTGCGTTTAAGTGTTACTACGCCAGCATGTTAACTCCATATTCGGTGCGGGCATGCCTTGTGGTGATGGAGGGGAGTGGACGGGGGGTGCTAGAAAAGAAAAAGGAAGGAGCGTGGTGGAAATGGAGTCACACTCACCCCTACATGGCAACATCAGAGTCACCAGCAGCAGGCAGCACGGGGCGCTCGAGAGAAGAGGTTGGAGTGGGGCCGGCGTTCCGAAAAGCGGTGCGTTTGGGGCATTGGTCGGAGTCGGCGTGGTGGAGACCATGACAGTTCATGCAGCGTGCATGAGCGCAGGGGTCTGAGGCAGCGCGATTCTCCTTCACGCACACCGCGCACCGAGCGCGGTGCACCAATTCAAGATGGTGGCCGGCGCACACACAGCACCGGGGTGGCTTCATGCAGCCTGCAACGAGGTGGCCATAACTCCAGCACCTCGTACACTGTCAGAGGCGTGGCTTCTCACACCAGCATGATGTGGTGATGGAAGTACCGAAAGCGAAGAGGGGGGTCTGAAGGAGGGCGGTGAGGATGGAGCCATCCAGGTCTTCGAATCCGAGGACTACGGACGAGCGAGCACTGTCAATTTGCTCAGGTTGACATGCCCAGCGCGGAGGTTGGGTGATGCGGAGGTGCGCAAGCGTGGGGTTCTTCACGAGCTCGGTCGACAGAGTTGACGTTGAGTGGACAGCGTCACCTGGAGCTGTCCTGGTGCTGACATTGCCTATGAGGATCGGAGACCACTTGACGTCCCTGGAGACGTGTTGTGTCAGGTTGAGCTTGAGGGCAGCACGAAGGGTCAGGATGTGTTCGTCAATGCGGTGGTATGAGGTGGTAGTGGGAAAAGCCAGGACGATGTTGCCAGAGGAGCTCGGGTAGGCCGCGACTGTAGCCAGTCCTCCAGCAGTCGGTATCGCAGCCAGTGCTGCATTAACCACACTGACAAGTTGGGCGGGGGGCGTCTGAAGCAGGTGTGCCAGCGCGGAGCCAGCAAAGTGAACCACATACCTCAAGGGCTCCGGAGCGCACTTGGGCCCATGAGCTTTCGGGGGAGCAGGTGGGTTCGGAGTCGTCACAGGAGGAGCCGGACGAGAAGGGGCAGCTGCCGCCGCGTACGAGCGCTTCTTGGGAGTGCCACGTACCTGAGGTTTGGGAGGAGGGGGAGCCTTCGCCTGTGATGAGGGGGTCACAGTCACCATTCGAGTCTCCAAGGCATCGAGCCTGGCATCGAGGGCGGAGCGAAGGTCCTGGAGGGCCACTGTGAGGTCGGGTCCAGTGGTCGGAGGGGGGGATCGGACAGGGGTGGGTTCTGGTCGAGGGGTTGAGAGGGAGGGGCGGGGTTCGTACTTGTCCGAGACAGCCCTAAGACGCTGTTTATGGAGATCGTCCAGGTCAGTGTTGTTTCGGTTCAATAGCTCGGCATGGCCGACGACTCGAAACACTGCCTGATGAATCGCAAAGGCAGCATCGACCATAGAGTCGATGTCAGTGAGCAGCTCAGAGGGTCCCTGAGCCTGCCATTGCCGTAAGGCCTGTCGGACAGCTAATGTAAGTTTGGGGGTGTAGTCTGTGTGCACGAGTTCCGTTGATGAGGAGGACGAGTCCTCGGCGCTAGCGGAAGGAGGTGGTGGTTGCGGTTCAAGATCCATGAAGCGAATGCGCGCGGAACGTCTAAGTCCGTGTCCCACTGGACATAAAGTCTGTATGACTTCCAACATCTATAACGGACGATTTATCGCCAGGTGGAGCACCGGAACAGTCTTGGCCAAGCCAGCAGTCAACGTGGCACGACGTGCGAGCGCTCGAGTCTACGCCCAACTTTACTGCAGCTCAACAGACGGTGAGCAAAGCGTATGCGGAGCCAGCCTTGTCGCAACCAAGATACGGGAAAACCCACGGGCTGGCAAGGAGAGCGCGACGATTGATCGCAGGCAACGTTTTCGGATCGTGGGTTCGGATTGCTCAAGAACTGGTGCGACCGGGCTGCAACTGATGTGGAGACCCGCGCTGGGAAGAGAAGGTCCGGTGGGAGGCGGCTCCGGCGTTCTGTGAAGAATCACAGCGCAGGCCGAGTCATCAACGCATCATTCAGGTTCGCTGCCTCGCGGGTGGACCGAAACACTGATGCCCATCAATGCAGCAAAGGACTCCTCGGTCTCGTCGCCACCAGCGCAGAACAAGAGCACCAGCAGACCAAGTCTACAACGGGTCAAAGCCCGAGGGCTGGCGTGAGAGGGCCACGTTGGCGCAATCACGACCGGTCCAAAAATAGCGGGGCGGACGATCCATCTCCATCTCTCACGTCTTCCCGATGCGACAATTATAGTTCCCCTCCCACAATATTAACCCCCCGCCCTTCCTTCTCCCTCGGCAACGTCTCTCCTTCCACCACCATCGACGAGCGCAAACCACACCAGCCTCCGATGCCCTCCCCAACGACATTCTGCACGCCCCCGGCCTCCCCGCTGTGCCCCGTCTCCCCGTGCCTCCACTCTTCCTCATTGCCCTCGACGCCGTCCTCCCCGCGCTCGCGCTTGCAGAGCCCTCTCCCGGGCATGCACCTCTCCTTCCCCGGCGCCGCCCGCCTCCTCGTCAAGCTCCGCCGCCTACGACACCCCCGCCCGTGCATCCACCTCCAGAGCTCCTCGGGCCCTGGCCCACAAACGGACTGGAGCCTCGCGGACGAGCTGGCCGACGAGCCGAACGATGGGAGCGTGAGCGAAGGAGGGCATGGAATGGGTAAGGCAGCGGTGAGCAGGCGGTGCATACCGCTCATTAAGGAATACACGTTCGTGTGCCGTGACGGCGTCGACACGGCACGGCTGCTTAGGCTCGTGAGGGCGGAGTTGCTGGAGCAAGCGAAAACGCTGGGTGGGAGTGTCCTTGTCGACGAGCAGTGCGTGCCTCTATCTCTCATCAGCTAAACAAGTACTGACCTCGAGTCCCGCTCAGATGGTCTTGCACGATCTGCGGTCCCCGAGACGACGGACGGACGTTCAAAGTGCACGTATGTACTCTCTTCCCCCCTATCTCTCCCCTCTTCTTCCTCATAGCCTGACTCGGTCCGTAGATCCGCTACGCCGCCTCCGCCGCCCGCTCTGCACGCCCCGACCCACAGTCGCCCGTCGCGATCGAGCACGCGAAGGGCATCCCCGGGCTCATGACCATCCTCGACCGCGAGGAGTGTTTCTGAGCGACACTCGCGACGCATTCGCGACGTGCACAGGACCTGCTGTACTCGGCGTGCACGTGTATTCTACTCGTGCGCCCTGTAGCCTCCTGTGCGGGCCACCCTGCTCGTCGCTGTCCAAAACCTGCCTCGCACAAAGCCGGCTCCTCACGCGCACGCGTTCGACGCTCCTTCTCTGCGGCTGACACCGCTGACCAGCAGACACGCAGACACGCTCGTTTGACTCTCTCGCCTTCACCAGGGACAGTGTAGTTGGTTGTACATGGACAACGGACCCGGACTGACGCTAAGGTGCAAGGAACTTGTAGGATACCTAGCTTGTGTAATGTTGTAACTCATCATGCGACTGTACTGGCCCGCCCGACGGGTTAATTTATTTTCAGTGACGTGGCGTAGCGTAGTAGTAATGTGTATGTAGATGCTTGTATTCGTGACGTGCATAGGGTTCATGGGTAGCTTTGCGTGAAGCGTTGATGCTTCCTGCGTGCACTTGCCAACAGCAAAGAAAATATCAATTAGTTTTGCAGGAAAAGTGTTATAATTGAACCAAATAATGTAGGCTTTTCTCATTAAGTGAATAATTTTGAAATAACAAAATCAGAAAAGGCCCATTTTCACCTTTCCTGAACCTTAGTTTGTGGCACTTCTAATGTCACAGATCTCTTCGGACAGATGGCACAAAATGGTCCTGGTATGACCTCTGCTGCCGTACTCATCTCTATCAGGCTGGAGGAGGGAAAATAGTGGGTTCATGAGCCTCTGGCATTCACCGGGGGCCCTCACATATCATTTGTCTGAGGTTTCGAGTACATCAGCTAGATGAATACAAAGTACTCGAGTAGACAAGGTCCTAGCCAAAAGAAGTGAGAACAAAGGCAGTAGAGAAAAAAAGCCAGAAAAAGAAAACAGATGAGGAAAGAGTGAGAGGAGGGTGGATGAGAGATAAATGGATCAACATCAGCAAAAGGTGCATTAGTATATAAATGGCAGTGAGACTTTATATACCACACAGGAGTTGAGATTGTAAATAAATATAGAAATATGCATATATGTGCTTTTATACTCCCATAGGTCCTATGAGAGATTTCAAATGACTGGCAGTCTTGTGTGCTCTTCTGAAGCTCCTGTAAGCAATTAAATATATATATATTCATAGATAAATCTGTTTCAGTCTGGAAAGTCATTCACAACTGCTTATAGCTTGCAAGGGGAACAACATATTTTTTCTACACTGCACGAGATGAATACATTGAGTATTACTGCACCATAGACACCCAATTCAAGCAGGCTGTGAAAAAATGGCTCGAGATCAGGTCTGCAAAATGGAGACCAAGATGAATATATATACCTCAACACATTAGAGTGCAGCATAGCCCCATAAACTGACTCATTGTCGACAACTTCTCCATCTTCAGGACCCAAGTGCCCCTTCTCACTAGCACAAATATTGTCGCCCACATTTGGCTCACACTGCTCTTCACCATCGTCATTCTTTAATGTGCCATCTGAGGCATAAGTGACATCTTGCTCTTCATATGCCACATTTTCTTTTTCTTCAGTGTCAGCTGCACTTTTCTCTTCATCTCTGCCATCGCTTCCTGGCTTGTTTTCATGGTCCTCCACTGTTGGCTCCTGTGGAGGGTCATCAACCATCTTACATGAGGTGTTCAAACAGGTCAGCAGCATCTCCCCTGTGAATACCTGTGTCAGCACCATGGTGTCTGATGCCACCACTAAAGTAGCATATGAACATGTTTCGATTAACGAAACTGCACCATGGCTAAATCAGTTTATCAGATAACAATATCACTAAATACTTACATATTCACATAGTAATAAACATAGTCAGTGTCCTGTTTCTTAGGCTGTCACATGGCTGAACATGGCAGGAGGTCCATGATATAGCCATGAATGAATGCAGGGATTAGATGTGCAGTGTGCAACACCTCATCTGGGTTCACAAATGCAAAGGCATGTGAATCTTCATCAGGAACAAATCCAACGCAGGGTTGCCATAGTGTATTTAAACTCACCATTGACATGCCTTCTTCTCATCCAAACCAGTGAATCCACAAGACATTGATGCACTGAGGTGCAGATGACTTTGACCAGATGCCAGAATGCTTTACCATCACATGGAACATCTCGACCACTCGACCATATCAGTACAGATGCAACTCAGCATCAACATCATTTTCATGAGAAAGCAACATGATGTCAGCATGAGAGCATGGATTGATTGATTCTTGAGCTCGTCGCATGTCATAGGTCATATAGTTGATGCATACAACTTTGGGAAAATAAATCTGATTTTTGACAATGCGCATCATGTCAAGGTCATCTGGGGTGAACTCGGTCTCATCACCATCATACACCATTATTCTAAGCTGCATAAGCAAGTGGGTCTTGAGGTTGAGCAAAATGTTCTGAAGTAAAATCAGGTTAAATTCAGCTAGTGCAAGGGTGGCATACCTTAAAAGCAGGATCACTTTGTTGGTCTCTGTCACAGTGCATATACACACCAACCCAACAAGGGAAGGTGGTACCTGCAATAAAGCTAGGCTGCACTTGTGATCTGCACAATAAAATCCATAATATAAAAGCCTGCCACAAGGGCTAGGTTGAGGATGGCGTGCAGCAGCATACAATCAGTATAAAGGACAAAGCCCATGCATGGCCTTGCACAAATGGTGGAAGGGGGAGAGCTGACCTGCTGGCTGCATACAATAGTATAATGAATCTGGGGATACTCAGACTCACGTAGATCATATATATACATGTTGGTCAGGATCTGTCACAGCACCGCTGGATGAGAAAACAAAGAGACTAAAAAGGAACAGTCACGTAGAACGTGCCGCCCTGATCCTCCTGCTCCCTGTAATCTCCCTGACCCCTGAAGTGGCTGGTGAGCCTATAACTTACTTGGTGAAGCAAGCAGTTAGATGGGTGAGAGAGATATATGTGGGAGCTGCTAGGCTCAGTGGATGCTACGGTAGTAGACAAGGACAAACAATCTGAAGTTTTGTCCTCTACAGGCTGGTCTTATATACACGTACAGCAGGCTATCTTATCTAAGCTACCTATCTACGGGTATAAGCAAATGGCTGTACATGAAACAATGGGATGTCCGGAAGTAGAACAATAAGTGGGAAGATTGATGGCTGCCGCAGCAACGTGTGTGAACATCGTGCCTATCTTGGTTTCTCTTTTGTTCTTCGGTGTGAACATCATGCCTATCTGGGCTTCTGCCTAAACTAATAGGAAGTGGAAGGCTGATGCATAACAATAGTCCTTGTTCCCTTTGTTCCCAGATGGGTGCCTCTATTGTATCCTGGAATAGACAGGTCCGACCGTACCATCCACGGGTCTGGACCATAACATGTGATGTGGACTATCACCTGATCTTTACACGTCGTGTCTGTGGCTGAGTGGCATGAGATTTTTGTGAAACACATGATCTGTGGCATGAGAAAAGTCACGTGCAGACATTGTGGCAAAAATCTGTGACACTACCCCCCCTCTCAAGGCTCATTGTCCCGAGGAGCCAAAACCTTTGTTTCCCCTTCTTGTTGCATGCAACAGTTGGTAGCTCCTGGAGGGAAGCCCTTCTGCATAATATTCAAAGATTATTTGGGCTACCCTGTCTCCTGGCTTAACTGAAAATACAAAATTCATTGTGTTGATCAGTACGACCTTAAGTTCTCCGGTGTAACCAGGGTCAATGACTCCTGCGCCCACATCAATTCCTCATGCAGCCAGACTGCTGCGTGGAGCTATTCATGTGTAGGTGTGTTTGGGAGGGTCGATTGCAACTTCTGTTCCTACCACAGCTCGTGAATGCGGAGGGATTTTGTACGTTTCTGCCGCATAAATATCCCATCCTGCTGCTTCATTTGGGGATTTTTCCAGTGATTTGGGGAGATCCATCATTTTATGATATAGGAAGAACTCGTCCGGGTGGTCAGACATGTTGATTCTGTGTGTGGATATCGGTGCAACTTCGTATGAGGATAACTCGAATTGTTTTCCACCAAAAGTGACAACCCTGATTGGTGCTTTGGCTGCATCGGGGTGTTGTTGATGGAATTCTTGAAGAAGCTCGTCGACATGTATGAGATTTGTTCAGGGTTCTCATGTATCGTCGGAATGGTCATAGCCTTTTCATTTGACGAGGTATTGGACCCTTCCCCTCACGACCTTCGAGTCTAGTATTTCTTCAACTTCGAATTCTTTCTCCTTCGATTTCTATAGCTGGGGGCTTTGGAAGTTCACGGTGTGTGACCGTGTCTTGATGGTACATGATCAACTTGCTAGCATGGAAGATCGGGTGGACCTTCATTTGCTTGGGCAGTTCCAGTTTGAACATGACTGGATCTAGCTTCTGAAGTACTTTGTAAGGTCCGAAGTTTTGTGTGCCTAGCTTCACGGATTTGACTTTTACTCTGAGATCTTTTCCCTTGAGTAGTACTAGGTCTCCGACTTTGAATGGGACTTCTCCCTTTTTCTCATCAAAGTACCATTTCATCCGTGAAGCTGAAACTTCCAATGCTGCCTTTGCCTGTTCTTGTGCCTCAGATTGGTGGGCGAATAGATGTTTCAATGAGGGGTGACATATTGATTCGTGTACATCTGGTGCCATTTTTGGGTGTCGGCCATATTCGACGAAGAATGGGGAAAGTGCGGTGGACTCATGGGTCTGGTTGTTGTATGAGAATTCTGCCGTTGGCAGATAGTAGACCCAATCATTTTGTCTGTGGTTGCAGTACATGTGGAGGTACTGTTTCAACATCTGGTTAACCCTTTCCATCTGACCGTCTGTTTGGGGATGGTATGCTGTAGACATTGTTGACTTTATACTGAGCTTCTGGCAAAACTCCTGGAATAGTTTGCTCGCAAACCGAGTACCTCTGTCTGAGATAATCTGGCACGGCAATCCGTGGAGTTTGAAGACTTTGTTATAGAATATGTTAGTGACTTGCGACGATGTGACTGTGTCGTCCATTGCATAAAAGTGCACTCGCTTTGTGAGTCTGTCTACGACAACAAGTATTGCCATCTTCTTTTCTCCCCTAAAGTCCATGGCTGGAGGAAGTTGTGTGATGAGATCCACTGTGATGATCTCTCATGGTCCTCCTGGTACCTCATTTGGTTGTAGTAGTCTGTATGGTTTTTCCCTTGAGTACTTGTTGCGTTGACAACTGTCGCAACCTTGGACGTATTGCTTAACCATTACAGACATTCCTGGCCACCAATAATTCTGAGTAATAAGCTCCAATGTTTTGAACCTGCCTGGGTACCCAGCTGGTAAAGTGTCATGGTGTAGCTTTATTAGGTCGAGGCGTAGCTGTTGATCTTTGGGGACATAAACCTTTCCACGATGGAGCAGCAGTCCGTGCTCAAAGTTCCATTCTGTGAGGTTTTTCCCAAATTCGTGCTGTCCTGTAGTCAAAAGCGCACGATAATCTTTGGTCATCATGTCGTCTGTGAGTGCCTTCTTGATCCTTTCCAGTGGTTGAGCATCATCAACTTCAGATGCATGAGTGGGTCGAATCGCATTGATAGCAAAAAATTCAGGTTTTAACAGCATTTGGTTCGAATTGTCGCTGTCTACCCCCCTCTCATGGTCTGGCCTCCTGGACAGAGGATCGGCATGTAGCATTGTCTTTCCAGGTCAGTGACTGAGTACAAAATTAAAGCGTGTGAGGAATAATGACCAGCACGCTTGGCGCCAGGATAATTTCTGTGCCTGACAGAAGTATGTAAGGTTGAGATGGTCGGACCAAATCTCAATGGGTTCTGGGTGTCCTTCTAAGTAGTGCCGGTATTCTTCTAGTGCCCCAATAATTGCAAGCATTTTCTTGTCGTAAATCTTGTAGTTTCTCTCGTGTTCGTTGAGTGACTTTGAGTAGTATGTGACTGGATGCCATAGCTTGTCTTCTCCTAATTGTTCGAGTACTGCGCCAGTTGCATAGTCTGGAGAATTGGTCTCCAGACAATATGGTGCAGTGTTGTTGGGGAGTTGTAGAATTGGGGCTGAGGTGAATGCCGTTTTGAGTGCACTGAAGGCTTGGTCTTGCTCTTCCTTCCATTGCCAGGGCACGTCCTTACAGGTGAGAAGTGTTAAAGATCGTGCGAGTTTTGCAAAGTCCTTTATAAATCGCCTGTAGAAATTCGCAAATCCTAAAAAGGCCTGTACTTGTTTGACCTTTGTCGGTGCGGGCCAGCCAAGTACACCTTCAACTTTAGCAGGGTCCATTTGTACTGAGTTCTTGCTGATGATCATGCCAAGATACTCGATTGAGGACTGTTCAAAGAAGCATTTCTCCGGTTTGGCATATAAGTCATTGTCCCGGAGGCACTGTAGAACTGCTTTCACTAGTCGTCAGTGTTCTTCGAGATTGTCGGTAAAAATGAAGATGTCATCTAAGTAGACCACCACCTTTCCAGTACGAATTAAGTCTTCAAGGACTGTATTCATCATTGTTTGAAAGGTGCTGGGAGCGTTGCAGAAACTGAAGTACATTACGGTGGGTTCGAAGAGGCCACGATGTGTGATGAAGGCAGCTTTTTCTTCATCTCCCTCCCTAATCCTTATGTTGTTGAACCCCCATCTCAGATCAAGCTTCATAAATATGCTAGCATGTGAGAGTCTGTCGATGAGGTCCGAAATATGTGGGATTGAGAACTTGTTCTTCTTTGTTACTGCGTTGAGGTTCCTATAGTCTTGTACTAGCCTCAGTGATCCGTCCTTCTTTTTGATGAAAAAGACAGGTGCTGCTGTTGGACTCCTTGATCTTTTAATATATCCTTTGGTCAACTCTTGGTCTATCCACGTGTCGAGTGAATTTCTTTCCTGTAGGTTCATAGGATATAACTTTGCCGAGCATGGTAATGATGTCTCTGGAACAAGTTCGATTGGATGATCGTAGAGCTTTCTTGTGGGCATTCGTTCTAACTGCTTCTTGGAGAACACATCGCCATACTCGTGGAAGTGTTTGGGGACATAGGCTGACCAGTAGTCTTTGTCCTGTTCTCCATTTTGTGGTGCTCTATCCTGATTCCTCTTGGTGTCAAGACCCATAATGAGTGATGCTACGGCTTGTGCATCAGGGTCTTCTGATAATGACACCCATCTAATGAAGCTGTCCATGTCATTCCAGTTGTCATTTAACTCCTGGGAACTGACAAACTCCATCAGGTCTTCGATGTGGGGGATGTTTGTGTCTTCCAGGTCCTTCTCCTGGACTGCTACCTGTGAGGCCGTGCATCTCTGTGGGCATTAGGTGAAATTGACTGTGAGTTTTTCCCAATCTACCTCTGGGTTGTGCTCCTTGAGGAAACTTATGCCTAGTATAACGTCCTTATGGCCTATGTCGGTAACCAGCAGACTTTGTCTGCTTGTGTGGTTTCTGATAGTTATACTTAGAAGAACCCTTTTCTTAATGGTTCCACCCTTGTTGTGAGATGCATCTGCATTATAAATCCAGATCTCCTTCTCAAGTGAGATCATAGCGAGATTCAACTGATCAACCAGCTGTGGGTTAATGTAGCAAGAATATGCTCCTGAATCAAGGAGTGCCTCAGTCTGGACTTCCCTTACTCCCTGTTTGAGGTGAACAGGTAAATTGATCGCATGTTTTGACGAACCAGTTGATGCAATGTATAAAAAATCTGATATTGGTACATGCGAGATCAAGTAGGTACTGTTACAATGTCTATGGGAACTCTGGCCAGACCTCAGAGAACCTGCCAAAGAAAATCCTCATCACTTTCCACTTCCGTGATCCTTGCTGCTTCAACAGCTGGTTTCGGTTCTGCCTCTTTATCCTTCATGTCGTAGCTGGCGAGAAATGCACGGACTGCTTCCTCCCTTGCCTTGCTGTCATCGGAGCTGCTTGATGTCGCTGGTGTGGTTATTGCCCTTGTTGCCTGTCCTCGCTTTGGCATTTCGAATTTGCCTTTATACTTGGGGTCTGGGCAGTGCTGTTTAAATATGAAGGGGTGTTTCCTGCATCATACGCACAGCTTCTTCTCCAGCCATCCTTCCTGCTCCTTAGTAAGTGTGGATACTAGATCCACAACCATTGCGTTAGGATCTTTCAGGGCTCGTGGCATTTGTGATGTTGACGTTGTTCTGCGCTGTCCTGCCTTGTCAGCTCTGAACTTTGACTTGAGTTGCAGACAGAGGTCGAGATACTCTGGCCATGTGGTTGGATCAGCGATTTCTAGGCTGTCTTGTATCACCATTGCTTGATGCACATCCTTATCGCAGTGTTCAGCAATATAACTGATGAGCGCTGTGTGCCCCAAGTTGGTTTTGGTGGCCCATTGACGGAACTTTACTGTGAACAAGACCATGGTAGGGTAGGTCTTTGTGCAGATCTCCTTCAGATGTTGTTGTGCATCCTTGTCCAGGTCGAGTGTCCTGTAGTTGACTTTGAGAATGTCGATGAAGTCTTCCCACATGCTGAGTGATTGCCATGCTGCTGCCCTGGTTGTGTATTCTGACGTGTAGGTGAACGTGCCACCTTCCAAGTGCAGCAGGGCCATGATGATTTTATGCTCGTTGTCGTTGATCTCATTTCACCGCATCCATATACTGAGTTGTTGGAGCAAGTCCTCCAAACTTCCTTTGCCCGAGTAGTGTGGAGGTTCAGCAATTTTGACGCAGGGTTTGCTACTTTGACCAGATGTGTGACCTTGCATCGCTGTGATGCCACTTGCTTTCAGTGAAGCTAACTCATGGCGCAACTTGGTGCTGTTGCTGCCTAGTTCCATCATCTCTTTTTCCATATCTGGCATGGCTCCTTGTGTCCCTGTGAGCTCATCATTGAGAACCGTTATATGCACGTCTTGCACTTGGATCTTGTCGTTGAGCTTTCCAATTTATATCTAGAGGACTGCCTCCTTTAGTCGGTGCTCACTTCAGTTCAACTGGATGACTGCGTTGAAGGCTCTTTTGTGCTCGTATAGTTTGTTATCGAGCATGTTGTAGACCTTTGCGACTTCCGTGTGGACCATAAGCTTCATCGTGACTATGACCCATTTACGGATGTGATCCAGGACTTCTCTGAGAGCAGATTGCCTGAGGACATCTTCTAGATGCTCAAATTGCTGTCCATCAAACTCCCAGGTGAGAGGAACATAGGCGGGTAAGAGTGATGGTGTCGGGGATGCGGGTCCTCTGACTTGGGATGCAGAGTCCTGGGGTCCTAGCCCAGGCTCAGGTAAATTTTGTTGTGAGGCACATGGAGTGCTTCCATCATGTGCCATTTCAATGTTGAGATGGAGTATGTCTTCCATTCTTTGTCTGAATGTAGACATGTATGCTCGATCTGCTCCTTCCATTGTGACGTAAAGATATGTAAACTAGTACAAGAAATTCAAGTATCACTTCTTCACGATAAAGACCAGAGCCTTTGCAATTTCCTGCAATCTTTCTTCCTTCCCTATCTGCTTGAAGCTAATGCTTCCTATCTCCAGGCAGACCGTGTTGATGACCTGCTTCTCGATGAATGTGTAGATGCACGTCCCAGTGTGTAGGTCAGTGCAGACTTTGTCGAGTTCTATCATGAGGCTGTAGATGGGTCCCTGGTGCTCGTCCTTGAGGTGATACGTGAATGCTTCTTATATGGGCTGGAGCCTGAAGCGGGTAGCGTCTACCTGCTTGGTGAGCGTCTCGATGTGTATAGTTGGCCTGACTTTAGATGAAAGTGGGTGAATGGGATGTGCGATGGTGTTGGTCTTTATAAAGTTTGGAAGGGGCCAAACTGGAATGGGAGCGATGACAGAGGAGGAATTGCGTTGGATGTGATGAGCTCTGGTGGTGGTGCTGGTTTGTGACTATTGGTAATAAGATGTCCTTTTCTAGGCTTGTAGCATTCGAGTGGTGGGGTGCGCTCATAAGGGTATCGAATGATGCCTCATTTGATGATGTGAGTGATATCGACAACCCTAGCTGCTGCACGCTGCCTGTCTGTGGACGATGCGCCTAGTGACATGAGTGTGAGGAGCCTTCCGCACTCCTTGTTGGCTTCCTAATGCTTGTAGTAAGGGTCAAGGTTGATCCTGGGGGTGGCCTTGCACTTTGATGCCTTGGGCAGCTCAGAGTTTTGCTGAGGCTCATGCCAGGTATAGATCAGGTTAGAATGTATGTCAAAAAAGCTGCACGCTATGGCTGAAACTGCTTGCGCTGAAAATATGTGGTCGCTTGTGTTAGACACTAAGCAGGGGTGCAGAAAATTGTCAGATTGTTTCTAATGTCACAGCACCACTGGACAAGAGATCAAAAAGACTAAAAAGGAACGGTCACGTGGAATGTGCTGCCCTGATCCCCCTGATCCCTATAATCCTCCTGAATCCTTATGTGGCTTGCGAGCCTAAGACTTACTTGGTTGTCGAGCAAGCAGTTGAAAGGTGAGAGAGATATAAGATGGAGCTGCTAGGCTCAGTGGATGCTACAGTGGTAGACGAGGAGAAACAATCTGAAGTTTCGTCCTCTACATGGCTGGTCTTATATACACGTACAGGAGCCTGATTACATGCCCTTCATCGTACCACTACTACAAAATAGATGATTGGTTATTTGTGTATCTAGGCAACTAAACTATACGTGGAACAATAAGTGAAAAGATCTATCCGTAAGTAGAACAATAGGTGGGAAGATCGATGTTCTCTCATAGCAACGGTGAGACGATCCATCCTATTGTTGTAATGGCTATACCTTGAGCTGATTGCCTAGACAATCCCTAACAATAGTCCTTGTTCTCTTTGTTTCCAAATGGGTGCCTTTATTGTATCCTGAGATAGACAAGTCCAACCGTATCATCTGCGGGTCTGGACCATAACATGTGATGTGGACTATCACCGAATCTCTACGTGTCATGTCTGTGGCTGAGTGGCATGAGATATTGGTGAAGCACGTGATCCATGGCATGAGAAAAGTTACGTGCAGACTTTGTGGCAAAAATCTGCGACAAGCCCCCTTTTACAGGTCGCATATTACCATGTGCCTAAATTTTGCATAGGTCATGAGCGTGGCTAGCACCTTGCAGCCAGGGCCTTGTCTCTTCAGGTATGAGCCACAATGCACTATGACAGTGAGCAAGGCAAGCTAAATAACTTAGAAGTGTGCACCTGGTGGCTAAAATTTTGTATTGACACCTTGCAGATATAAAATGGTTAACAAGGCATCTCTTATGGTCACTTAAGCCAAGCCAAGGCATAACATTGGCTGACAGTGTCATGCAAAGAGAATTAAAAAAAATAGCACAGGAACAAGTAGCATAGAGATGGGACATGCCCAGAGAACTTAGAACTTTGATGTCCTACTTTCAGTCAGTCACCTGAGAAATGAACTCTCGACTCATATCTTACATCTGTCATTGTTTGTGAATCTATTGTCTGTCTGGCTCACAGCTTTTTCTTTTGAGTGATTTTTTGATATTTGGCATAATTTATAGGACAGAAAGGTGACAGCTATCCAGTTCTTCCATGCCTTATTTACATATGCAATCAGCATAGTCATGATCATACAGTCATTGACACAGTCATGCACCCTATATACTAGATTTGATTTACTGCTCAGAATGACCTGTACACTTAAACACTCTCATGTATGCTCCATATTTGTTTATAACCTCTATCACGGGTTAAATGTACATTCACCAGAATACAGTTTCATCATTTTTTCATTTATTACTAAGATCCATGACAGTGTGATAGCCAACAATTGGATGAAGTGAGAACACAAACACTATCAACTTTTAATGACAACTGCAAGGTAGGGTGAAAAGATATTAACATAAGCACACAAGATGGGAATAAGATGATTGATGTATCTCTGTGACAGCATCACCACCACTTTGAACAATTATCTGTCACAGTTTTATCTGACAAGTCTTAAACTTATAGTATCTAGGTTGCATTTTATCATTCATTTTCATCATTCAGTCATATGATCTATGAACTCAAGCTAAGCTTTCCCTGACATAAGTCACATGATCTTAAGGATCTTGAACATATATAATCATGTGACTATTAGTCTCCTCAACCTTGACGCAAAGATGTATAGTCAGTGACCTGAGCAGCAGATGATGCAATTACCATGTTATCATGTTGCATGCTTTAAGAGAGCTCTGTCTTCACTGGTTATATTTAGGCACTCAAACATGACATTTAGGGACAAGTTATATGACAATGTAGCTAGTCAGTAGACAGTGTGTGACTTGCTTAGTAAGTACTATACAGTAGACTACATTGGATGTATATAAGAACCAGGATGAATGAGAGAGAGACCTCAGTCTTATTCTCCTTCGTCCATCTTAACAACCCTAGAGTCTAACAAGCTCAATACTATGTGCTTTACAATCATTACTAGTGCATAGCACCAGATTAATCCTTGACCTCAACAGTGAGTATCAAGTCATCATTCCAGCTTATTAATGCATGAAGAGAACTGCTGACCTCAGAATACACAAAGGAGCAACCAAAAAAGGGTGACTGACACCAGCTGCAGGGATGAGCTGGTGCAACTTATTGTCGCCGTGAAAATCTTTGCCATGAGGTCATCATAAGCTTACATTAATGTCACCATTTACAAAAATGTCACCTTCATCACTGAGCAGTGGTGAAACCAGTGCAGCATCCATGGCAGAATGCAGTGAGGCTAGGTATGGCTATAAAGTTGATTAATTCTCTTTGAAGGAACCTTCTATCAAGAATGATCAGTCAAGATCAATAAGGATCTGACAGTGTGATGTTCTTTCTGCTTTTCAGGCTCATACTCACACAAGGATGATGGCATGTGCATGCTTCCATAGCAGATGAATCTCTGACATTGGGATACATAGTTTGTCAGATTTGATATAATGCTTTCTTTTTTTATCTGAACCTTTTTTTTGACAGTGGAGCTGTCCTGATCCTGCAACATGCAGCTGATGTTGTTGTCACAGTTTTTGGCATCATAAGCTCTCACGTGACTTTTGCATTATGTGCAATTTCATATCACATGATTATTCTCATCACATGATGCCAAATTATCTTATCAATGGTTCAGACCTATGGATTACAAGATCAAACTAATCTATCTTAGAAAAACAAGTGAGGCACCTGAAAGAGAACAAGAAAACAACTTATAAAAGTCTAGCCCAGTATTATGATGATCAGGTCATATTTGAACCACCCTGGTTCACATGGGCTTTCGTACTAGTTCATGTACAGTATAATATTCCTTTTATCTCTAGAGCCAGCCAATCATAGAATTTAGAGTAGTAGTATAATATAATTAGATAAGGCATCCATATATGTATGTATATCAGGTCAGCCTGAAAAGTGAGAGACCTCAGATTATTTCTCCTCATCCATTTATCTTGTGTAGCACCCAGTGCCTTCCCTACTACTGATCTAATAAGCCTCAAGCAATACTATCATCTTTCATAGCCAATCTTTGCTGCCAGTAAGTCCTTTAGGGATCACCATCTTTTATGTCTTTCAGGTTCTGTTACGATTTCTCATATCGATATCTAGACATGTGACAGCACTTTGTCACATGCATGCATATCTCCTATTTATGGTGTGTAGGTCTCAAGAACTATTATCTAGAGTTAGAGTTTTTGCTTTTTAGCATACTCATTCTAGAACTACAGCAATCGAGATCTTAGTGTACAAATATAGTTTTTTTTCTCGTCTCTGTTTCTTTTTTAGAATAAATGATTGTGTTTCAGGTTCGAGTTCTCTCACCATACACAGCCTCCTGTCTTTAGGTAGCCAGGACCCTATATACTAGTACCTCAAACTACAAGTCCTTGTCTATATAAGGGGACAGAATAGGCAATGAAAGATAAACCTCTTTCTCCTGTTCCTCAACCTGCTTCTCTTTGATCATTGCAGGTCTAAGAAGTCTAAGGAACTATCTTGATACTACTATAGCCTTGCAAGATATAGTAGAGATCTGCACTCACTCTCAAGAGCCTATCAGAGCTCGTGCACTTGACTAGAGTCAGAACTGTGAGCCTAGTAATCTGCAGGTGAATGTGCAATGGCAGCTTCAGCAAAGACCTAGCAAGGGTAGAGTGAAGAGCCTCACTGCTACTATCATCACTAGGTCAAGGCAACACTATAATCATTACCATGGTGCACATGTTGTGGCACGTGATCATTGGAGACTTGATATACTTTGTTTACCTCGTCTGTTGTCTACTACACTGTGAACTAGTATGTGTAAGAAAGCACACATGATTTGTGAAGGTTCACAGAGAACACTTCATAACAGGTTCATTATCTTTCAATGCTAGCATCAGGTCCAGGTGACTAATTATAGCATGTGACACCTCTTTTGATTGTCTTTTAGTGTTATTGGCTAGTGCTGTGACAGTTGTGAAAGCAGAATGTGACAATCTGTATCTGCTCAAAAAATTTCATACATATGTAAGTAGCTTCAAATATTCACTGTTACTTGATACCTCACTCCCTCTTACAATACAATGTTTTACCCCATAAGTCAAATGCTCTGCTTTCAGGCCCACATGAGTAAAGGATATGCACACTGGGGGCATGGACCCATGAATCTGCGCAAAACATTTTGGACACATTGTAATAACAGTCCAAATAATTATGCAATGTTTTTAGCACATACATTTTGAAATCATTTTGAATGTTTTAAAATGTTTTAAGCATCAACATTGAGGCACAATTTTGATAGCATTCATAAAGATGCAAGAATGAGACCCCAATGCTGCAGATGACAGTGTTTAAGCATTATTATGATAGCATCCTAAATGTTTCTTGGGAGAAAATCTCAAATGATCCCTGTGAGTGACCATGATGTTTTTAAGATGTTCCCAATGGATTTATCGTGATTGCAAATTGTTATTACTATATATAGTAATGTGCTAACCATATTAGGACACCTCTGATGTGTTTAAGATGATTCCAGCTGGCACGTGATGGAAAGCATTCTGGTATTCATCGTAACATTATGTTGGTCACATTTGTAATGTCCCCTTAAGGTTCATTTAAAATGATACCAATATATTATATGAATGCTGGCCAGAGTGAAATTGTTGTCTCATCCTGGTGTCTTTCTGAATAATATCACTATTATTCCACAATGAGCTCACTCGAAATAATTCAAATCATTCCATGATGTTTACATCAGTAACATTAGAGTTACACTGTGACTGTTATCGTGATGTGTCCAAAATGTTCCCGGCAGAATCATGGGCTCATGCCCCTGGTGTGCAATGAATTGAAAATAACAGGTTATTAAAAAAAAACAAGAAAAGCAATGACAGAAGTGGGATTCGAACCCACGCCCTGAGGTGTCAGACGATTCACCTCAGTTCAAAATTGTCATTGGTGGTCTCTTTCTCGGTACAATCAACGCAACTGCGAATTCCAGTGATCGAAATATATCACAGCTATGCTCAATCCTGGCTTCGAAAGCCAGGAGGTGCTCTATTCCATTCAATGCCACTTCGAACGCCAGACAACATAAGTATCTGCACCTTCTATGATTGCTCTCTCCCTCCCCTCATCCATTATGCCTGCCCTTTTGTGTGCCAATCCATTTAGACCAGAGGCTGTCGACGTCGACGTCATTGAGCATGCTGATGAAGGTCTTGACTATGCATTTGATACCCTCTCTATTGTCGCTCCATTTTGGGGTTCACCAGTCTTTACCGCTACCGGCTCGGCTTCAGGCTATCTGCCCTGGTCTCAATCCAACACTGGCATACTATCTCAGATGCACGAACGACATGTCATTCATGCCATACTGTCTCACATTCTTCCATACCGTCTCTGCAAGCTCTCCTTTCGCAATCTCTCTGTCAAGTTGGCTGGCAACACTTCTCTTTTATGGATTCTTCACCACGAGTACACTGCCATAGAACACCTCGACCTTGGCTGCTGTGCACAGCTTGGTGACTGGTTTGATCTACTTGCTGATGGAGCATTCCCTCGCCTTTCTACCCTTATCTTGTCAGATGCCGCATACTCTGCAGAAACACTTGCTCGCGCTCTTCTCCACCGCTACCATAACCATTCCGACATTCTACCTTTCACCCTCATAACCTCTGGCGATCGTGGTGCAGTAGCCAAACTGTCTGCTGGATGCTTTGTCTACTCTGGTGAGGATGATGCATAGGAGTGCATAAGGTGCATTCTAGAGGTCTGCACCATTGTTCACATCAGCAACAAGAATCCACCACTCCCTGAAAGTGCTGCAGATGGCCAGTCTAGCGATGACAGCAGTGAGGGTAGTAGCAGCGAGGACGACAGCGAGGGCAGCGAGGGCAGTGAGAATGACAGCGAGGGCAGCAAGGATGACAGTGAGGATATACTAGCTGGTAGCGAGGAGGAAGACGGCGACAGCAAGGACATGTTAGCTGGTAGCGAGGAAGATGGCGAGGACATGTTAGCTGGTAGCGAGGAAGACGGCGAGGACATGTTAGCTGGTAGCGAGGAAGACGGCGAGGACATGTTAGCTGGTAGCGAGGAAGACGGCGAGGACATGTTAGCTGGTAGCGAGGAAGACGGCGAGGACATGTTAGCTGGTAGCGAGGAAGACGGCGAGGACATGTTAGCTGGTAGCGAGGAAGACGGCGAGGACATGTTAGCTGGTAGCGAGGAAGACGGCGAGGACATGTTAGCTGATAGCCAGGAAGACGGCGCCGGCGAGGACAATGTAGTCGACGAGTTGATATGAGGTTTCGCCATTCCATTCCCGGGTCAAACTTGCAATGTAGCAATTGTATTATATTGAAGCCATTTGATCAAATCTGGTGTGATGCCGATCCTGGGTCACGTGCATAACCAAACGGCACTGCTTGATTAGCATTAACTTTTCACATCATCAATCCATCTTCTCTCGTCGAAACAGATTTCTCTTCATTCATATATGTTCAGAGAAGGAGTTGTTATATTTTCAAGCATTTAGCAATAGCCAGTCCCACCCTACAATTGCTACTTGCTTGCGCGCCTCAGATGCCCTGGTCACATGTGTCACATGTGTCACAATACTGTGACTGCATGTCTGGCATTACCTTTATTCTCCTCCACCAGCTCATCTTGTCTCTCAAAGAAACAGATTTCTTTTCATTCATATATACTCAAAGAAAGAGTGTCATATATTTCTACACATTTAGCGATCACCGATATCACCCTACAATTGCTTCTTGCTTGCGTGTCAAAAATGGGCGTCTCATATGCATCACGACTGCCAGCATTAAACTCCATCAACTCCTTGCTCTTCCATTCTGCAATAAAGTATAAGTAAAAAAAAGTACAGGCCATGCGGAACATGTCTCTCTGATAGTCGTATCTTTTGAGTAACAAGAATATAGTGAAAACAGCCACATGAAGTTGAGTAACAAGAATATAGATAGTGAAAACAGCCACATGAAGTTAAGACGACAGAGAGAGAGTCAAGTACTGTCTAGAACGACAAGCAGCAATGAAAGAGAGTCAAGTACGTGCTTTAGAAATGTCTAGACATATTTCTATGCACTGGGCAGGCCTCCAGTCTCTGCAGCAGTATTGTTGGTGCCAGATGTCATCAAGGATGTAGTGTCGAATGCAGGCCACTGATCGTACTGGGGAAGGATCATCATCGGAGTCTGCGCATATTGTTTGGCCATTGCCCCATAGTCATCACCAGCAAACATATTGCCACTGCTGTGTGAGGATACGCCAGGGATTTCTCCTAGAGTGAGCTGTCCATCATCCGCCATCAAATAGCCAGTCATTCCAGTCGCTCGGGTACCCGTAAGCTGAGTCGGTAGAGAAACAGAGTTCAAAGTAGGTAGGCCTGTGCTGGTGGATGCCATGTTGATCAATTGAAAGTCATAGTCTAGCTTGGGCAGCACGACTGGAGGAATCTGCATCAGTTCATTGCTGACGTATCGCACTGCTAGAGGCTGAAAGTTTTGCGGCAATTGACCTGCAGCCTTCATCTCGGCCACCAGTCGCACATTCTGTAGATGAAGATGTTCAGCTTGCTGCTCCAGAACTGCAACCTTGGCAATGCTCAGATAGCGACTGTGAGCGAGTCGTTCCTGATCTTCTGCATGCTTCAAACTAGCCATTTGAGTGTCGTACAGGTTGCGCTCTTTTTTCAAGCGCAGTTCTTCCAGTGCGATCACGTTCTATGCCCCAAACTTACATATTAGTATTTGCAATGCCTTGCATATAATCATAGCACCTACCGCAGCATTTTTGCGCTTTTGTATTGCTATGTCAGCAGCACTACTCGCTACTGGCTCAACATTGTCAGAATTTCCAGTCTTTTGTCGCGTCCTGCAGGTATAGGTTTGTCGTGTTTTGCCCTTGCCTTTGTCTTGGTCCTCACTGTCTTCCTTGTTACTCTATAGCCATCAGTGATGAAGTGATACTAGCGTCAGCAGTCACGAGCATTACCTCATCTTCATTCTTATTATCTGCAACCTATCAATGGTCATTAGCATCATTGCATGCTTCACATCCGCTTGCTCATACCTTTGATCTCTTGGGCTATGTAAGTTGAGCAAGGTCACTATATATGCGCAGTTATGATCAATGCTCGATCACGTACTGCATTGCCCTCTACCCCCTTTCCAGACACCTTTCTCTTCTTTCCTGATACTATCTCTGCTGCAGCTGCATTCAACTATATAATACCGATGTATCTTTAGCATTTTAAATAACACATGAATAGCATATACTCACTGGTGCCACTTGTGTCGTGTCAGTACTACCTGGATTTTGAACAGAATTGGCAGACATTATAGTGCTACCACCATCACGACCACGAGGCAGGAATGTGAGAGGATTGCCAGTTATAGATGACATATCAAGTGGAGTTAGCTTTCAAGTGAAAAAGCAGAACGCAAAGTCAGACCCACGCAAGCGACCACAGCCCACGCGACCATGGCCTACATATGCACGTGACCGCGTCGCATATGGTCAGGCCCGCATCGCATATTGACTGCGTTCTACTCCCTTCATAATCATGCTGCTGGAGGAGTTACTCAATGAGCTCTCTGAGCTGCATGATGTTATATTAGAAGTTGGTTCACCATCACCATCTGCCACACCACAATCTCGTATTCTTCGCACGCAAATTCATAGCAAGATCAATGATCTTCATATTACTATATATAGTAATGTGCTAACCATATTAGGACACCTCTGATGTGTTTAAGATGATTCTAGCTGGCACGTGATGAAAAGCATTCTGGTACTCATCATAACATCACGTTGGTCACATTTGTAATGTCTCCTTAAGATTCGTTTAAAATGATATCAATATATTATATGAATGCTGGCCAGAGCAAAATTGTTGTCTCATCCTGGTGTCTTTCTGAATAATATCACTATTATTCCACAATGAGCTCACTCGAAATAATTCAAATCATTCCGTGATGTTTACATCAGTAGCATTAGAGTTACACTGTGACTGTTATCATGATGTGTCCAAAATGTTCCCGGCAGAACCATCGGCTCATGCCCCCGGTGTGCAATGAATTGAAAATAACAAGTTATTAAAACAATACAGCAAAAGCAATGACGGAAGTGGGATTTGAACCCACGCCCTTTCGGACTAGATTAGTTGAAACCTGATTCTAGCGCCTTAGACCGCTCGGCCATTCCGCCAACAACATGTGGTTACATAAAAGTATACATCCACACAGATTGAACAAGTCAGTTGTTGCACAACATCTGTGTCCTATGCGTCCATTCTGATCTTGGCTTTGCGGCGGACACGAATGAAGCGCGTAAGTGTGCCTCACTGCCGATGAAATCCAGCGAGGCCAGACAAAGTGACGTCGGCGCGAAGCGAGACTAGAAAGAGAAGGTCGCCAGTATACCTGGCTGCCGGAAAGTGCTGTTAGATGGTGTCGACGGAGCAGAACTACGGTGAGTGGAGAATTCCTGACGAGTCGATCCACGTAGCATATTCTTCGCATAGGCTTATTATTTTGCACTTCCGGCATCACTGCAGAACCTTAAAGGAGTTTTCTATTAGGCCTACATCGTTCGGTATAGGTTTTCCGAATTCGACGGAGACCATGCATTCCGAGCACCCCGCTTCTCGCTGCATCTACGACAACTCGTATTCGACAGCTCTCGCTTGTCGTTCATATGACTCTTATCCGATAGCCTCCATGCCGTGTGCTCTCCTGTGTATCGACATCCAAACCACGCCTCGTTCCCGCGCGCAATCAGCGCGATCGCGACCATGTCATTATTACACACTCAGCGTGCAACCCACATCTTAGGTTTGGTTCACCGCACAGGATGACCCGCACCCTTGGACACCCTATTATGCACGCTCCCTATTTGTTTGTGACCTGTAGCGCGATGCCGGTCGGTGCACCCCCCAATTATCGCGCGCCCGACAGAATGTTCGTACCTTTCCATCAGTTGATTTGGATCAATCGTACAACCAACTCGCGGTGATTGACCAGCCAAGACATACTGCGCTCGTACTGACAAGACTCGTAAAGACAAGATCGTACCTCAAAAGATCGGAAACAAAGTCGTTTCCAACTGCTATTGTTCCATCATGCTGGAACCCCGGAGATAGCTCGCTTGACCTGACAACGGTCAGATCTCAATTTGTCTCACACATTGTCTCGGAATACCACGAACAACGGATGATTGGGTTGCAGTATTCGTGCTAGTGCGACTGGTACGTCTTGGTCGGCTCCGAGGGAAATGCTTCTGATTGTCAAGCGCAGACGCCGAGTGGTCACATCTTCCTTGCTCTGTCGTACAAGCTCGACATCGCATGAGCGTTCCAAGGATCGAGTTCTCGAGCCTTGTTCGCAGCTTTGATCCCCTCGCGCTGCCCATCTCTCCGGTTCCCGCTTCATCAAACTAACGGTGATAGCAAAACACCGCGCATTCCAACATCTGGCATCCGGGCTGTGCGACATACGTCAGCCAACGATGCTGGAATCCACGCACCATATCTGTCAATCTCGTAACTGTTATTGTTCTCCAGAGGTGAGCCGCATGCGTCTATCCGAGTTCCGATGGGGTGGCTGCATGTTCCATTGCACTGTCTCCTCATACGTGGTAGTGTGAGAGTGCGCTGGGCACCCTGTGCATTCAATGACTCCGTTACCCCTTCCCGAGGCTGTGTCTGTCTGCTCTATTTCTATACTCGTCAATTGGTCAGCTCGTAGAATCCTGAAGACAGCAAGCCACCTTCCCGGGACATCAAGTCCGTCGCTATTGTTTTCACGTCATTAAATGAGTCCAAAAGATGCTGGAAATATATACGCCGAAGGGCAATAATTATAAGACGGTCAATGCAGGACACGTCAGATAATGAAATGGTATCTATGGTCGAACAGAGCAAATACAGTACCAACTCGAACGAAGAGCGATGGTGAGTAGATAAGAATGTGAGCAGCGTTGCCGCCAGCTCAAATAAGGATCCAAAGATCGAAATGTGTAAGGAGTAGGCTGTATGATAGAGATGCGGGCGAGTGGTACACGAACGCATGAGCGATCCATCCATACATGGCGAGAGAACGAACAACGAAAGCACAGATAGAAGAAGTCTAGGAGACAGCGATGTCTAGAACGAATGTATGTGCTGGGATGGATACACAGCAAATGCAGGTACGTGATATAGCTACAACAAAGGAGGGTCAGTTTTTTTCCGCACGGAGGTAGGTGTGGCCTAAGACATGGCGCCTGGCGTGGAAAGCCGACGCGCCTGGATCGATAAGCGATAATGGGTAAGGCACCTGCAATAAAAAGGTTCAATAAACGTTAAGGTTCCATTCAGCAAGCGTACCGAAGAACGTACCATGCGCAAGGCCCGGGGGTATCTATCAAGCTTCGATTTTCAGGCACGACGAGGGAGCAAGTTGACGACACGTGTCTTCTTCACCTCGAGGCCTGTCTTCGCGAAGTAACGCTCCGACTCGAAGGACCACTTGAGACTTCCCGATATCCAATCTGCGAGGCCTCCCACGTATATCTGTACCTGGCGATCCATCTCAGGGCCCCAGGAAGGCAGGTTCTCGCGTAGGTATTGGAAGCGATCGATGCTTTGTTTGCAAAGTTCTCCCACGAAGTCGACAGCGGACTGCAGGTCCAAACCTTGCTGACTTTGTACCACGATGATCATGTTGTGCGTGTCGCCTTATACAAAAGCCTTATTGTTAGCAAGCAAATTCCTTCAACCGCACTTCAATCAGTACGCCGACGCACCTTTTGACTGCTCCACGTTGTACGAGAAGATGTCCTGTAAGTAGGAGGTAAGGTGGTGTCAGCGCCGAACAGCCCACAGTACTAAATGGTGAGACCGACATTGGACCACTGGAAAAAGGTTAGCAGCTGCCCACTCTCACAAAGACAAAAGACACGAACCGTGACGAGGTCATTTGCGGCTTCTCCAAGCCCTCGTATGATGGGGTGATCCATGACTTCCCACGAGAGGTCGAGCTATACAAGTACGTCAGAAGCATGATCCGGATATCGGTCGGAAGCACCCACGTTGTTGGCATACTCGATCAGCGCCCAACATGGCTTGCAGCCGCTGGTGTCGCGCCGGACTGCGATGTACGACTCGAGGTCCGGGATGGCACCGCTCTCACGGTCCATGGCCTGCTGGGTCACAGCTTGGAAGAACATGTCGAACGTTTCGATGAAACGTTGCTGTGCGCCTGGGGACGCTGTGGCAATGAGGCGCAACCAGTAACTATATGCATGAACTCAGACCATGCGAGACTCGGATGCGAGGGGTGGCGTACTCACTCTCTTGTCATCCTGCCCACTTTGGTATTGGGTTGAGAGGCATATGGATGGTACAGCACATTGAGGACCTGTGCTGCCGTCCCCACAGTACCGCTGTCGTTCATCTCGTCCGAGATGTTGTCGAGGTGGAAAAGGTAGTTCATGAAGTCACAGCATACCCGGAGCTGAGGGTAGCCTGCCAGAGGATAGCACATTGATGTAAGGTAGCCCGCTTTAAGGCCACGAAACGCGTCGCGCTTCTTGTCAGTGAGCTTGCCACCGCATATCAACCATTGGGTAGATTCAGTGTTCGCCTGCTTGTGATGTCTATTGCAGCGGACAGGGATTGTGGAGTGGCCGACGAGGTCGGGGAGGTAGAATTTGGTCGGGGAGGATGACGATGCGGAAGGCATGGTTGAGGAGGACATGAGAGCGAATCAGCTGCTTGAGTGTATAGACGAATATAGATATAGATCAGGAAAGTAGGATGGGCAATGACCAAAGGAGGCGAGTCTAGCCGAAGGCACGGAGGGCAGTCTAGCGGACGCGAGGCTTTTATGAGTGGGAGGGAACATTTGCAACACGTGTGGTGGTGATTGTGCTGGAAAATGTTGCAAAATTCTCCATAGGCTGCGATTCCCGAGCGCGCAAGCGTGACCCTGACGGGGAAATGATGCAGGAGCCCGTCCGAGAAAATGTGCCGCGCAGAGAGGCATGACAAAAGCATTGGCCAGGACCGATTGCGAGTTTCAGATCTCGGCAATCTAGGCCAATGAGCTAGGGAACAAAAGGGTGCAGACTCTGAAGATTCGCTCGAGATCACACTCTATAGTTAATCAAACTTCAGGAAGCACCGCGTGAGCCCCCGCAACGGGTCCGATATTCGAGGACATATTTTGTGCACACTCCGCTAACCCGTCGGTGCTACTGGTTCGCATGGCCACGCGCAATGCGAAACGCAGTGCAATTCAATGCAAGCGATATGTCGTGGGGTTGGACGCAACGTGAAGAGTGTCACTGCAACGTCCGAATGAGGCCAAATGTGCTCCGCGATGGCGGAGGCATTTTCAAGCTCCGCGAAAAGCCCGCCACTGGATCCTGCAACCGACCTATTGTGGCCATCAGCGTTAAGCTTAACCACGCCATGCACATGAGTCCTGCCGAGCAATATCGCGTTAAATGGACGTGCGGCCGTGAGGCGACTGTGCGCGGGGAGGAGTGCAATTGTCTCTTGCTCGGTTCTGGAGGAGCTTGCTGAGCTAACGCCGCGGCTCGGACCGACGGGCGCCCATCGCGCTCAATGGACGTGAGAACCATCCCAGCCAACAATTCAGCCGGCGAAACCGTTCAACCCTGCGAGGTTGCACATGCGAAATTTTGCGCGCGACAGCCCATTTGACACCAGCAGTACATTGAAGATTTCGAGTTCGTGACAACAAGGTCGACGGACCTCAATTTGCGGTGCCTGCATTCGAATGCGTCCGTGTGCAACTATGGGCACGTCCGCCCCCCCGCATATCCTCGGCCCCGAAGGCCTCGAACCGGCGCTCCTGTTACTGAAACTCAACAGTGAAGGGAAGCTGGCCATAGCCACCGACCCGGCTATGTACGTCGACGTTAACTTCGAAGAAAGCCGATTGCCGTCACCAGACGCGCAAGAACTGTCCTTCCGACGGGAAGTGCCAATCGGTGCGATGAGAAGATCCCGAAGAGGGAATCTACGTACGATACTTTGATCTGCACGGCGCAGCGATACCGTCGCTTGTGCTGTTGCTCAGCGGTCATTACCCGATTGTCTTCGTTTCAGATGGGCATTCGCTGGCATCGCGGGCCTTGCCCAGTGTAAAGGATTGCATAGGGCTGTCAGGATGGAACGTCGGGGACAGCTACGGTGAGCGCGACCACGCAGAGCATGCAGAGGCCGCAACAGATGTCATGCCTCCTTAGATGGACAGCTCCGTGGAGCAACTGAGATGGCACCCATTCAGCCGGAGTACTGAGAGCCATACTTGGCTCCGTGTGACGCCAGCATGATACTGTCGTCATAGGTTCCACATGAACACCCCAAAAGCAAGGCACGGCACGGCGGCCTACATCTCAAGACATCAGTAACAGCAAGTACGCAGACAGGCAGTGACCCGCGATGTCAGTGTCCTTCGCTCAGTTTGGCAGGTGAAAAGTATCCTCGATGATCTGTCCAAATCTGTATATAGCAATCAACACAGCAGAGTTGGTGAAATGTTGTTCCGCAAACATCGAAGCGCCAGGACAAGATGAGGAAAGGGCAGAAGCAGATCACGATGAAACCATGGAGTAGGCAAGGAAACCACAAGAGAGACGAACAAGATCCTTCGCGCCCACGATATGTGGATGACGCTATTGCTGATTGATAACAATGCTTACGAGTCTCGGTGCCCGTAGTCCGCTTGTGCTTGATCGGCCATTGGGCGCTGAGCAAGAGACGATGCGTGCTATGCGGTCTCGGTGCCCGCCGAGAAGGTGGCCCGCTGGATCCCGCGACGCTGCGACATGGAAGCCGAGAAAACCAAACGAATATGCTATAATGCCGAAGGCGGTGAGCACAACACCAACGCATTTGGCGTAACGTCGCTTTCAAAGTTACTGGAATTGCCATGCTCGTATTAGGACCGTGCCGGACGGCAGATCAGGCCGACGATCAGATGTCCATGTTGAACGCAAGTCATCTATGTCCGCAAGTCAGACGGTCGGTTTGCAAGCAATACAGTTAGTCAGCATCAACAATGTGCGTCAGCTTTAGGGCAGCCTCACATTGGCAGCCATGCACCACGAACCTTCGCCCAATTTCCGCGTTTCATGGAACCCATTCCTCGGTGAAGAGATGATACCTGAATGACACGGCTTGGAAGCCAATACGCGACGTGTACGAGAAGTCTTTTTGTTTCTGTCATTGGAGACGATCATCGGACGCGCGTTCGTAACTCATTCCAAAGAAGAGCTCCTAGTATCAGCGTGCCTGACGCGTCGTGAAATGTTTCGGTATTTCCTGTGGCCGAGACTCGCACTGCGCAGGACCCAGTCAGGCGGCTGGTGACTCTCGCACGACGGCGTCTACGAAGAAGCAAGTTTTACGCGGCCTGAATTTGTAGTGCAGGGTGAGATCTCGGAATGCCGAAACCGAAGTTAGGGTGCTTGCCGTAGAGTTACTGGGCGCCAGTGGAGTCGGCAGCCCTGTGCTGCGTCCAGCGAGGAATGCATAAACGCGGGGCGAGACTCGCCGTCCCACGCGATACATCTGTAACAGATCATGAAGATGCGAGACCGAACAGACGGCACTCTTGATTGAACTCAACATTCCAATGGTATACAAATTATGCGAAGAACGGACCCGCTCTAGGCATTATTGACAGCGCAGCGTACTGAGTTTCGAACAGCATCATCTTGCGCCTGCTGTATCATTCGTTCCGGAGCCATGGTGCATTGATAGTGGTACGAGCTCGTGACTGCACTACAGCGGTTTAAAACAGGTACGACGGTCAGTCCTGAAGTCCCAGAGGTTGTGAATGGGCACACCACGGTCTGAGACGCAGTGGGGTAATTGGAAGAATGCCCGGATATTTTCCATTTTTACACGATCCCGGTGGCACCTTTGTCTTTGTGAATTATCTCGGAGATGAAGAACAGAGCGACCAGAGATACGGTGGTAACATACCTTGGATTGCTTCACCTACACCTAAGATGTGGATAGTCCGAGCACCGGTCCGCCCCGGCGCGTATCAGAAGAGCACACGCTACGTCCGGGCGCTACAAACGATTACGAGCGGGTCCGATGTCGCCGTCACACATAGACTAGGGAAAGTTAAAACTCTGTTAGTGATAGACCCCAGAATCTGAGCCAATCCAGGGAAATGTATCCGTACTCTGCAGGAGCGCTCGATGATGTGGCCGTGATCGCAGCAATATACCCAGAGAAGAGAGTTCGTCGGCCACAGAGCGGCCTCGCAAAGATCATAAGCCAGTCCAACACACAGTAAGAATAATTTCTCCGTTATGCACGCATCGTTCGAGTGATCCAGGTTAGCGTGAAACGCACGAGAGCTATCCATGATTTAGTTGGCACACGTAAAGCAGAGTCCAGTGAGCAACCAGAAAACAGATGAAACGCGAGGTGTGGAACGCGATAAAGCAGAGGTAGAAGCATGAAATGGAAAATCTTGCCCGCTGACAGTTAAAACTCTTCGGCAAGCTCGACTGCTCGAATGGTAGTATTTTTGTTGTGACTTGTGACTTGGCCCCCGACACGCACAGAACAAGGACCATAAGTGCAGCTACTGCAATCCAGAAAAAACATCTTGTGAGTTTGACGGACGCCTATAGCTAAGCTCAGTAGATTTCGTCGTTGTTGAAAGGAGGACACGGATGCATCCAGGAAAAAAAAAACGCAAAGCGCGCAAGCAGCCACGCTGGAGCACAGCTTCTTTGGCGCCTATCAGGCCGTACCAAATATGCGAGTTCACGTCGAAGGCTTCTTGTCCGATGAACCCGGAGACGCAGGGGGGAGATGTCGTCCGACCTCGCAACACGGGTTGCGGAAGCCAAGAGAGACCGGTTGAACAGGTTTGAGGAAGAACCTGGATCATGTTGAGAACTCGTCAAGTTGGAATATTCAATTACGGTGCGCTCATGATCACACCTCACCATTGTTACACTCTGTGACTCGATACCACAACACATGAGTCTCATCTAACTGAGCGTGTTGACGGTCCTACTAGTCATTGTGGTTCAATAATGCTGCTCACATCTTCATTTAGCATAAATACTACAGGCATCTGAGTCTCCTGAAAGCTGTCTTGAGTCTATCCGTTCCGATAGCGCAGGTTGCCGCTAACCGATACTCAACAGAATTCTTTCCGATCGTTGCTGGAGAGCGGTAGACATCGAGGTTCGGTACGGACCAGGTTCCCTTTTTGAGTCGCAAATTGCAAGCTCATCCATCATTAGGGAGTGTCACGAGCAAAAATCACTATCTATATCCCGCACCTTCAACGTTACGGCTTGATGCATACAGCTCATACTATTCGAGTCTGCGACTATGTCCGAACTACTCTCGGCGCTAGTAGCAGCTCCGAGTCGAATTGGGAGTTGTAAGCGCCCGAGTGGCATGGCAGTCTGCGCGCGGCTTCGTGGCGGTCAAACCGCCTATCAGTCACTGGCCCTGGCGATAGTAGAGAGAGTCACCGTCCTGACAGCTCTGACAGCTTTTCAGTGAGTTTGAACATATATAACACTAGGATAGACAGTCAGCGTAATCAACGAATGGTTTGTACAGTTCTATCCGGCACACCTAATCCGAAGCCGCAATGGAGGATTGTCCTGCAGAGATTTGGGCTCGTATATTCTCTCTGGCATGCACAGATGGTGGTTACACAGGCCAATCACTCTCGCAGGTTTCGAGATACTTCCATCAAACATCGCGGCCCATCCAACTGCAGAGCATATCTCTTTCAGGTGTTGGCCAGATGTACGAGTTCCTCAACGTGCTGCAGAGCAGGCCACGAGAACTGCAGATCGTGCTGCATCTGTTCATTTCTAGCCAGGACCTCCCCAGGAAGAGGCCCTACGTCGACACGGAAAGTCTCAAATCCTTTTCACTTTGGGAGTTGGTCGACCACCTTGTTCACGACCTACACGATTCTGACAATGAACATTACATCAAAGATGTGCTCGAACGCGCTGGATATCTCCAAACCATCGAGAAATCTCGGCTCATTGGCGAACGTAGATCTGCCTTTAGTCGCGTTCTTCTGCATCTCCTGAAAATCGTTGCTCCCCATCTAAAGTCTTTCACGCTTTACTGTGGCACGTATCACCAGCTAGTCCTGCAAAACGTTGATTTACCAGTACTAGCCGAGCTCACCCTGCACAGTGGGCTGTCCGTTAGAACCAATTTTAACGGCATCTCGTCGCAGGTCCGCACATTGCCTTCGTTGACGCATTTACGTATCCTCGGCGACACCGACTGCTCCGATCTGTTCCTGGGACGCGTGCCGTCCTTGACTCATCTGCAATTCACCGGTATCACCCACCTTCCCTTTCGGACACGCGATGCGATATTTGCTTCGATCAAACCTTCGTCAATTTCTACGGAACCGCAGGAAACGACAGCAGGGTTTCCACCCCTCGATCGAGTTATAATGCGTCTCAACAACCTTTCTCGAGGAGGGCTCGCGTGCAGCAGCACTGTGTCAAGCTTTGAGAAAATAGCCCGCACGAACGAGAAGTTTGTGCTGCTGAAGCCTTTCCACGAGAGCAAGTGGGTCCAAGCAGTGGGGTTTATTAGGCCATCACGAGGAACGGAGGATGAGACGTGGTTCAGTTACGGGATTCAGAAAGCCAAGGAAGAGTGGTTAGACAGGATCGCGGGATACGATGGATGTTGGGAAGTTGGTTCAATGGGTGCGAAAACACGGAAAGAGATGGTTTCTCGCCGTCTTCATATGGTGTGAACCATATGTTGGGAATCAGCTTGCAATGTGAAGGAGTGCGATCATGTGGGCTGCAGCAGACCTTATAAACCAGTATATTTTATATGTCGGACTAACGAAACTTCTACACACAGCGATGCTACATTACAGAGGTGTTTCATAGTCCTTCCGTCAATTACGGTACGTGCAGGCGAGAAAGAAAGATACGAGACAGGGTATCTCTATGGAAAGGTTTATCGAGAAGCTCTGATGGGAGAGGGAGAGGATGTCGCTTTGCTCGGCGTCATGAAGGAGGATGAATCGCGCATTACAAGTGAACGCGAAGCAAATTGCGACCCAACTCAGCGTATGAAGAAACTATGAGAGATAGCGAGAGCGCATGCACCTGCGCATGCGAAGAATCCAAGAGCATAGCCGGTCGGTCCATTCTCGACACTCATGGACCACAACTGGAAGTATGAAAACACGTCAATTAAAGAACGAGTGACCCAATAGAACGAGCCTTCACTCACGATGCCACCTAGAATCGGCCCGAAGAACCGTGCAAGGCTGACAATACTCTGCGCTATGCCATTGGCAATTCCGATGGTGTGAGGTGGGGACACTGCAAACGCATTAGATCATGTTTTGCATAACGTGCTCGGAAACGACTCACTGTAATTCAGGAGGACGGAGACTGCAGTGTAACTGAACGTACTCCCACAGAATCTCACTGCGCTGTCATGCTGGTCAGAACATCTCGCAACATATGATTGACCAGACTGATACTTACGTGCTGAGGGCAAGAACTGCACCAGGCAATGGACTCATTAGCGTGATACAGGACGGATGAAAACGGAAATGGCATTACCGGCCATGAGGATAGGGTTCCCGTCCGTGCTTGCACTAGCAAGCGGTCGATACAGGATTACGGATAGGTACGACGGGATGAACAATAGGGATCCAAGGCGGAACATAGCCAAGTGGGAGAATCTACCTCGAGGCGGCCTAAAATGGACATGAATGATCAGTGAAGCAAAGGTAGAAAACACCAGTTACAACTAACCCGATATTGCTGCAGAACCAGACACGTACTCAGCGCCAGCATATTGGACAAGTCAGAAAAAGACACATACGGATACAAGTAGAACTGGTAGGCAATCTGCGCGAGGCACATCAACGCAACTACAATCCTCTCATCAGCACTCAAGACAGGCGGCGAAAGTAGGATAGCGCTCACTCAATTGGGAGAAGTGTCCCGCGTTGAGGTTCAATCCTCCTAGAGGGTACTTGCTGAAATTGGGAGAACGTGTGAATCAGTGACCATAACGCAGACCCGAGTAGTAGACACCGACGAGACAAGATACAGATAGAACACTTGATCGTGTGTCGTAGCGTGAAGCGCCAGTAAGCCGTATTGGATGATGATCATATTCGGCAGCAGCTTGATCAAGGAAGGCTCCTTCTCCGAATCCACAACCTCGTTATCTGTCTGTACTGCAGGGCGGCCCTCCACAATCGGGGCTAACGAGTCGCCGCCGGCCTGTTCATCGAGCTGTGATAGCAGCTGCTGCGCTTCGAGGACTGCGGGAGGCGTGCGCACGCCCACATGTGAAAAAATCGGTGGAATGAAAGAAGACGTCCGGCGATGCAGCATCGGCGTCTGGGGTTCCTCGCCCCCAAGAGAAGGTGAAAGCATGGAGGAACGCTGACGCGCAAAGGACAAGCGGCCGGTTTGTGACAAACGGCGAGGGGAGCCGATGGGAGCGGGTCGTCTGCCGGTAGAGGTACCCGCGGAGAACGAAGGCCGCTTGGCCTGAGACCACACGCTCGTGTATGATTCTGGACGCGAGAACCGATTGTCCCGCAAAGTCGGTGTGGCAGCCCGGGAGCCGAACACGTCCTCCTCCAGTTCTCCAGCTTCCCCAGCCTCCCCGCTCACCGCCTCCTCGTCGATAGCCTCCGCTTCTGTATCAAATTCGCCATCATCTTCGAACGCTTCCTCATTATCGGCGTTCATTGCTGCAGCAACCCACAGGTCGGCAATGTTCGTCACAGCGTTCTCGTTCGCCATCAAGAGACGTTGCGCGAAGTTGCCCGTTGCAGTGCCCATCGATGACTGATGACCATCCGCAGCGCTGCTTCGCCTCCGGCGAATCGATAGAGCCATGCTCGCGCGTGGCGTGGCGCCGTAGGCGCTCGAGAGACGATTCCTGTACGAACCGCTGTACCCGTACGCGGAACTGTTCGCGCGACTCATTTGGGATATCGTTCGCGCTTTGTTGAGATCGCTTCGAGATGGTGTCGACGACAAGGGCAACGGCTGTTCTTGTGGAGGCGACGAAGGACCATCGGCAACAGACGCACGAGATGAGAAGTAGCCTGAGAGTCTGCCTGACAGCTTTCGTCTAAGCGTTCCGTACAGGCTGTGTGATTCGCTCTCTTCGAAAAGCGGAGTTGTGGGCACGGTGTCTTCTTCGGGTATGGTGTCAATCTTCTCCTGCGGCAAATGGATGGCACCTTCGCGTGGGCCGCAGTCTGGGCCTAGAAAGAGACACAGGACAGAGCCTGAGTAGCAGTGGGATCAGCGAGATCCTTATGAAGAACGATAGTGGGCCTGCCTATGAATGTGATCGACGATGCTACGAGACAGGGCAACAGGTATGGATACGTTACAAACAAGGGAATATCATTAAAGGCAGATGGCCACTTTCTTGCGGGCGATTCGACTACGACTTGCATTAGCTACTCTCCGACAGAGGCACGGTGTTTACCAGTCACTCACAAGTCCCACCGACGATGGCACCAGCAACACCTCCAAATCCCCAGCAGAAGCTACGCCGCAGTCAGGTGAGCTCCGTGAAGAATGAACGTGTCGCACTCACCCAAGAATCGCATATGCCCTCCCTTCGTTGCTCTGGTCGGTAATCAACGTCACGCACCCACGCGCGACGCCGATCGCACCGGCGAATATACCCTGCATCAATCGCACGGCAATAGCTTCTTCGATGGATGTACATGTTCCGAAGAGTGAGCATGTTATGGCGCTCCCGAGGAGCGAGATGAACAACACGATACGCTGCCCATGCTTCGCCGCCACCGTCGCCTGTCAAAAATTCGGGCATCAGCCGGTTACTCAGAGAGTGATTCGCAATGCACGACGGTGGATGCGTACCCAGAGAAGCGATGTAAGGAATTGAGTGAGGAAGAACATTGACACTGATGTAGGGACGGACAGCGCATGGTGTTATCAACGATGGTCGGATGATGCACACAGGACGCGAAGTACTTACCCAAGATGCCTGTCCAGTATCCTGCACGAGCTTCGTCGGGGAATTGGCCGAAACCTGATCGATGTCACTCTTACTGAGAAGGTTCGGATACTGTGCACCCGAGATGCGCACCTTGCACCATGAATAATATGAAAGGGGCGGAGACATTGGCAGATAAAAATTCGCCAAGCATAGTCTGCAAGGCGATTAAGCTCGTGAAGGATGGGTAATGGTAGAATCAGCCATCTCACAATTGACAAGACAACCATGGACAGAACGGGTAGTGGAGTACTATATGCCTCTCCTGGTTGTAGAGCGCTCGGGATAGCAGGCCGTTCCTGAGCTGTGGGGCCTCCACTTGCCTCTTCATCCACTGCGCTTCTTCTCCGAGCAAAGAAACTTGGTCGATGAACAGTATCGGAGAAGGAGACGCGTCCCGAGATGCGACGAGCTTGCTGCGAATCACCCAGCCGACCTGGTGGCTGATCGCTCACGTCTACCACAGGCCCCTCAGTCCCAAATGTCCTTCCGGGTGCCATCCTGCTTATGGTGTTCCAGAGGCCAACTGTGTGATACCAGGCAGTTCGAAAGAAGTTGATTTCGAGGACGAACGCAGTCAAGACGGTACTGCTCAGAACCCGAACAGGAAGCTAGCACTTTCGCGGGTATGCAATAGGCCTAGGCAGTAGACTCTACCGGTCTTGTGATCGTGAACGGGTAGAGTGCAGAATTGATCGTAGACGATATCGACGACGACGACGGTGGTGGTGGCACCGAGCAAACCGCGAGCGCTTATCACTCTCGAACTTCGACTTGCATAGCCTCCCATATCCTTGATATCATTTCATCTCAGCAGCCATATACAGCCTTCAGTTAGTAAAAGCTCTCTCGCCAGCCCATTGTTACCAGCGCGGCCTTTCTACCATGCCTTGAATTGCCGGGCACGAATCTCTTAACGCTCAATTAGCAACTCGGACGTACTTGACGTCCTCAAGTATTTATACCGGTTCGTGATGCACGGCAGTCGTACGTGGTTTTCCGTGCAGCGCGAGAGCCTTCTTTTCTAGCATGCCTACCTTGGAGCCGAGTTCGTGAAAGGCCGTCGGACAACAGCTGCAGATTTCGTGTTTTCTTATTCGCCGACTGTTCAAACTTTCAGATTCCTCACATCAGAGACCTTATCTCCTGATTCGCTTCAATTCTGGTCTTTCTGCGCACAATCAGGACGAGAACGTCTATTTCTCTGTTCAAATCGCAATGTTCTGGGTCCTTTGAAGGTTTCGACGTTGGGACCTCGCTCATCAAGACAGTGAATCGGCGACACGACCTTGGACGGTGCACATTGTCTAATCTAGATGGAGGTGCGAACGCATGGCTTAAGGCAGGTCCACGGCTCCTGGTTGCTATCGCCTTTCGGATCTCACTTCGGTCTTTCGAAATGTATGACGCACGTTCTCCGACATATCGGCTGATTCAATGATCGGGAAGCCGACTTCTCAACATTCGAACTATGGTTGAAGCCGACAGAAGATGACGAATGCTCTCAACATAGCCCTTTGGAGCTAGACTGTGAGTGCATGTACGTTCATGCCAAAATATTGGCTCGCTACCTCGATCTGACAGCAAAAACCTCATCCTTGCAGGTGTTTGGAATGGGCGGAGCTAATGGGCCGCATGCGAGTTCGTGCCCCAATCTCATAAGTTTGCACCTCAACAGCTGCGTGCCTGGTCCCACTCGACTTCGATAACCATCCACTCTGGCGTGTTTAATGCCCGCGCGCATACATAGCACCAGACAGGATAGTATTCATATATTCAAATCTGTTCGTCATATTCTTCTCCTCTCCAATTGAAAAGTAGATTTGGATAATGTTTCGGGATTGCAAGCTGCCCAACCCTGTCGTCTTGAGCTGTTACCTAAACACAGGTAGTCTGAGATGCTGTCAGCAAAGCGTCGCAGTCTACGCTATTTAGGAATCATTTAACCGATGGACTTCTTTGACAAAGAAAGGGATCATTGAATCGTACGTTTCATATGCCTCTTCATGACATTCATTTGCGTCCACTAACTAGGTCCATTCTCCAGTACAACATCATCTCGTCGCTCAGGCTACCGCCTTACGAGATCTCATTCACAAAGCCCTCACATTAGAGATCTTGCACAGCTTTTTGATTGACGATGCTATCACAGTCGCCGCAGTCGCACCGTTACGAACGTCCATCTGACCTTAATGACAGTATGATATGCGACAAATCTCACTGATCCCGGTCCGTTTCTCGCTGCGAGTGCGCTTCTCCAGAATAGAAAAAGTTTACAACACGGAGATCAAAGCCATGCACAATCTACTCCTCCAAACGCCTCGCACTTGAGAATTTGGCCTGCCCTGTCTTCTACATTGCGAAAACAGACTTCGTATTACACGGTTCGTACGCTCTGGCGATATTCTCTGGTGAGTGATGATGCAGTTTGCCCTATCCTACCAGTTGCTGATAGGCATGACCTTCAGTTCTCCGTGCGAGCATTCATATATCAGAAGAGAATCATAGCTCTGGGTGAACCCAACCTGAGTTCATTGTATATTGTAGCAGGTTATGTAACAATTTCTCCTCGCAATCGACGAAGGATCAAGCGCCTCATCTTCTCTGAAAATGATAAAGGTTATCACGAGGATATGTACCACAATCTTCCAACATCTAGGCAACGTATTGTACGATATCGAGATATACGGCACCATGTTGAGCTATGAACAATGCACGCCATCGATGTTGAAGACAGCCTGCAGGGTACAGCAGCCGGTGCAGACAACAATGCTCGTATCATGACTGACCAGGCATCGCAGTAGTAATTTTGTCATCTATGCGACCCAGTGGCGATACTCGAACTTCCACCGCTCGCCGCTAGCATTCTTCGGCGTGATCGTAGTGCTCCAGCATCCTTCATCTCCCACGACCCTCTCCAGCCAATGTTGCTTTGCTTGCGCGATGTCGTAATGAGATGGGGCATCGAACTCAGCGATCCCCAGTAAAACGAGTTTGTCGTTGCGCTTTGTCATGGACTGGAGCGTGCAGACTACGTTGTTCTGCACTTGCCAGCCGCGTAAGGCGCTGCAGGGATGAATCATGACACAACTGAGAGGGGGTAGCTCGGATCCGGATTGTCGCTGGATTGCAGAATCTGAGGAGGCCTGACCGGGACTCTGCTCGTGTATGGAGTCGGCTGAAAACGCATTGATCGCAGCACAGACCGCGCTCTGGATGCGAGATGCTAGGTAGGAGACACCGGTCAGGCGCAGGTGGGTGAGGGCAGGCACGCTTCCGAGGAACACCTCGAAGCAGTCAGGGTCGCCAGCCACATGCAGACGCGTGAGCTTCGGCATGGGCTGGACAGAGCGTGAAGGGCCACCAAAGACAGTGGCGATGGGGAACTTGCTGTGCAGCGTGAGCTCAACTAGTGAGGGGAACTGCACATCCTGGAGGACGAGCTGGTGGGAGGTGTCGAGGTAGAGTGTGAGGGTCTGCAGGGTGGGCGCGACTATCCGCAGCAGACGCAGCAGCACGATCCTGAAGGCCGCCCGGCGTTCGGCGAGGATGCTGACCTTGTTCCACGACCGGCGGTGTCCGGCACGCTTGAGCAGCTGTTGGATAAGGTCCTCGTCGCCCGGGCGGTACAGATGATAGATGAGGTGTTTCGAAAGCTCCTCTTGTGGAAGTGAGGCAAGTATCTCCGGATAAGCGTAGGGTCTCTTTCTCGGGATGTCCTGACTGGAAACAAATAGATGCCGTATCATGCAGAGTTCGGACGGCCTCCTGGATAACATCTCGGTGAACTCGTACAGCTGGCCCACCCCAGAGATGGCAATGCTATGTAATTGGGCGAGTTGTGATGTCTGGCGAAAATATCTCGAGACGTGCGAGAGCGAGCGCCCAGTATGACCGCCGTCGGCACAAGCCAAGAAGAATATCCGAGACCAAATCTCAGCAGGACAATTTTCCATTGGCGATACGTTAAGTGCGCGATTGTTACACTGGGTGACAGCATTGACGCTGTGAGATTCACGAAGGGCAATAGAGATACGTAGAGCTTACAGAAAAACCAAGATCTCGATGCAACTTGGATGACCGGAACGTTTCGACGATGTTGTCAGCTGCGCACCTTCTCATTTGATTCTTCTGATGTGGTATATATATCGTTCGGGATTTCCAGAACGGTAGTAAGCAGCAGGCAATCTCGGACCGACCCAAGCCCGATAAAGGCGGTACCACAAAGTTCTACGACCGAGCAGCACGGTCATCACGTTGCAGACTGGGCGTGGCGTAGCTCCGGATGGACATTACCGCAGTCGTACAGCAGAACAGTGAAGTGCATGCGATAAATGTCGGAGATGATACGTCCTGTGGCATTGGGTGGGACGGCAGGAAGTGTTTCAACTTCGTCGAGTAGAGTCGGCACGCTCAGTGACAGGACGGGAGCCTTCCGTGCGACTGAGTCTGAGATTGAGCGGCCGGAAGCATTTAGCGCTTGTCAAGCGCCCATGAAGATCCCAGGCACGGTCGAGCGCCTAACTTGAACTGAGCAATGGAACGTCTTCATTTATGGCGACCACTCACTTTACTCCTTGCATACAGGCTGTGTACTTCCTTTAACTTCTCTGGAAGCAAAAGCCGGTGCCGTTTCCGAGCTCCAACATTCGACAGCCGTCTCCGAACAAACTGTGATGTACACATTGCATGCACTGTTGCTCCAGGATGATGTTCGTCTACCTGCGTAGGCCGCATTCGATGAGTACCAGCTCGTTCATCATGGTCAAATGGGGATCTCTCCAGGTCTGGGCCGTATCTGATAGCTGGGCATTGTCCATGAGGCCTGGCAAATCAAGGTTCGGTAATTCGGGTTCAATGTCCTTGTCGAACGTTGGTCACAAGTCCATGCTCGGCCGTTTCTACCTCCGTGATCTCAGAAACCTATTTGTATGATGAAGTTGCTTCACAGCGTTTGAACTTGGCGGGCACTCGGCGTGATAGGGGGGCTTCCCAATGATGGTTCTACGTGTCACAATGCTAGACGTTGATCCAAGACCTCTATACCCGATGCGATAGGCTACGCGGATATTAACTTCAGAAGCTGTATCATACCGTCAACAATACATTGTGAATCTCAATCATCATTGACGAAACGGAATCTGATGCTCAACGGCTTATCTGAAGTCTCAGTTCTTTCGCTCGATTCGCCTCCCATGTCAGAAATACTGGTGTTATCAGTGAGCACGTGTATCAGAGATATCCGCAGAATGCTGTTAACCTCGAAATCCCTGTCACCTAGCGCAGCATCGTTCTGTTGCTCAGCAGAGCCTCGCTGTTCTATCGCATGACATACTCCTCCGGCAGTTGCTTGGGATTCGCCACGCCAGTGAGAAGTACTATCACGCTCAGAAATCGGCCTAATGTTCAAGGTGGAAGACTGAGAATAGCCCTCGATAGCGATACGAGACAAGAATATAACATCGCCAGGCACTCTGACTCCTGTCATCTTCCTGTTGCAGGCTGTCGTCGGCACATCATGCCATCGAGATCTCCTTTGTGCTAGGTCAAGATCGACTGGGGTGGTTCTGCATCGGGGGAGTCGGCCCCTGTCTTGAAATCCCTTGCCACTGCCACAGCGCCACTAACGATTACTAAGTCATCAGCATAATACCGCTATGGGTTTGCTGCTGCCATACAGCGATAGGTCAACCAGAAAGCACGTAACCTACGCGACGCAATGTTCCGCCTAGCATTCCTTCGATCTTGATACCTTCCCCTCTGCTGAGCACCTGCAACTCCTCGTACGCGCGCTGACAGATGCCAATTATCGTTTCGAAGTCAATAAGGTCCGGAGACATTTGCACCGATTCGCGATATCGAATTCACAATTAGCCATGTGACTCTACGAGAACTTTCGCACTGCTTCAAGAACGGCTCGGAGTCTTCAACGTGGTCGAGGGACGTGGAAGCCCGGAGAGGGCGGATGATGAAATGCACAGCTCAGCCAAGCTCGCGATCTATCATTGCTCTTTGTTCGTTAATGTTACCGTGGCAGCATACATGGGGCGAAGGTTGAACGCACAATCCGCGGATCACCCGGCGCATCTTTGTTGTTGACGTCACAGCCTCTGCTACTAGTAGGTTTTGCAGTGACTCGTAACTAGTGCTCTCCGCGGACTTCCGGCTCATGCCACCCTCATCTGGAACTCGAAGTGTGTGCTACGATATGTAGCTGTCCAGTTGTCTGGTAATGATTTAAGTTGGCTGTCGCTAGCTCGGGGACCAGTGCAACACGTGTGTACGGCGCCTCCGAGGTTGATCATCATATATCAAGTAGGTCTGTGGCGCTCAACTTACGATGGTAGAAAATGGACTACTGAATGCACCAATAGTTTCAGGTCGGCTCTGATGCAGATGGAGCCTGAGGCTCTAGCTGCTCGGTAGCTGGCACAGCATCGTGGGAGATCTGTCCCTCGATAGCTCATCAACTGTCTCTGCAGGTGCATAGAGCCCGTTCCCGCTTTTTCCCTCTTCGTTGTCGCAGTCCTCGTCGTTTTCACTCCTCGCCCAACCTCAGTACAGATTCCTTCATCTGTGCCGAGGAATCAACCACAACTGCTGATTAGTGGCATCCCCCTCCTCATCATGTCACCAGAGGAAACTGCACTTCGGTAGGAGACTCACCATAGTCTACAGCTGGCCACGCTCATGGTGACGCAGTTTTGTGCAGGTCTTCTTGGAATTCGAGAATTATTTCTTTTTTTCGGTGACTGGTACGCTCGTCTCGCTGATCCCATCATATGTTCGCCGGTTTGCCCATACTTCATGCGTTGCAGCACTATGTTGCTACGACTACGTCCTGACATTGGACCGTGAAATCAAATTTATATGGAAGACCGAGCTCTCGTTTGCAACTTCACTTTACTACGCCTTCAGATATTCCGCGCTTTTCAATACAATCATGGTATTACTTACTAGGATTGCATGGCCAAGTTGGCAATCTAATTGGGTGGGTACCTATAGGTATCACGTGCTTCCATGCATGTTATGACTGACTGACTCGCCGCACAGACGTGAGCAGATGTCAATTATTGGTACATCACTGCTTCCGGCTCACGATCTCATCGTTCCCCTTTCAGCTGCGGCGTCGTCTTGCGTGTGCAAATGGTATTAGATATAATTGTTCTGGTCAGTGCTACAAGTATGTTTGTTTTGTGACAGGTACATGAGGAAGAATTTCACAGTTTGGACAGTCTTTGCAGCGTTACGGGTATACGCCATCTTCAGTCGCAACAAATGGATGTTCGGTCTGGTTTTCTTGTCCGGAATAATCAATCCAGCCATCTCCATCGTAAGATGTGTCAAAATACTTGCATTTTATGCTCAGCTAATGTTAATGGCTCTATGCAGTACATTTTCATGTTATCCTTGCCAGGAATTCATGCGGTCATGAGTTTCCAAGCGTGTTCCTTTACCATCGTCGGCAACCGTTCATCCTATGAAAGGTATGTGCCCGAAAGTTTCACAACCGATGTTGACCATTATAACGTGCGCCCAGTTGTGCGTGTGACATTCTGACGAACGTCTGAATGGCATTTCCTAATCTTGTTGCCTACAGGGATGATGGCTGCAAGAGCCGCCTCGCTTGTGTCTGATGGCTTGGTACTGACGTTAACGTGCATGAAAACCGTCCGAATGAGAGACTCGGAATTTATCACATCATTCCTTGGGTCATCCTTGAAGGATATTCTGTTGAGGGACAGTACGTGTCTGCAGATAACGGCCGTTGTATACTGCTAATGCACACCCCTTTGTGTTCCCCCAGCCGTGCTATGCTTTGCGTGCGTAGTAGCATTTGAGAAGCCAATATAAGCTCACGTTGCTGATGCTCAGATTCCTCTGTGTCATCAATGTCATTGGGATTGCGACAGGTCGCTTGCCTGAGGTATCGAACGCGTTTGCCATCTTCATTAAAGTCTTACCTTTTTGCCCAGTTCATCGATATTTGGCAGACTTGGACAGCAATGTGAGTGGCGCCTTGATTATCTTACAAGTATCTCGGACTGAGCACACGCAATATAGCCTCACTTCGGTGTTACTGTCTCGGCTAGCCCTCGACCTCCGCGAGGTCTCCGCGACTGAATTCGATACCGAAGGGACGTTCTATCCCGCGCCGTATGATCCAGATCTTTCTCATGAAGAGGAGGTCGTCGTGGAGACTTCGTTTGGTGAGCTTGATAGCGTAGTGACCGGATTGTCGAGCTTCGCATATAATGTCGCACCACTCAGCACCAAGTGACGGGTTGAGTCAAACAAAAGAGGAAAGCATCAAGTGCAGATTGCATGTTCGTCCTAACAATGTTCGTTCCACCCAAGTACTACTTCAAGAACGAGTTGTCAACATGAATCAGTGATCGAGGGACTCGGGAGAGGGCAGATGACGCACCTGCAATTTATAATATCGTGACTATGGGCAGCTACAATGCCGCCTATAGAGTAAGTAGTACATAAGCTATATATTCTCCCATAGTATAATCGCGACTGCAGACGTCAAACGCACAGCTCGGCCAAACTCACAATCTACTATCATAATCTCCGTTCATTTACGTTACTATGGCATTGGCAGCATACACGGGGCATGGCAGATTGCAAGAATAGCCCGCGGCGAACCACCCAGCGCATCATCTTTGTTGGCGTCACACTGCCTCTGCAACGAGTGACTAGTTCTCTCCGCGAAATTTCGGCTCATGCCACACCAACTCATCCGTAAGTGTGTGCTATGAATTATGGCCTTTTTCTTTTCTGCTGATGATTGAAATTGGCTGTCGCTAGCTCGGGGTTCGACACTTATAGTTCCGCGCTCGTGATAGGCTCCTTTCATGCTAGCTGCATAGATCCCATTGTGAAATAACATTTAGTGTTGAAGGATAGCCGTCGTAGGAGTCCTATACTGTCTGGATTTTAAGCCCCGAAGCCTGCGCAGTCAAATAGTAAATTGCGATCTGTATCATGCCGTATCTGAACGGACAGGTGGGTAGTCGGTGCTACGTTAATAGCCAATGGCTCACCAGCCACGTGTTCATAATTGCCTGGGTCGGGTACGCAGATCCTGGGTTAATGGTAACTCAGCTGTCACGATGTCTCACTCAAACAATCAAACAATGAATCGTTGTTTGATTGTTTGACGCTCTTTCTCAGATGTGCAACACGTATGTAATGTGCCCACGCCGCCCAGGTACCTAACAGGGTGGCTCGTGCTATGTTCCGCAACTCTAATCACACTATGAAGCTATCTCCCATGAGGATCCGGCGGTACCGGCTCTGATGCTGACAGAGCCTGCTCAAGCTGCTCGGTAGCTAAACATCGTGAGAAGTCTGTCCCTTGATAGCTCATCAGCTCTCTCCGCAGGTATATAGTTTAGCTGTACAGCTCTGATCCCCAGAGCTGGCTCCCGCTTGTTCCCTCGTTGTTGTCGAAGTCCTCGTCATTTTCACTCCTCGCTCCACCTCAGTCTAGATTGCTTCAGCTTTCCCGAGGAATCACACACCACTGCTGGCTAGTGACATCTTCCTCTTCTTAAACATGTCACCAGAAGAGGCTGCACTTGTGTATGAGACTCACCATAGTCCATAGCTGGCCACACTGATGACGGTGATGCAGTTTTGTACAGGTATTCCTGGATTTTGAGAATTATTTCTTTTTTTCGGTGACTGGTGCGCTCGTCTTGCTGTTCCTATCATAAATCCGTTGGCTTACCCATACTTGACGCATTGCAGTGCTATGTTGCTACGATTACATCTTGACATTGGACCGTGAAATCAAATTTATATGGAAGGCCGACCTCTCACTTGCAACTTCACTTTTCTATGCCTTCAGATATGCCGCGCTATCCAATACAATCATTGTATTGCTTAGTCGGATGGCATGGCCAAGTTGGCAATCTAATTGGGTGGGTACCTATAGGTATCAGGTGCTTCCATGCATGTTATGACCGACTGACTGGCCCCACAGACGTGAGCAGATGTCAATTGTGGGTACGTCGCTGCTTCCGCTCACGCTTCTCATCGGTTCTCTTTCCAGCTGTGACATCGTCTTGCGGGTGCAAATGGTATTAGATATAATCGTTCTCGTCAGTGCTACAAGTATGTTCATTTTGCGACTGGTACATGAAGAGGGATTTGACAATTTGGACAGTTTTTGCGGCATTACGGGTATATGCCATCTTCAGTCGCAACAAATGGATGTTCGGCTTGGTTCTCTTATCCGGAATGATCAATCCAGCCATCTCCATCGTAAGATGTGTCCAATGCTTAGGCTTTATGCTCCGCTAACGTTAGTGGCTCTATGCAGTATATTTTCGTGTTATCCTTGCCAGAACTTTTTGTGGTCATGCGTTTTCGAGCGTGTACCTTCAACATCGTCGGCAGCTATTCACCCTATGAGAGGTGTGTGCCCGGAGCCTTTATAGTCGATATTGATTATTCTAACGTGCAGTTGCACTTAGTTGTGCGTGTGACATTCTGACGAATGTCTGAATCGCATTTCCTAACCGTGTTCACTACAGTGATGATGGCTGCAAGAGCCGCCTCGCTCGTGTCCGATGGCTTGGTATTATTGTTGACATGCATGAAAACCATTCGGAAGAAAGATCCAGGACTCATCACATCGTCCCTCGGGCCATCCTTGACGGATATATTGTTGAGGGACAGTAAGTGTCTGCAGATATCCACTGTTGTATACTGCTAATGCACATGCCGTTGTGTTTCCCCAGCTGCGATCTGCTTTGCGTACGTAGTAGCATTTGAGAACTTAATGTGGCCTTAACTCGCTGATACTCAGATTCCTCTGTGTCGTCAACGTCATTGGGATTGCAACAGGTCGCTTGCCTGAGGTATCGAACGCGTTTGCCATCTTTATAAAAAAAAACTTAATTTGTTTGCCCAGTTCATCGATATTTGGCAGACTTGGACAGCAATGTGAGTGGCGCCTTGCTGATATTACAAGCATCTCGGACTGAGCACGCGCAATATAGCCTCACTTCGGTGTTACTGTCTCGGCTAGCACTCGATCTTCGCGAGGTCTCCGCAACTGAATTCAATACCGAAGGGACGTCCTCTCAGACGCCGTACGATCTAGGTTTTGCCCATGAAGACGAGGCCACGGAGACCTCTGTGGATGAGCTTGACAGCGCAGTAACCCAACCGTCGAGCTCCGCATAGAATGGCACGCCACTCAGTGCCAAGTGACGGGTTGGGTGAAACGAAAGAGTGAAGCATCAAGTGTAGATTGCATGTATGTCCTAACGATGTTCTTTCCACTCAACTGGCAGAGAACATCAAATCAGCTATTCGACGTGAATTCATGCCACTCGTGGTTTGAAACAACATCATTCGCTGGAGGGAAGCCTTCTTCGCGAATGTTTTGCACGAGAGTCGTGAGAACGCTATGGGCGTCCTATCTATATTGCAAGTAGATCCCCCGCTTAATTCTCGCCAATCAACCAAACCAATCTATCAATCATGTCAATTACGACCCGCAGTAAACGATAGACGACACGAGCCTCTGATCCGGTCCAGAAGAGAAGGTCGAGTGCTTCTTCGACCACGTTGGCTCGCCGGTGAAGTGCCGCTTGCAGGATGCTTTGAGGTTTCGGGCTTAGACCTTCATCCAAGCTTAGAGTCAGACACGTATCCAAATGGCCAACGAGATCACCTACAGCTGGGTCTTACTCCTGGCAGCATGCTCACGTGGACGAGCTACGTCCATCGACACGTCCGGCACTTCATGCGTGAACAGAGTCTAGATGAATTTCAGTAAAAGAAGCCGCAAGGATGATTGAGCGTGAAGAACCTGTTTATTCTTCAAATCTGACAAGAAAGGAGACGGTTCTTGCCTGTATGGCTCTAAAGGGGTGCGCCAACCCGTCTTCGTTTCCGCATTTGTCAGGTGCAGATATTCCTGAGCTCGCGTACACGCTACGAATAAAAGCCTCCTAAGATCCATCAAGTCGATGAGCATCATTCATCAACAAGTCATCCACGTCCGCACCGTTCTTCATCCACATCGCTGGAGAAGGAAGCCGGGAAGCTACCGTTAACAACTACAGCGAAGATCTCAGTGATCGATGATGCATTAACGAGGAAGCTTGTAGAATAATCTCACCAGAAGGCACCATTACAATGGGCCACTCCAGTCCTTTCGCCATGTGGCAAGTCGCAATAGTGACCTTCTAATCATGGGTCGTCAGCTCACGTATATGGCAAGGCATCGATCTCCTAACTTGCTCAACGTCATCGTTTATCTGAGCGTCGGCGTTTGTCGTCAGCATAGTTTCTTGCAGGAATCGACGTAGAGGTATATTTCTTCGCAAATGAATGAGATCAAAGCTTGCGGATACGAAGATGTCGCTCACTCAATGTCTGCATGCCCGGCAGAAGTTACATCACCCGAGATCCACTGAGGTTCACTTGCGAAATTGATCAGTTCTTGCACATTTTGCCACCGGTCTTCCCAATTTTCTTCAGTCTGCTTCAAGTAAGACTGGTATTCAATTGACTCGACGAGTATGTTCAGCAGTTCCGAAGGTGGTGAACCCTAGCAGAAGATTCATTCGATTCTGTCCAACATGTCACTTGTGCTTTCGTACGTACAGCATTCGCCAGCTTGCGTAATTTGCGTATTGTCTCTACAAAAGAAGTAAGTTTCTTCTTCGCCGACGGTTTGACGTCGGGGACAAGATCGTCGTGGATTTGTTCCACAAGCTTCAAAGGCGAGATCTTTATGCGATCGGCATTCAAATAGATTGCAGAAAGGGTCTGAAGGCGAGACACATCACTCGCCATATAAGCAACTTATGATGATGTGATAGTACCTTCTCTCCTATGGACCTGGTTGGTCGATTGATCACACGATTGAATGCTGGTCTAAAGTGATCATTGTCGACCAGTTGAAGATATGCAAGCAAATCCATGATCTGGAGGAATTTGATTGCATTCACAACGTAATACATATCTGACTGGTGTGACGCGTACCTCCGAACGATCAAAAAATCTTGTTCCAGCGAATAAACGATAAGGTATGCCATGTTCGAGTAGGGCAGTTTCCAAGTATCTAGTCAAGCTAGCAGTGCGCACTGAAAACCTCGATGAGTATAGCCCAAGATGACTCTGCGTGGTCTGACATTAGACGTGAAATGGACTCACCGAGAATGGCGACATCTCCGTAGTGCCACTTCCCCCTTGATTCGCCGATGATTCGCCTGATCTCGTTCGCAAGGAACTTCGCTTCCTCATTCCTATCTACGAAAGTTCGGTACAATGGAGTTGCACCACGCTCGTTATTGGAGCGCAAAGTCTTTGAAACTCGATTACAATCTGTCATATCGTAAAGAATAATGGTCCAAACACTGTAGCAGGAACCTCGCACCTTGCTCGATGATCGCCATGCTAGCTTTCAAGATGGCTCCCGTTGACCGATAGTTAACCTCAAGAGCAATTCGTTCCGTATGTGGGAAATCTTCTCGTGGTAATGCGATACAAGGGTGAAGAATGCGATTATAATGCTGTGGAGGTTTCATCAGGATAGACTTAACAGACCTCGCCTCATCCTATTGAAGTTCTCAATTTCAGCAGATCTCCATCCGTAGACTGAGAATCCGGGTTAGCCAGCCCCATTTGTTTTTGAAATATACTTGCGCGACTCACTGGATTGATCCGGGTCTCCTGCAATCGTCAAGCCATTATTCTCTATAGCAAGATGACGAATCAATGTGTATTGCATTGCATCAGTGTCTTGACTGATAATTCAGATCAGTAAGGTTGGTGTACACTACACCTTTTCGCACTCACAACTCGTCGACGAACAGGTGTCGACACCATCGACTCAAGGGATGGGCCTGAGAGAATAGCTTTACTCCCTGTGTTATCAAATCGTCAAAGTCCAGGCTGCTGTTTGTTTTCATCGACGTCTCGTATCGTTCAAATACCTCTCCGATGAGTCTATGTATGTCGCCCAACGATGGCGCAATGCGAACGTCTGAGAAATGATAACGCGTGATGTCGAAGTCGTACTGCAGGAAATCTTCCGCTGTGTGGCCACGACCCTTCATCTTGGACAACATGGATTCGAGGACTTTCACACTCCGTTGAAGCGGTTGGAAATCCTCCTTTGATTTGAGGATATCAGAGATCACTTTCTGCCTACGGGCGGATGAGGCTAACAAGATTGCAAAGCTACCTCAACGTACCTGTCTCCTGCGCCGCAAACTGTGAAATGGCTCGACAATCCGGCGAAATCTGCATACTTTCGCAAGAACACCGTGCAAAGCCCGTGAAAGGTGCCTGTCCTTATTTGACTCGCTTCGTCGCCTACAAGTTCATACAACCTCTCCCGCAACTCTACAGCAGCCTTATTTGTGAATGTGACTGCGCAGATACTCCGAGGAGGTAGGTCGCGATTAAGGATCATATCAGCTATGCGAGCTGTGAGCACTCTTGTTTTGCCGGTTCCCGGACCAGCTAGGATTTGCAACGGAATGTCACACGGGTGGAAAACAGCTGTGTCAATATTTCATGATGCATTAATTCTCATTATAGTAGCACCACCATGGGACTAGGTGAGCTGACGGACCTTGGCGCTGTTCTGCGTTGAGATCTTGCAAGTGATTAATCGCTATTCCGCGCGCCCGTACGCGTGGAAGACGTCTTTGGAGGAAATATTGAGGATACATTCAACTCTACGACTTTCATTCGCGTCCTTGTCGCGGGATCTGAACGGCAAAGAAATCGGGCGGTGAATGGTTCAAGGTCAACCAAGAATTGCTCGCCACACTTGGTCAAGTCGTGTACCAGGCGCCGTGATACACGTGTTGACATCCGAAGTGCACGTCCGGTAGGTCGCGTGGCTCGCGTATTTCACCGAGACACATTGCACGCTAGTGCACGAAGCTATTCTGACAGGATCGTATAGGCTCGCGAGCGTATATGAGCTATGGTCCGGGCGCACTGCAGTCAGCCAAGGATACTGTGCTCGGATTCAGAGACGACTGTTGAGATTTTGAAAGATCATAGAGATTCAGCATCGAACAGTTTGGTCACGGTTCCGCTGTCGTCACACCTCGCCTCGCGTGACCGACGCGTACCGTAACGCGTCGGTTCGCAACAGTGCGCCACGTGTTTCATTTGTGCCCAATTTGGCAACTTTCTCCCTAAGACCTCACAGGCACAGATAGAGGGATATCGTGCGGTGCGGGCGGCAAACATGCTCGACATCGCGCTTGTTGATAACTCGCTGAACGGTTCACAACCACTACTGGTCCTCCAGACGACCTTTAGCTGCCAGACCGCCTGCCATGGCGTGCTCGGCCCATAACGCGTGCCTCCGTCGGTCAATCTCGCAAAGAGCGATGAGCAGCCATTACCTGCAGGGCCTGAACGACGCCCAGCTCAAAGGTTGGTACCTTTAAACGCTCTCGTTCTGCTGGTGAGCCGTTCACATCAACAATGTCTCCTACACTCCAGCCGTCCAACACCCTCCGGATATCCCGCTGCAAATACATGCTGGTCCTGGTACCGGAAAGACGAAGGTTTTGACTTCTAGAGTAGCTTACTTGATCGATCACTATGGTCTGCGACCTGACAGAATTTGCGCTGTAACCTTCACGAGAACGGCCGCCAGGGAGATGTCAGCAAGACTGGTGACCCTTATTGGAGATCGTAGAGCGAGAGAAGTTCGGTTGGGCACTTTCCATAGCGTTGCGGCGAAAGAGCTGAAGAAACACGCAAGCGTTGTTGGATTGAAAAGTGACTTCGAACTCTATAACCCAGCCGATTGGTATGACGCCCATGATTGTTTGCCAGAGGGGCAGCACTGACGTCTGGCAGTACCACTGTAATGAGTCTGCCTGTACAGGTACACGCTCAGGTGCTAGAACGATGCAACGTCAGCCTGGAGGATGGATACTCCATGTTCTACGAGTTGATATCGAAGGCAAAAGGCAAAGGCCTGACAGCAGAGGCTTTTCGTGAACAGGGCATCAGTTTAACGGCGGAGCACTTCCGACTCGAGGATCGTGAAGAATATATGCGCGAGCTTCATAATTCAGCGCATAGCATATTCAAGCAATATGAAACGATCCTGAGGCGTTACAACGCTTTAGATTTCGATGATCTCATCATATATTATGAGCGGTTGCTCGCGGAGAACCCTACTCGGTGTGATCACCTGCTGGTGGACGAGTTGTAGGTGCCTTGATCACCAGAGGGTGCCTCCGAGGCTGAAGAATGCTTAAGTCAGGATACCAGCATACTACAGTACGAAATGACCAGGGGTATACTGCAACAGAGGAAGGCTCTGACAACTGTCGGTGATCCAGATCAATCAAGTAAGTTGCTGGTGTTGCGATTAGTCTTTCGCGGGGATATTCTGAAACTATTTAGTATACGGCTGGAGAGATGCTGAGGTTGGAAACCTCAAGAGAATGCAAACTGGTTTAGTCTGGTTGCTCGCCATCAAGAACTCGCAGTATGCTGACAGGTCTTCCTCCACCAGACTATCCCGATACCGTGCAGATACGGTTGGAGCAGAATTACCGATCGACCGGTAAGATCGTGAAAACTAACATGGTGATCATAGAACAAGGTATGCAGAGCGTGCTTGAGCCCTTATGGATCCCTAACGCCAGCTTAGAGCAAGGTAGAGTGCCTAAAACACTCATATCTACTCATCCTATGGGAATTCAACCTGTTTTATACACCGGAGTGGAGAATTATGATGATCAGGCCGATTTCATTGCTTCTGAAATCCGACGGCTATACGAAGAAGCCGGCGGTCTGCTTCGATGGGAAGACTTCGCAATTCTAGGTATGCCGCCTACATCTGGCTCTGTTAGTGTTGCGCATTCGTTATCGCGAGTCTCACTATATTTTCCCCATTCTCCACATCACACAGTACGGATGAATTATGAGAAAAAGGTGATTCAGCGTGCCCTCGAGGAGGAAGGCATTCCATATAGGAAATCAGACAATTATCACTTCCTTGACCGCCCAGAGGCATGTATAAATCTGATTGTTGCATTTTCGGAGCATCTCATTGACGAAATAAATCAGGTTGTGAACCTCCTTGCATTCCTTGAGCTCATCTTGCCCCCTGAGTCAATTCCCAATCTGCTCCGCGCGATTCCTATCTCGAACAAACAAACCAATATGAATGTATTGCATCTTCCAATTAAGCCTCAATCTGCTGTTACTCTCGTTGACTGACCATCTCTTGTCTTATCATTTCCTGCATAGGTGATTAGGAGTGTCATTTCAAACCCGTCGACATTCGGCCTGTCTGGTCTAGAACTTTTGCAGCGCATCCATGATGGCGAGGTATCTGACGTCGACCACTCCACTCGTCAAGATGTCGGGCCTTTTTTGGAACACATGCAGCTGTTACGTGAGCGAACGGATGCCGTGCGTACAATGGCACTGAATGCGAGATTCTACGCTCTAATGTCCCACAGGGAGATAAGCCATCGGCGTTGATTCTGCGGACGTTGGAGATCACAAACTATGCACAACATCTGGAGAACGAATCATCGAACTGGGAGAGCGCATGGAAGAACGTGCAACAGCTTCTATACACTGCTGCAAAATTTGAGGAACGCTCCAAAGAACAGAATGGGTATGAACGTCTTGACGCTTCGAGGACTGCCTTGACGCGGTGATCTCGCAGGTGCCGTCTGCTTTCAGTCTTTCTCACGCATCTCCGAGTTATCACACGTCTCCGTTCTGTCAGTGATCACGGGTTTGACAATGTAAGTTTGGTCGCGTTCAGATCCAATTCTCAGCATGTTCGTAACAATAACCGCTAGAAAGTCACCGTTACAACCGTCCATGCAGCAAAAGGGCTAGAATGGGCGGCGGTGTTCATCCCATCTGGTACGATGTCACGTTGTGGTCCTCAGAAGATATAAATCATGCAGTATGCGAACGACAGTGGTCGAGAAAACCTATCCTGCTTACTTCTCCAAAGACGTGAACGAGGAGAGGTAACGTGAAGGCTACTGAAGCGAATCATTCCTCCTGTAATCTCACACATTGAAACTGCTAGGAGGCTTTTGTTTGTTGCGAGCACACGCGCCAAGATTCTGCTTTATTTCGTGCATCCAAGAATGCCATCGACGAAAGCTGTCCGCGGTGATGCAGCTGCAAGTTCCGGAACGGAGCTCACCAGGTTCCTTACACCTCTCAAGGACGACGCAGAGGTCCGTGTAATCAATCATCCTAGCAAAAAAAAGCATGTGCTAAGGTTTTGAACAGTCGTATCTGTCAAGTGAATTGCCGAGCTTCACCGAAAAGGACCTCCACATGATATCTGAAGTGCTGGGTAGACCGTTGCCCGACGAGTCTGAGCTGGTACATACGGTGACGGAAACGTACGTCGAGTATCTGATCACTCGCTGAAGTACCTTTGACAGACTCTGCTAATCGAAAAGCATAACAGCCTCAACAGGTCACCGCAAACTTGCTCTTTAGCATTCAAGTGGCCGACATACATCGGTTGATTAGACGGGCCACCTTGCACAATCGATTTGAGCGGGTGAAGGACAGATGCAAATCCAGACATCATCGTTAATTCACTGGTTTGTGATGTTCGCTGGGCATCGATGTCCGCGTCAATCCCGTAATGATGCTTCAAACGTATGCTCAGGCGGGAGGTCGCAATTCGAGACTTCCATGAACTCTATCTTGTTGAATACATCTTTGTTCTGACACGTTGTTCCAGTAGAATAGACTACTCTGCGTGTGATAGAAGGAGATAGAGAGTCGTTCTAATATAAATGCGCACTAGATTACTGTGAACGTAACAAAGGCGCGCGACGTCACGCGTCGTGTTGTCATTCTGAGTCCTCGTTCAACGTTCAGGACGGGCCTACGCAAAGTCAAACCGAAGGCCTTTGTCTCCAGTATCCTGACCCAACAAGTCCTCAGGAGCTTGGTTCACAAATCACTAGCTCGACGGGACTTGTTCCGACCGCATGAGCCCAGCTAGGACACCATCACAAACCGTGAAGTCCGTGTCTGTGTTCATTCAGCACGCCAAACACTCAGCCTGCCCTTCCGACGCACTCATGATGGGCAATCAACAAAGTGAGGAATATGCTGGCTGTTCTGGATGGCCCTCTCAAACATAGTCCATGAACGTGCCAATGAGCTTGAGAGGGTGACATGACAAATCTCCACATTGCCAGAACTGCGTGTGAGTGGCGGTTTTTTGTGCTTGCCATGTTCAAGTTGGTATCATTAATGATTTGAGAAGGTAGCCACAAAGTTCACGCACGCCTCGGCGGCGGTATGTATCGAAATGAAGCCAAATAGACATTTCATATGATTCTGTCAACGCGAAACTGGCCTCCGCTCGCGATGTCGTGGCCGAATTCCTCTGTGGGCAGGTGGCATTACGCGGCGGCAAAAGTGCAGGGCATCGAGACGTCCAACGCATTCGCGCAAAACTCATTTTCACCGGTGATCCTCGTAGCGGCATAGCTTGATTCTCGATTGCTTCGACCCTGGCCGACAATACCGCTACACATAGACCATCCGCTTCGTCAGCGCGATGTCTCCAAAATATTCATTACTGTGCTGCAAGCTTCAAGCGCGCAGCTACAGGCCGACAGACTATCGCTATATTATCATCGCGTTTCAAAATGTCTCCACGCCTTTCATTCAGAGGGGAGGAGGTATCTTACAGATGTTCTGATTAACTGACTGTTTCGATCTTCATATCTAGACAATGTTATCGCATGCAATTATTTTTTTTCGAATTCGCACATAAGTAGAAGCATGGAGGTGATGGTAGAGCTACTACCATGAAATATCAAGCAGCGAATGAACGCTTCCCGAGCAATTAACTATCGAACAAGGCGAATTGTCGTATAAAGTTTAAAGTCGAAGTATTCGGCAACCGGAAGGGCGAGATTTGGCGTGTAAGTAAGCACTATTCTAGTTGTCGGTCGTTTCGCGATCTTTACGAGTCGCCAGCGAGCTGAGCGCAGGGGGAATCCGTGGGGCAGTTGGTCTGAGCGGTGTTTTGAAGGTTCCCGAGCTGGATGTGAGCATCGACATGGTCAGCAAGGAGCGAGGACTCGACGAAAATAACAACTTACGTAGTCCCACGTACATGCGCCGTTAACGTACGCGCACTGGTACCCGGTGAACTGGTTGATCAGCACACCGCTGTCATCGTTGAGGTCAACCGGGCATTCGCAGCCGCTGACAGCGCTGCACGGCGCAGACGTCGGGCAGTTTGTCTGTGCTGTGTTCTGCAAAGCGCCGGTCTACCATCAACCAGAAATGTCAGCTAGGATCCGACTCTATCCGATACCGGAAGGCAGACCTTATCGCTCCAAGTGCAAGCGCCGCCGGGATATGCGCACTGGTATCCCGGGTAGACATTGATCAGTACGCCGCTGCTGTCTCCAGTCAAGTCCGTCGGGCATTCGCAGTCACCGCCACCTCCATAGCACGCGAAGGCGACGCTCTGGCCCGTCAGACGACGATGAAGCTTGTTTACGTTGGGAGAGAAGCCGATAGCCTGCACGACCGCGGCGAAGGCAAGAGCGAGGAATGGGATGAATGCAAGCATCTGGTAACGCGTGTACTGGAGGATGCGACACCGTTGACGAGTGGATGAGGCGACAGTGGTTCTCAGTAGCGAAAGTGGTCCCTTTTATGCAATCCTGGAATGCTACATTAATGTGACGGCGCCCCCGTCTCGCCGGTGCACGGGGTGCAGGACAGGCTGGGTGCTCTCAGTGAAAGGTGTCACCGATGGTGTTAAGTCCGTTGCACCGACGGAGCGCTGGCGCACGTTCACCCGGATGAATGGCCTAAGAGCATAGGACCGCTCCTAGGCACACTCCTCACTCAAGTCAAAACTCAAAAATGATGCTCAGGAACAGAGCACTGCTTCTGTTTCACGCGTGCGAGGTATTTCCGTACACGGGAAAAGGACGTACTCGATTAGTCTCGCTTTGTATGACACATCTTCCACAGCCGCAAAGGGGATTCCATACACACACAATCCGTAAGTCCGCGGCCCGCCTGGAAGATCTTCCTTGGGCGTTCAATAGGAACATAGCCCGTCTTTCTTCCTCTCCTGGTCGTAGCTGTACAGCGGAAGACATCGCCTGTCGATGCTATGAAAGTTGGACTGATGAGACACGGCAGCGTCATTATCGCTCGCTCACCCGCAGTGCCTGTGTCGGAGGCCAGGATAAAACCACGATGGCATCTGCAAATCATACGAGATCAGATACCGGTGCAGTCTGACAGCATATTACCATGCGGCCGTGCCTTTAGAGCGGCCCAGAGCTGATGCCGGCATCATCTCGTCAAGGGCCTTGTCTGCCAGTTGACAAGTCTGACAGGACCGCCGGCCTCACATTGTCATCAATCACAGTACCCATGCCAAGAGCATGTGAAAGCGCCATGCTGATCATGAGCTGCATGTCTATTGGGCCCACTCACCTGCAACGTGAGGGATTGCCATAACGTCTTGCTCACGTAACTCTTTCTTGATGCACATCAGGCATAGGCTCCAATATTTCCATTTCGGTAGCCAAGGATTAGCATGCTGCTATTATCGATCCGGTGGCCTTCGGCTGTACCAGCGAGCCGCGCTTCCAGATGCACCAATGCTGCGCTCATAAGCATAGAATCATCTAGCCTCAAATTGCATTCAGTGCGCCATGGCATCATGGTCCATGGTCCGAAGCTAACGCTCTTGGTACTGAAGGACGACCACGGTCGAGTTAATCCAGGGAGACTAACCAGCGAGCACCATCAGTCAGAGAGTTGTATGTAGGCATGCCCTGGCCGTGTTCCGAATGAGGGCTTGGGTGCGGCGCGACCGCTAGAAGCACACTCGAGAACTACCCGTCAAATTGGTCGTCGAGGGTGGAACGTCAAATGACTCAGCATCTCCTCACAGTGTTTGCCGGAGGAGACGGACGACGACCAGACTAGAACAAACGTTCCCGTAGAGAGCTGTAGAGAGTTCGTGCTCGATCGTGGACCGTAAGTCGGAGAGGCGCGCGCATTGTCACGATCCCGTGACATTCCAGCGCGCTGTTCGAGCCCCGGGCATGCGAACGCTGTCCGTCAGCTACGCTGCCGCATCTGCAAAGACAAGCACTCATGCACAACAAGTCATCTGGCACATGCGAACTTACTCGTAGCGATGATATCTCTCGCTATGCAGGTAACGTATGTCGACTGACAGTATAGGGTCAAGCTGCCGAATGCATACAGGCCCGTCGAGGAATGTTCGAGACGAACTTGAGGTAGTTATGTTATCAATGCACGGTCTCGTTTCGACCAGGCAGGCGATCAGCTTTCAATCCATTTCACTTCAGCGAACTTGAAAGCGCACATACGTGAGTAAAGTTCTTGTCCGTAGTCTCTATCTCTGATGTTGTACAGTCTGAGCTCAATGGCTATTTCCCCGCGCACTAGAGTTTGATATGCTGCAAGTTCCCCCCCCCGATCACACAATGACTCATTCCCGTTCGCTAACGTCTTCCACTTGGGAGTATCAGAAGTGATGATCCTCCAAAGTACTCGAGCATTGAGAGCTGCGAAGTTGGCACCTACAAACTGCCAGTGGTCCGACCGCGCAAAGTCCTTCTGCACAAGGCGCAGTTCCCTTGTATCTTATCGCTTCCATTACTCGATGTTACTGGGGTTCTGAAAATTTATCAGCCGTTGGTCGAATTAACTCCGTTGCTCCGTGTGGACATGCCACTCTGTCACGCGTGCGGTGATGGCTCAGCCTCATCCTTTCCTTCCCGACCCCGAGCGTCGATCACAGTGACATCCAGTGACTCCATCCCATAAATAAATTCGATCTTCTCGCGTTCACGGAACCCGAGCGCCATTGGAAGAGGTTAGGGATAGGATCAAATAATGCCATCAATCTCTCACGTCACGCTACTTCTGTGATTTTTTTGGACAGGTGCTACATAGCCCGTAGGCACCGTGCGAGCTCAGTTGCTGTCCATCGTTGCGGGATGGACCCGAGCGTGAAAGCTACCCCAATTCGGCATCAACATCAAATCACTCGTTGGGCACAGCGGTGTTGGAGACAGGTCTCGAATCAGCGCACCGCTTACATGGCACAAATGGTGCTGATGTCGATACCAAGAAACCCCTGACGATGTCTGGACCATATCCACAGAGCTCATGTATCATGTTTCAGACGGCCTTCTCTGTTTTGAGTTGGCATAACTGTGCATGATGCTCCGTAACCCCCTACACAGCAAATGACCGAGACGGTTGTGGCCGTGACTTTTTTAATGACAACATGGATCTTCGTATCAACTGTAAATATTTGTACAAAATAGTAGCACTGTCCCGGCGGGCAAATCATCGTACGACAGAGGATTTGAACATTGGTATCTGATCATATTTCTGTGGCAATTTAGTCCAGGGCCTGTGTTCTAAGTCCTTTTAGCAAAAGATGAACCACTGAGTGGCCCTGTGAGACAGTGACAAGCAGCGCAGGGGGTCGAAGTCAGACAGCATGAGCGGCTTGCCGATCCGTCTGTAGCCCTTAGCCCGACGCGCAGAGGATTACATGCCTTGTCTACGCCCTGCGAGTCCCAAACAGATCAGGCTGGCGTGATGGAGAATAACGGTCGGAGATACTCACTTCTCTTTGGGACAGGCTTTATCATGCCTTCCGCAGCATATCGTCGTAGTCCCAGGAACCGTTCATGTTCTATGTTATTCAAGAATAGCACGTTCTGTGAGTCGATGTGCCTGAGGCATGAAAGATGTAGACTTGCCTCCAGGGCACATGTCCTTGCCTTCAAGTATTTCAACGCGACCATATGTCTCCTCCCATGGGAAGATTGCCTAGACTTGATTACAAACAGATGTCAGAATGGCGGAAGGGAATTTTTATTGCAGCCGGATGCCGTATCGCCAGCTCGTGATACCACTTGTCGCCATAGCCATAGAAGTGGCCGAACTCGTGGCCTTTCTTCGGAGAACATGTGTGCGAACATGTGCCTATACTTTGTTGTAAGTAACACATTCCACGACGGGATCACAAGGAGGAGAATGCACTTGTCGTCCGGGAGATAGTCATAGCCGACCTGTTCGAAGTTTGTAAGAGACCTTCACAGAGATTGGGATTGTAAAGACGGACCTGTGCGCCACGTGGGAGGTCTACAGAAGCCGTGGAGTTCCGACATGCGGAGAATTTGTTAATGCTTGTTCTCCCCCCTTGCATCCACTCCCACTCCTCATTTGCAGTCCGAAGAGGGCACCAATCGCGAAGTCGGTTGCGCATGCTACAAGCACCATTCATTTCTTCTGCGGTGTTGCGTTCAGTCACAAATGTTAGCTCACCACCCCATGATGGGCGCCAGGACCGAAGCCTGGAATACGTTGAGCTTCCTCCCCGCGGAGATCCGGAAACGCCGTCAAATGCGATGCTCGCCATTACCATCGACTAGGATGCTTCATTCGCAGACGGATCAGCGGCGATGCTCCGTTACTAGCAATAGCTATCAGAATAATTGCTCATAGTAGCTTTACCTGGAGGATCACGTCTTGCTTGTTACACGGACATGCCTTTCATTTCATGAGGACACTCACAAACTGTTTTCCGGGGCTCTCGCTCCCGAAAGCGTAGAACAAGTAGAATTTCATCTAGTGCATGCTCACATTATTGACAAAGCTCTACCGAACGGCAAATGTATGTCTGCGGCACATCATTGGAGCTCACCTGACGGCACACGGTTGTAACCCCATCCGCTACAAACCGTCATCAGCAGGGGCTGGTGCATCGTCATCACTCCAGAGTTCAGAACTTATTGTATATTGTGTTCCTCGCCATGCTGAGGATGACGCGTACAGATTTAGAGCCTCCAAAACCCCGTGTTACGATGCAACGCACCGGGTATACACACCCAGCCATGTATCTGGCCTTTCACCCTAGGTGTTCCTTTGAATGTTCTCGGGTCTAATTGAGCTCTGGTTCAATCGAATTTATGTTTCCTATCCAAGGTGGATTGCCTTCGAAGAGAACAGCCGCTGACAAGCCGATGTCAGTGTCTCCCGGCTCAAATTTGATATACTTGCATGGGGCGACGGAGATCCTTCACGCCAAAACTGTCATACGCTTTGTCTAGTGACATTCTGATTCCAACCAACTTGGAATGAATGATTGATATCTCGATGTACGGGTGTTTAAACTCGGCGGTTCTTATTTTGCTTTTGCTGGAGGATGAGGTGTGGGGAACCTGAGAGAGCGCGCAGTCAAGGGAGGTCACGTTCCGTCACTGTGTGACGTGGCGACGCGTCGACGCGTGACGCAACGCGTTTTTAGATTACACTCCAACTCCAGGAGCGATTTATGCCTGCTCTTACGAGGACACTGAAGCTGCAGGTGGACGCGGTATGAAAGACCACCGGCGCTTGGCCGGCGAATTCGCCTTATGATTGTCATCCTAGCGCTGCTTACTAGGTTTTCTGCTCTGCTCCTGTCCATGCACATGCTGTGAATGTTGTCTGATGCAGTCCGGCATAGATTAGCGTACAAAGAGCTCGATTCTTCTAGATGCGTGCTTGCTTTGGATTTTTGCCAGGACTACTTCGTCAAACCAGGATTCCGCGAGTCCGAGGACGTCTTCCTTCGGTGCACGTATATCCATCGATGAAGCTTTGAAGGCTGTAAACAAAATCGATGTCACAACAACTTTGGGCTTTCAAGCACTGGGTTGGCAGCGCGCATAGTTGCGGCAACACCCGTCCACACTATGACGTTGTCGGGCGCATTGACAGATGGCACGCGGGGAGCGTCACGATCGTCCAGGCATTCGCGAGCTCCTTGTTCAGTTTCACCTAAGTCCCTCTCCCCTCGCTTGCTGGTCGAATACATCCCACCGTCTCTGTGGCTGGGCGGACGATACACATGCGCACGCGAGCCTAGTCGTTGGCTCATTGTGTCCATTGGTGCGTCTGCTCTCGAAATCTTCTTCGATGAATGCTGAAGCGTGATCACAGACTAGCATGTCCCCCGATTCTACCAAAATGACCCTGACCCCTTCCATGGGCCCGAAACGCACTACGAGCAAAGCACGAGGTGCTGCTCCATTGCGCGTGCGCTTCGTCGCATCTGACCTATCCATCCCCTCCACCTCCCTGTCCTCCACGCCGACCTTCCCTTTATCTATTTCATCCTCGACGTCTTCCCGCAATCCATCTCCCTCCGACACGCTGATTGTCGCAGGTGCTCCCAATGGCCACAAACGGCCGTCACGCACCGAGGAGTTGATGCAGGGTTCCGAGAACGCCTATGTCGTTTGGAGCTCGCGGGAGAGCTCATTTGCACCAACAATATGGGTTGCAGAGGATGGGAAGGGTGGGAAAGTGGAAGTGGGTGGAGCAGGTAGGGACGTAGGAACCATGGGAGCATCTGGGAGAGAGGATGTCGAAGAAGTCAGCGCAGGCATCGTTACGGCGAATAATTTGGACGGCATAGCGGATCAATTCTCAGCAGAGAATGTGAAAGCCTCTACGGAGGACCCATCCGTATCGCAAACCGCAGCAGAGACGACGCACGTCTCTCATACAGATGTCCCATCACAGCCAAAGTCGGACGTCGAAGATACCGATGAAGCTGGCTATATGCGCGAAAACGAGCAAGATACCGTCTTGATGGCTGATCCAGACGCTGTCCCTGGTGAATGTTCTACTGGAAGAGCGCCCTTTGTGCCCGTCGCTTCTTCTGGTACCAATAGCTCGAATCGCACCGAATCTCTTCCTTCCATAGACACCAACATAGTCCACGGCGCGTCAGAGCAGGCATCGACAGTCGTGATAGATAGCTCCGCTTCTCCAGTGCCGGTCGCACAGAGGCGATCGAGTGCCCGGCTTCAGAGCAGACGGGACATCAGAGGAAATGAGAGGGACGAGAACGCCGCCCCGGAACCTAGCGATCATCCTCTAGGCACTGGTGTCGATAAAAGAACCATCGGTCGTGACACGCAGAAACAGAAAGCCAGAAGACATGCGAAGGCTAAGTCTGCCCAGAATGTGAAGGGGAGACAGCCGCTCAGTCCGAAACGAGGTCGCGAAGTTCAGGAGGATGCTGCAGCGGAAGCTCAGGAAGAGAACGGCACGGAAGAAGGTGCTCGCAAGAAGAGGGATAAACGACGAAAGATCAATGAAGATACCGAGACCCAAGTGCGATATGATGCGAGTGCCGGAGGCAACCATTCGCGGCCTTCGCAAGCAGAGAATGGCCTACCGAGTACAGATGCCCCCAAAGCTGCTGGCGCTAAGCAAGCTCAAGCAATTGCTGCGAATTGCGCAGTCGACGAGGTGCCATCATCATCCACCAGTCTGTATATCCCTGTGGTGCGTCGATCTCCTTTTTGTTTATTGCTATGGTCATACCAACCCAGCTTTCTCGTCTCAGCCAGATGCCCAGACGTCCGTCCCTTACTTTGCCGTTTCCGTCCCCGAACAGGGACAGAACACCGCAGAGTCGTTCTGGAGACATGAAAGAGAACCGTCGCTGCGAGATGCATCTCTGCGCACGACGCGAGCTCTTAATCCTGTGATAGTTCAATACGCTCGACAGCCCGCGATGCAGGCTTCCGTTCCGTCTGACTTTCAGCCTTTCTCTTTGAGAGGCGGAGGTCTTGCAGTGCCTTCTGCTCCACACAGCGCCATGCCACCAGCGTTACGTGCAGTTGCTCCACCTTCTTTAAACCCAGATATCCATCCCACCTTGCGTTCTGCTGCCACACCTACCCCACACCCTCCAATCGGATATCGTTTCAGACATCCGTATTCGATCCAGCAAGGGACAAATACACCGCCTGTCCCACATTCTGCTAGCGGAAGCCCTTACGTGCTTACTCCGGCACAGTCTCCACAGGCTCCGGAAAGAATTGTGCGTTCAGTCTCGGACATGCGGTACAATCCCATAGCACGTCCCAGGGAGATTGAGCATGCACACATACGCGATGCGCATACAGGGGCTCGTTTCCGAGGCAATATGATTGGCGGACACAGCGGTGCTGAAGTGCTCGCTAGCGTTCGTGGTCAACATGTGTCTCTCGATATGGACTCTGGCCCACCAGGTTTTGAAGCGGGCTCAGCTCCTCTAAAAGCACATTTCCAGCAGAACATCCTTGGTTCTGCTAATTCGGTCATGGGCGACTGGCGTGAAGAACCTCGGCCGGTTGGTAGGTCGCGGTTATATCGCGTGAATGTGCCTGTGGATAATTTGCAGAGCCAAGGTACAGGCGGCGCTGGGCTCATCACGGGGAGTGCAATTGAAATGGCGTGTTCGCCTAGGGAGGTCATGCCTGTACATATGCAGATGCCTCAGCGTGGCGATCCCGGACGGCCAGTGGATACTCCTCCTCTACATGACCGTCGCGCACCAACACCTTCCTCGATGCACGCGCGACCTCACGCCGACAAGGCGGTGCAGCCACGGCCCGCTCCGCTCTCATCTCTTCCCAACTTCAGCTATTCACCTTCTAGTATGGCTTCTGCATTTGTTGCAGGTCCGCTGTCGACCAGGCCGCACAACAGTACTTCTACAGCGCACTGCCTGCCCAGTTTCTCGCCGGTTCCTGGGATGTTTCCTCCCTTTCCTCCACAGCACGCACTACCGATGCAGATGCTGCCGCCGCCGCCATTCGCGATGCCCATGCATATGCCCATGTCCATCTCAGCTTCTGGACCCGTGCCGATGCCTGCAATGAAGCCACCTCATGCATCTCAGATGGCGCCTCCGTTATTTCATCCGCTTTCGGGCATGATGAGAATGAGAACTGCGAGACGTGATGAGGTTGGCGTCGCGCAGCACGAGGCGTGGTCGACGATGTTTGCGCAGACGACGGCTGGTGCGGGGCAGAGACGTCTACAAAGGCGGAAAGGTGTGTTGAAGAAGTATTTGAAGGAGGTGGGAGCTGAAGAGACGGAAGATGACGAGACAGAGGATGAGGCGGAGGGTGTGGATGGGTCGCCCAGAGGGGATGATACTAAAAGTGAGAATGGGGAGGGTGGGGACTGTGCTGGAGGCGCTGAGAATGGAGGAGGGCTGGGAGAAACCGACCGAGAAGGAGGTGGGGGAAGTGGGGAAAGATGTCAGGAAGACCGCGCTGATGATCATGATCAGTCGGATGAAGGTAAGAAGGATGCTGCAAATGGAGAACATGATCCCGGGCAAGACCATTCCAATTCGAACGTAGACTCGGCGGAGAAGACTATGCTCGACGACGAGGCGCGTTCTGAACGAGATGAACGAACACCGAGAGCACCTGCGGTGCTGTGTCCAGGTCCTACGGGTGGTGACTGGAATATGCAAGATCAACAGGGCCAGACGTATGACCACACCGACGATATCATAGAGATCGATCAGTCTGAATGGACGGGCAGGAAGGTGTTCGCGCGGCCAACGCGCATGGTGGAGCAACTCTACCAGTGCCCGCTCTGCCCTCGTAATTTTATGCTGCCGAACGGGCTCGCGATTCATTTGAAGTGGCACTGGGGAAAAACCAAGCTGGATTGGAAGAGAGGTGAGTACTACTCTGCATTCGACTATCCAAGATATTATTTATTGTTATGCTGCAGGTATCAGCAAGAATTCCAAGGTGGTCGCTAGGGCGAGAGAGGAAGCGGAGGCCCGTAGGATGGCGAGGGAGGAGTGGGAAAGACAACAGGCAAAGACTGCTGCTGGACGAGACGTAATAGACGGGGACCGAGCTACCACTGTGGCAGACTTCCCAATGACTCCCCGCATTCCTGTCTCTGCCACATCAGACGCGTTTACCATGCCCGTCATCCCGCTCTCGACGCCCCGCTCGTCCGGTGGCCTCGCCTTCTCGCTGTTCTCGTCGCCTGCGGCGTCAGCTGCGGGTGCGTTCTTCCCGCCGGTCCAGGCGGGCGCGTTTTCGTTCGGGGTCGGAGAGCATCTGCGGGCGCTGTCGCATGGTTCGGTTGCGCAGAGTGCGCAATGTAGTCCGCGATTTGATTGTGGCTGGAGGGAAGAGCACGAACGTGAGCCTTCGTGGAGTGAGAGGTTGTTTGGGACGGTGGACGAGGAAGATGGGGCGGTGTATGAGGAGGTGCGTGTGCCTGTTTCGAATTTGCTCGTTTGGACTATAAGTTTGGTCGACGCTTTGCAGTAGGGTTTCTCGTCGTCGACGCCGCGGTTCATCTGGTCTTAGTGGGGAACAAGTAACATCGAGGTATGTTGCGGTTGAGAAAACGTCCTAGCTAGTTTCTGTTTTTGCCAATGCGTTTTGCAGTCTTACGTGTAGCGGCTATATTGTAGACATCCATCGTGCAAGCTGTACTATAACGTGATGTCAAAAATTCGCATGTTGTCCAGTCTGTCCGGAACCCTCTAAATTCTCATAGAAACAGCCTGAAGCTTCTCCATCGATGGAGCGCATCGAGCGAGCGCCGTCCAGGACGACAGGCCACGAGACAGTACAACGCGCGGTCGGTGTTGTCCTGCCACGGAACAGCGAAAGATTCGAGCTGGATGTTGGACATGTGGCCGCGATGATCATCGCGCAGCGCTCAGCTCTAGACCACGTTGGTTGTAAGCTGCGGATTCTCCGGGTTATCGAGGAACGTTCTACCATATTTCGCCTAGGATTGTTCCGGGGAAGGCAAGGACGCAGCTAGGAACCATCCACCAGAACGTCGGTCATTTGCGCGACGACGTGCCGTGGCAGTAATTTCGATCGTCGATCTTTACTTGGATGCTCGCGGAGACAAATCTGGTCGTACTATAATTGCCTCCCCGAACTTTGCTCTCTCTTGTGCAGCCACTCATCGATGGCCAGGGCGTCTCCACTTCTACGTATAAACCTCTTCGCTCCATCTGCATGTATACTGTCCACATTCCTTTGCCTCCTCTATCATCGCAAACTCACAATATGAACGTCAACGCGAACCGCATCCTTAGCCCCCTCAACGATGCCGCCGATATTGTCGCCGGCACCGACGCATCTTTCTTCATGGACGATGCACTGCCCGTGCACCCCATTCTTTCCAGTAGCATCCAGGACATCGAACGGAGCCTCATCCGCGGCAAGCGCTTTTCTATCGCTGACCTCGTGCGTATACGTCGTCACTGGGGACAACCTTCCCCAACATCTGAGCTTATGTATGTATACAGCCGTCGTTCATTAACGCCATCAAACGTATGGCCGGCGGCGGCGTAAATGACCGCCTCTATCTTGTCAGTAGACGTGCCCTTTGTCCTGCATTCGCGCACAAGCTGATGGTACCGTCCTATTCGCTCATAGCTTGAAAAGGTTATCATCGTCATCGCCCGCTCCTCTGAGGACTCTATCTTTTCCCAGATTCTCGGGAAGGTCCTCATCAACACCTGTGCGTGCTCGTCCGGATTTTCCGCATTCGCTAATCCAATTCCTTGACAGTGTACAAGGACATTCCGCAACCACCCATGAGCTTCCTCATGATCCCTACTATCGCGGTCCCAACCGTCCCGTCTATGCTCAACGCCGTTAATTACGCGTACCGCAGTGCCGATGGCAGCAACTACAATGTGCTTATCCCTGCCCTCGGAATGGCGCGCACGCCCTATGTGCGCTCTGTACCCGGAACCACTCCTATCTCGCCGCAGCAACTACCTGAACCTGGGCTTGTGTTTGACAGGCTACTAAAGAGGGACAAACATGTCGAGCACCCCGGTATGCCATATATAAATTTCGCCGGTGCGGCCGATGCTGACGGGAGCACAGGAGGCATCTCGAGCCTGTTCTTCGCGCTCGCGAACATCATCATCCACAGCCTCTTCCACACGAATCCGCGCAAATGGACGGTCAACGAAGCGAGCAGCTACCTCGACCTGAGTCCGCTCTACGGCAACTCCCAGGAGGAGAGCGAAAAAGTCCGCCGTGAGTGCCGCGCCCACTTCTGCGAATCGTATCGCAGATGTTGATGCTGACAGAACTCTAGGCAAGGACGGCACAGGGTGTCTGTGGGACGATGTGTTTGCCGATGCACGTCTGCTGTTCATGCCTCCCTCAACAGACGCGCTGCTTGTGCTCTTCTGCCGGAACCACAACGTGAGTCCTGACCTCGTGTCTCTGTCTCCACTGCTTGGGTCCTGACCCGCTCCCGCAGTACGTAGCGGAGCAGATCCTCGCGATCAACGACCTTAAAACGTACGCCGACCCCGCCACGCTCAGCAAGGAGACGTGCGCGGCGCAAGACGAGGAGATCTTCCAGCGCGCGCCTAGTTAACACTGCGTACTTTACGCAGGCAAGTGCATGAGGCCGCTTTCCTGAGATGGAATCGGAGCTGACGCATCATGCGTACTAGGTGATCTTGAGCGACTACGTTGGCGCGATTCTCGGCCTGACACGGGTGGGCCTGAATTGGCGGTTGGACCCGCTTCAGGTACGCATACGGTCCGTGAAGTGGTTGCAGAACTGAACTGATATTGGCGCGTCAGGCGATGCGTGAGCTGAACCGCGAGTGGACGCCACGCGGCCACGGGAATGTCGTCTCGGTTGAGTTTAATCTGATGTGCCGCTGGCATGCCACGGTCTCTCAGCCGGACAACGACTGGACGAATGCACTGTTTAAGGACATATTTAAGGAAAGCCCTTTGATCAAGTGCGTGCGCATGTTTCATGTCATACAATCAGGCTGCCTGTGGGTAGGATGGCACTGATATGGTACTTTGCGAGTAGGTCACGGATCAGGACTTCAGGAAGGCGATAGAGGAGTATGTAAAGAGATATCCGAAGGATCTACGCCAGTGGACGCTCAGCGGGTGGGTGCCCGCATAGTGCTCGTCTTCCACCAACGGTAATCCAGTTCTCATTGTATCTCTCGTTCCCCTTCTGCAGCCTCAAACGCGACTCGAGCGGGAGGTACAGCGATGGTGCGGTCTCCTGCCTTTTTCCTGTGTGCTAACGTGATGCTGATACCTGCTGCAATGCGTGAAGCTGATCTTTCAAACATCCTGTACGATGCGACGGAGACGCCCGCGAGCGCGTTCAAGGCGCGGGGGATCCCCGAAGCGCTGCGCGTCGTTGAAATCATTGGCATCCTGGAAGCGCGCCGCTGGGGGACTTGTTCGCTGAACGAATTCAGAAGCTTCATGGGCCTGGCGCGTGAGTCCACGGCTCTCTCCAGCGTTGAAGCAACCGATGTTAATGGATGTTGCGAACGCTTTCCGAACAGCGTACAAGAGTTTCAAGGAGTGGAACCCCGATCCGGAGATCCATGTACGTCTTTCACGGTGTTGTGCGCAGTGCTGGATCAATGCTGATCGGCCGGTGGGTTAGAGAGCGGCAGAGGCACTGTATCAAGACATCGACAAGTTGGAACTCTATGTGAGCGTATCGATTGTTTGCTCGTCTTAGAAGATGTTGAACGTAGTGTGGGCGTATGAAAGGTGGGCATGCAGGCAGAGGAGACAAAGGGTTCGTTGGGTATTGGCCTGTACGCGGGTCTCACGATTTCGCGCGCGGTTCTCGCGGATGCAGTCGCCCTTACGCGCGGAGATCGATTCCTCACTTTTGATCTCACCCGTAAGTCTCTGCCGCTGTACACTTCCGGTGACTCACACGCGCCTACTTCCCACAGCATTCAATTTGACGACATGGGGTTTCGAGGACGTGCAGGTCGACAAGAACGACGGCTCGTTCGGTGGAATTCTGTCGAAGTTGCTGTTCCGAACGCTGCCTGCGTGCTATCCCGCGGGCTCTGCGTATGCGATGTTCCCGCTTATAGTGCCGAAGAAGATGAAGGAATCTGTGGAGAAATGGCAGCAGAGCCCCGTTGACCAGTACTCCTGGACGCGACCGAAGGGTCCAGAGGACAGCACAAATGTTTGATTATACCTGAGCATGGGCCATGTCTTCCGCTATTGCTATCATTCAGAAGTCCCATGTCTTGAGATGTACTATATGCCGAGAGCACTGTGCGTACCAGAGCGATGAGCCGCGTGTGAAATGTCATCTGATACAGCTATCTAGCCAAATACCTCCCCGATGAAGCTTTGAAGCTTGAGCTTGAGCTTGAGGACTTGAGCTTGGACACGCACGCGTACGCGACGCGACGCGGTCACGTGTGCCGTGACGGTAACTTCCCACTTGGTCCGTATCCTTGGATTCGAAGCTCATATTTGTCTGTTTCCAGCTGATGGGAGCTGTCTCTTTTCGCATTCAATCAACATGCACGGTGCTTACATTGTACTATAACAGCCTCAGCGCATCGTGTTTTACGAAGCGGCTCTGGCGCTCCCAACAGATTATGTGGTCTTCATCGCCTCACATCACGCCGGCGGCTAGAGCTTCAATAATACCGATAAATGAGAGGTCGCAGATCTGCTTTGAACACATGTTCTTGTTGCGGTGCTGGGGCAGTTCAATGTGGGCATCCTTGAGCGTTCGTGTGGTCCAATATGGTACGTACATCAGGTGTTCTGTGGAATCAAAGCTGTTCAGGACGCTGAAGGGCTGAGCGACGTGTCGCTTACTGTATGTTCGGATATTATGCTTTTCATCCCCTCCTGAAAGAGCACAGCCTTCCAGATATGCCGTGAGCGTGGATATAAGAACGAAGCAGGTCAACGCCACTTGCCATCATCCATCGTCCCACCAGACGTTCATTCTTGATTCACAAAATCACCAGCAGGAATGAGGTCAGTGGTATCAAAGAATGTACTCTTTGTCTGAACGATCGTTCTAATTATCATCATTTCATTTTTTGCTTTCAACGCATGTAGTGCAGTGGCATTGACAAGCAAGTGTCCATGCGCTCCCAGATAGCTTATGCTGACTAGTCTTGAAGATATCCGAGTGGTCGCTTCTCCAGATGCTCAATCGCACTTTCCCGATGACGCAAATCTCTTCCTTACTGTGCTATCCTCCGCCCAAGCAGGCCATGCCACTACAGAGCGGCTAGAACCGCAACTGCTGTTATTGTGGAGCATGGCAAAGAGCATTGACATGTGAACCGGTATTCTACTCTTACCGAGGGGTAGCTCATGCTCACCGATAATTGTTTTAGTTCCGACTTCCAACGGTCGTTCTACATCTTTGTGATCTCGCTTCATTACTCGGATGGTCATATAGTTCCGCTTGCATTCCACGTATTAGGCCAAGTAGGATGCTCTCCCATGCGCTCGTCATGGACAATTGCAAATGATCTTCCGGTCAGTGACTTGAATATCACGTCGAGCTGGTACATGACCACCTTGCCGAGCAACGACGAGCGCGGCCTGGTCGCTTCAGGATATCTCTCCTGGTCACTAGAGTGCCGCACGTCGCTGCGTTTCCGAGATGCCTTCGCGTCCTCGAACCTCCCAAATGGTACGCCTGCCAGACCGAGCCAATGCAGACAATATTGACGTCTCATTAGATCACCTCGGCTTCTTGACTTCCCAAGTGTTGCGTGGTATCGAGAACGCGATTCCCGCATGGCACCCGGACAAGTCTCGCGTGCTGGACTTGGTCGCCTCCAGAGTTCGAAGCGAGGACGGTGGAGACGATGATGTGAAGCAGCTCGCGTCCATGAGCGGGAACCTCTCCCTCCTTGACCAAACCTATACGCCTTTGCCTCCCTCGTTATTAGTGTGATACGTACTTTGCTGTCCGGTGCAGAGCAGCATCTCTGACTGCAGACAACAGAACAAGAGTCTATATATTTCTCTTTCTGGTTCTTGTTGATGCGGCTGATCGCCCTTCCAAAAAAGTGAAATGTGGGACGTGCGTTCAAGAGGGCGTGATTGCGAGACTGGCGCAACTTACTGAGATATCACCTTTTCGGGTGTGATTGCGCTCTCTCCACAGCCGTATTCATTGCATGCCGCTCAGTCGACGCATGTTGTTCGCAGGCCTCTTCAAAGTTTTGCGCACGCAATATCTTGGCACGTACTCTTGCCTGTTGAGGACCCGAATTTGAGCGAGATAACGTCAATCGCGACAGCCCACACACAGCTCCTGCGTCTGGCCGCCGCGAATCTGGACGTGACACCACGCGTATGTCACGTCACAGATGCGTCGGTGGCGTTGCGCCACTCATCGCGGTTGCACTTTTCTTTGATGAGGCGAGCACAGCATTTGCCCGTTCTTCATCAGCTTCAGGACACAGCAAAATGATCCTTCGCTCTTATAGCGTGTGTGGTCGACTAGATTCGCAATGTTAAAATTCCTGGATCTGCGACGTGTCCCAATCGTTTCTCCTTGTGATACAGCGAGGATCAGAGACCGGCCATCAATAGAGTGCACGCACCTGTCCTCCTGTCTACAGACTCGTGGCCGGAGTAAGTCCAGATAATGAGAAGCCACAGACGTTCTAGACTTCAAAGACACCAAGCGTGCGGAGACAGAAGTATTATCGCACGAGGCAGAAGGTGACTGTACGCCTCGAGTGACCTCAGGTATGTTGTTGCCGCTTGCTGGGGTCAACCGGATGATTGAGTGTATCATGCAAGACGTCAGTCGCAGTGAGAAGCAGCGTCAGAGAAGCCATGGGAAACCAGTGGTCCGTCCATAGCAAGCGAGGGTAGTAAGCGGGACTTGGTATAATTCAGATTTTATAAGCATTCCCATCTGGCTTACTGGCGGCGCCGTTTGTATCGCGAGACCTGAGATGATTAAATTGATGACCCGAAAGAACTGGAGAGGTTTTGCTGCAAGAGAGTTTTAATCATACGATGGAAGAAGCCGGCCAATGCATCAATGGCATGGGTATTGGCAGGAGTAAGGAGGTGCAACTGCATGAGCCGGCCTTTCAATTCCAGCCACCGACCGGGTGTTGCCGAGCGCTTACAACCACTCAGCTTGTGCTGGACAACCGTGCACCGTGATGTCCTCTCGACCGTCTGCGTTGAAACCGACCGTGCCAGGCTCGTAGCAGGTGTCTCCGGGACGAAAAGTTGTCATTTGCTGTATGTCAAGGCCTCCATGTATCCCGTTGGTGCGTTGTGGCCGTGTCTGCCATCGGTGTCTCCAGCGTTCCGTCCGAACCGAGAAATCAGAGACGATCACCTCGCCGCGACGTGCATCCAGTCGGGCTCGGGGATTTTGTCCATTCCAGGCATGTAGAGCGCAGTGCATCGCGCATACATTTTCCGCCCGACGCCCGGACTCGCAGCGTAACCATCTCTGCTCTGCTACAACATATCGCTGGCGCGCACTCCATCATGCCAGAGCGCTATGAAGGCGATGCACGAATCACACACCGTGCGTAACATACCCTGCCACCCCCGGTGTTCTGCGAGAGCGCTATATAGACGCGATGTGGATGAAGCATGAGTACATCGGATACCGCACTCATCCCGCACTCGAAGATGACCACACCTATTCCCTGCCCGCCCTCGCTGCCCTTCCTCGGCCACGTTACTTCTATCGAGAAGGAGGTCCCACTTCGCTCCTTTGCTCTTTTGGCGCGCCAGTACGGTGAAATATACGAGCTGCATCAATTCTGTAAGTGTCGGCGAGGCTGTGTGTTCCTGTATGCTGATTTGACCACAGCGAGGACGCTGATTGTCGTCAGCTCATATGAGCTTCTGAACGAGGTCAGCGATGACAAGCGGTTCTTCAAGGACATCGGAGGAAGCCTAGAGCAAGTTCGCAATGGCGTCGGCGACGGCATCTTCACAGTATGAACTGTTTCATTGCCACAGGCCGAGTGGATCTCGCTGATCTACTTTCAGGCGCGACCCGACGAGGAGAACTGGGGGATCGCTCGTAGGTTTCATGTCCCACAAGCTCCCGATCTGCTGCTCACTCCCGTACCGCAGACCGACTGTTGATGCCCGCGTTCGGCACGACCGCGATTCGCGGCATGTTCGACGACATGATGGACATCGCATCGCAACTCATCATGAAATGGGAACGGTACATCAGCATTGATCGTCGGCCGTTGAGAGATGCTCATCACGCTTTAGGTTCGGCCCCGGAGCGGTGATCAACCCCGCGGAGGACTTCACGCGATTGACGTTTGATACGATCGCACTATGCTCGATGTCTCACAGGTTCGCAGTCCCTGCCTTTTTCGGGTCAAGAGAGATTCACATTCATATATGCAGGTTGAATTCCTTCTACCGGGTCTGTCTGGCACCTGCATGATCTTTGACTATGCAAACGTGCTCATGCATTCATTAGGAAACGAATCACCCCTTCGTCCAAGCAATGGTCGACTTTCTCATAGAATCCGGCCACCGCGCCTTCCGCCCATCCATCGTTACCTCCGTGATGGGCTATAATACCAAGTATGAGCAGGACATCAAGATCATGGCGGATCTGGCCAACGAAAGTACTGTCAATTTTCTCAACTTGTGCGGATCTTCCTCATTAACATTAAATGGTGATCATAGTCATTGCGGATCGCAAGGCGAACCCGGTCGATAGAAACGACTTGCTCAACAAGATGCTGCTTGGTAAGGACCCCAAGACAGGCAAGGGCCTCTCAGACGAGGCCGTCAGGTATAACGTGAGTGCACTTCAAGCCCGGACCTCTGTACCCACTCACGACATGATTCACTTTAGCTGCTCACCTTCCTGATTGCCGGTAACGTCCAATATCTGCCCAATGTGTGCTGCTCGCTGATTCTTATCGTCTACAGGCCATGAGACCACATCATGTACGTTCGCTCTGCATACCAGCAGGATAATTGATCCGATCCTCGTGCAGCGACACTTTCGTTCACGCTGTATTACCTTCTCAAGAACCCCGAAGCCGCGCGCAAGCTGCGCGAGGAGCTCGATGAGGTCCTCGGCGATCAGCCGCCCCAGCTCGGCGATATGAACAAGCTGCCTTACCTCACAGGTGCGCGGTCTCCACATACTTTCCAGGACACTCCGCTGAAGCTCGGTGGGGTCAGCGTGTCTGCGCGAGTCGCTTCGCCTCAACCCGCCAGCGCCGATGCGCACGGTGGACTCAAGCGAGGACACGACGATCGGAGGCGGCAAGTACGCGATCAAGAAGGGACAGACCGTCGTTATCAACTCACCTTTGGCGATGAGGGATCACAAGGTCTGGGGTGACGATGTATGCATGATATCTTGTGTGCTATGGACCGTTGAGACTGACTCTTGCTGCTCAGGCTGAGGAGTTCCGTCCGGAACGCATGTTGGATGGTAAATTCGAGGCACTACCCGTATGTTGTGTCTTCTGCCCCACAACCTCACTTTTACTAACTGCGACTAGCCTAATGCGTGGCAACCCTTTGGCTTCGGTATGCGAGCATGCATTGTACGCATCGTTCCCAATTCGTTCTCTTCCTGTTTAGAGACCCTCCTTTCGTCTAGGGTCGCGCCTTCGCCTGGCAAGAAATGATGCTCGTCATGGCCTACGTCTTCCAGCGGTTCGACCTCGTCATGGACGACCCTTCTTACGAGCTCAAGATAAAGCAGACGCTCACCATCAAGCCCAAGGACCTCCACATTCGCGCAATCCCGCGCACCGCTGCGGTGCCGCTCGCGATGCCCAGCTCATCGCTGCACCGGGCGCGCAGAGGCACAGAGCCAAAGCAGCCGACGCGCGCCGCGGTCCCGGGGACGGGCGTGGAGCCGAGACAGTGGCTGTATGTACTGTACGGTTCGAATACGGGCACGTCGGAGACGTTTGCGCAGAGGGTGGCGAGCGATGCGGCTGCTCATGGTGCGTGTTCTGAAGGCTATATGTGGACGATGACCTGATGGCACGCAGGCTTTTGTACCAAGATGGGTACTTTGGACTCCTTCTGCGAGAAGTTGCCCAGCGACGGGCCGGTTGTGATCATCACCGCTTCATTTGAAGGTGAGAATGACCCTTTGTTTTCGGGGTGCCTATGTTGGACTGCTGCTTATGCAGGCGAGCCGGCCGACAACGCGGCGCACTTCGTGGAGTGGATCAGGAACCTCAAGGGCAAGGAGCTCGCGAACGTGAACTACGCCGTGTTCGGATGCGGCAACCACGACTGGGTCCTGACATATCAGCGGATACCCACACTAATTGACGATACCTTGGAAGAGCGCGGAGGCAGGCGGCTCGTGCCTCGCGGAGCGGGTGACGCAAGCTCGCCGGAATTCTTTGAGGTCTTCGATGAGTGGGAGGCGAAGCTCTGGGAGACGCTGTCTAAGGTGGGTGTATGCGGTGCCTAGGATACGCCCTTTGCACTGACTCGTCCGTGCTCGTTGATAGGAATACAGCGCGACTGCGACACCCCCGTCTGCGGCAGGTGGCTTTGCAGGACTGGAGATCAAAGTGGTAGATGCGGGGACCTTCAGGGCTTCTGTCCTCCGGCAGCCCGATGCTGCTCTGGGAACGGTCATTGAGAACAGGCTGCTTACTGCACCGAGCGCGCCGCCCAAGAGACATATAGGTACGTGCATAGTCGTGCATTGTGGGCGTAATGTTGATCTGTTCGATCAGAATTCGAGCTTCCGGAGGGTATGGCTGCCCGTGCTGGAGACTATCTTGCCATGTATGCGCCATGATTTGCGAGATCGCTGATTTGTAGCTAAGAACTGTTTCCATAGATTGCCCTCCAATCCTCCTCGTGATGTTCACCGAGCGATTGCCCGGTTCGGGCTGTCTGCTGAGCAAGAGGTACGGATCTACTTCGCTTCTATTTGCTTGCAAATTGATTGTTGAGCCCACCATAGGTCCTCTTGTCGTCTGCTGGTCCCACACCGCTACCTGTCGATCGTCCCATCAGCGTGTCTGCGCTGCTCTCAGGCTATGTGGAGCTATCGCAGCCTGCAACGACTCGAGACCTCCGGATTTTAATGACTGCTGAGAAGGCACCCGCTGAAGCACTACAGGAGCTCTTGACGACATACGGCGAGAAGGTCCTCGTCAGGCGGCTCAGCGTGCTCGATATCCTCGAGGACTACCCAGAAATCAAGCTACCATTTGAGACATACCTACAGATGCTGCCCTCCATGCGAGTCCGACAATATTCGATATCCTCGTCGCCGCTTTGGGACGCCCAGCGCGTTTCGCTCACCGTGAGCGTCGTCGACAAACCGTCTATCGCGGGGCGGAAGGAGTCCTTCCTTGGAGTAGCCTCGACATTCCTCGCCGGACTGCGCCCGGGAGACAAAGTGCAAATCGCAGTGCGCGCGTCATCCGCTGCGTTCCACCCGCCGTCAGACCCGACGGTGCCGATGGTGATGTTTGCCGCGGGTTCGGGACTCGCGCCGATGCGCGGATTCTTGCAGGAGCGTGCGATGCAGAAGAAGGCGGGGCGCGAGGTTGCGAGGTCGCTGCTCTTCTTCGGATGCAGGACGCCGAAGGAGGATTATTTATATGCAGATTCGGATCTGAAGGAGTGGACCGAGCTGGGTATCGTGGATGTCAGGCCGGCGTTTTCACGCTTGACGGAGGAGTCTTCCGGGTGCAAATATGTGCAAGAGTGCGTTTCGTCAGGTCGCTGTCTTTGATATGCATTGACATCATTCGCAGCCGAGCGTGGCATGACCGCGCGGAAATTGACGCTGCCTACAAAGCGAACGGGAAGGTGGGTAGCCGGTAGCCTATCATCTATGACGCGGAGATACCACTGACGCATACGTGCGTAGTTCTATACGTGTGGAACTCGCGCTATCGCCCAAGGAATCAAAGAGGTTCTCATCAAGATTATCAAGGAGACACAGAGTGTTGACGATGCGGAAGCCGTGGAGATGTTTTCGCGTGCCATCCAGGGCCGTTATGCCACCGATATTTTCGAATGAGTGCGCCTTCCTTCATGTCCGCGTAGTGTTAAATGCTTGTTCCGCATCTCGCCCAAGCGACATGAAGTCTTACCTATTGTTTCTCATCAGACATCCATACTGTAGAACTGTACCAGAAAGGTCCAGAGTGATCTGTATATAGCAACTAAGCGAAGAGAAATAGCTAACGAGCGCTAATGAGCCTACGTAAATTACCGGTAATGTTCAGTCAAATTCGAACGGGTTATTTAAGGGTGACTTACAGTGGCTGGAAGGTTGAGTTAACGCTTTGAAAAATGTGACGACCCATCTAGAAGGATCCTAACCATAGAAAATGAAACTTTGTCTTAGCTCATTGATAGCGGCCCGGATCCGAATTGCATCGATCCGCGCGGTCTGCGTGAGAGAGAATCAGTACGAAAGACCTACCGGAGTAATGTTTTAGGGGCTGCATTTGACCATGCGATCAATGTCGGCCATGCGATCAATGTCGGTATAACCGACCATGCATCGTACACCTGGTTGCAGATAAACACGCTGCAGCGGGGTTTCACAATTAAATTTTCGAAACACCGAGGTCTCAGAATGGGCACATAACCGAATGGATGGGTTGCGCTTTTGACAGGCGATAAAGGAGACCGACATCACTTGAGCGCCCCATGCTGCAGCCACGACCCCCTGCCCTGCCCATCCCCTCTGCATCCTCCACCTAGCTACTCAACGAACAGATGTTGGAGCCATTCTATGCGCATGCAGATGGTGAATCGGCGTCGAGCTACACGGCATCATCGTCGTCGATGGCTTCGACGTCGGCACGACGCCTTCACAAGCGCCTATCACATCAAGGTTACCAAATGATTGATGGTGCATTCTTCGGCTTTGGCGTGCAAGGTTCAGGCGCTGACCTCTTGTGGTCACCCGCAGAATTATGGAAGGTCACCCAGAATCCGACTGCTATCCAGAGACAAGAGCTGCTCCAGAAAATCAATGCTCTCCCTGGTTGCGATCATTACACAAATAGTGCTCTTCAAACTCTCTTCTCCCGAAGACGAAAGGATGCTGCGGCGCGGGCTGCTCGTTACGGGAGCCTGCCGCAGAAAATAGAGGGCTCTGGTACTGTGAGCAGCAGCGAAGACATACGTATGTTTTTGTTAGCCCCCCTGTTCACACGTACAGTTGATGGATGTGACAACAGTATACCCCTCTTTCAAAAACAGCCCAGGGGTCATCCCCAGCCTACAGGTGCTGTTGAATGAGTTCCCTCTGCCCAATGATGAAATGGTCAGGATATGGGCAAAACGTCTGCGTGTACATTACGAGGACGTGCAAACGTGGATCCAGTTTGAGCGAGCCTCTGCTCCAGTGGTATGTCCATCTGTGCCGGTCGGTGCAATGCACTTATTTCCTATTGGCACTTACAGAGGGAACGGAGTAGCTCCGTAAATGAATCAGCCCGAACACAATTACCCACCCCTGGGTCATCATGCTCTCCGGAGCCCTCCACCCTCTGGCAATTGCCAGCACACATACCGGTTCCTGAGGCCCACCGTGCGCATGCATCGCTGTTCCTCGAGGACCAAGGCAAGTTCCTTGATGTTCCTAAAGATTCCAGTCTCACGATCTCCCAATGCAGATATTGAAGAAGAGCAAAAGCCAAATTTCCTTACCCTTGAGCAACGTCAAGAACTAGCGCAGGACGTCAGAGCCGCCCTCTCAGCACCTCAGCCTCCACCGCCGAAGACAGCCGACGAAGCAAAGAAATGGCTTGACGAGCAGGAGCAGAATATGTCGACTTTTCTACAGAAGATTCGGTTAGGAGACTATGCCCAGTTTGGGCTAGAGCCCTCCTTATTGCCCAAGTGCAGTGAACATGACACCATCTTGACCAGAAGCGATGGGGACATGAAGGTGAGATTGCTCAGCTTGGCAGCCACCGCATATAGCGAATAATGCATTTGCAGATGGATCTGGCATAGTAATTATCTGTAGCCGTACCTTCGTTCTTTCCATATCCCTTCATTTCGTAAGGTTATTGCACGCATTTATTCGTGTTGTACGTCTAGGGTCGAGTGAAAAGCAGATGTAACTGCAATGAAACAGCGATCTCACAGCCTGGTTTTGCCCTCATCTCGGTTCCTATCCTCCGCCCGGCGCAGCAACTTGCGCATCAGTTCTACCCACTCATCCACACCGCCCTCACCAACACCGTGCACCCACTCGTCCGCCTCGCCTCGCCGCTCAAGCTCCCGCCACTCCGCTCTCAGCACTTCCCGCTTGTCATACATCTCGCGTACCCATGCCGGAACGCGATCCTCCACGCCGATCCATGCATGTAGCTCGTTGCGATAGTCGAACTGCTGGTCGTGCGGCTCAAAGGCGTGATAAGCGGCCGCAATCCGAAGCTCGTCCGCACCCACGCGCGCGCGCACCTCCTCGTACCGCGCTATCACGCCGTTTGCTTCTTGCGTCGAGTCGAAACGTTCTGGCTCTGCGAAGATCTTGAGCGCTACACGGACCTGGGCTTCCATTAGCGGAAGAGGCGCGGCGTTTTGGAGCAGCCCCAAGAAGCAGATACGTGATGGAGGAAAGTCCTTCGATATTGGGAAGAGGTGCCGTGCGAGCGGGAAAAGATGGTACGTCGAGTTGTACAGCGTCGATGGAATCGGAGGTACAGGTGGCGGGACCGCGACGCGAAGTAGCGACGGCGGAAAAAACGGCAGGTGGTGCTGGTAGCCTGTCGCAAGAATGCAGTGATCGATGCCCGTCTCCGTCGAGCCGTCCTCGAACACCACCTTTCCTTCGCGAACATCGAGGTATTCGGTGATAAGCCCCCGCCGCTTGAACGTGCCTTCTTCGCTGTCTTCGTGCTCGCTCTTGGTGACGGAGAGGATCACCGCACGCGCCACACCGCGCAGCTCGGCGGAAATGTCCAGCCCGCTCGGCCCGCCGCCAACTACAAGCACGGTGCGGCCCTTGTGCTCTGGGTGGCGATACCATGCGGAGTGCGTCGCCTTGCCCGCCGCGATCCAGGCGTCGACGCCGGGCGTCGTGGGGTAACGCGGCACGCGGTAGTGCGAGCTCGCAACGATGAGCAGGTCATACGCGTGCTCTTCGCCGCTGCTCACGCGGACTCGCCACTTCGCCGCGCTCGCGTCCCAGTCGACGGCGAGCACAGTTGTCTCGAGGCGAATGTGAGGGAAGAGATTAAAGTGAGTGGCAAAGTCTGTGAGGTACTTTTCTACGACAGCTGCATGCGGGAAGAGCGCGGTGGAGGGAGGGAAGGGCAGTGAGTCGTAGCCCAGAATGGGATGTGGGAGGTTCGTGAACAATGAGTCGTACAGGGGCGTGATTGGTGGATCATCCGTGGGTGGGGCAGGAACCCTAGAGATGTGTGCAGTCACGCAAAAGAGAAGGATGGGTAGCGGACGCATACGCACCATATGCCGCCGACTTTTTCTCGCTGCTCGAATGCCGTCGGATGCCATAGTCCCTTTTTGTACTGCGGGCTCTCCAAGATGATCTGCAGTGCGGCCAACCCTCCGGGACCTGCACCTATAATGCAGATATCCTTTTTATCGCTCGAGGCATCCTGTTTCGGTGATTCAATGGCGGCATCTGTGCAGCGGCATGAGCTATGAATCACGATAAGAGCACGGCACTACGTACTCGGAAGGTGAACCATGCTGGTCAGTTTGAAGTATTACTGAGCTCAACGACGACCTGGGCCACCGTCGACTGATGAACACGTTCCTTACGAGCGGCCGGTCAGGAAGATGCGTAAAGATCACGGCTTGTCGCGGTTCTGCTGCACCTTCTATAACGAAAGCTTGATGCAGTCTTCCTCGCCCTCAGGATCATCAGTAACACGCCGCAGATATCGAGCAGAACGACTCACGAGTTCGCCACACATCCGAGCGGACGAAGAACTACACGATCCGACCTATTTGTATCTGAACGAAGCATCCAGACCGACCAAGGCCATGGCGGGTGCATATGTTTGGGAGTAAAGTAGTAGGGCCGGTCCCGGCAGCGCGAGCTACGACGAGCGCGATCACGCGATTCAGGCGAAATTTTCCGTTCGTAGTGTATTAAATATTGTTGAAGAGATGGTAAAGCAGATAATACTGTAATTTTGAGCGCAGAGGCCAACTGACGGAGGAGAGCGCATACAAGAAATACTTAACACGAGCGAGAGCGACACGGAACAGAAAGAGTATGTACTCGTATCCATGGGGCCGCAACTCGCGCTTTCAAAGGGGATACAGTGAAACTTCTGAAGCCCGCGGATGCGGTCACAGGTGCAGTGGCGATGTTTTGCATGGTAGAGATAGCAGGGCGGCGAGGTAAACGTCCACCGAACAAATGCAGCAGATCACTGATAGCAACGGTTGAACGTGAACGTTGAAGCTAGTTTCAGACGGCGATTCTATATACAGTGTGCATTCAACAATGGAAGCAAGAATGCCAGCGTTAACGGAGCGATGACGAGAGATGACGAGCGATCACTGTAGGGCTTGGCGTGATTAATCCGATACGGTTATTGATCGTGGTCAAAGGAATGAGGCAATATGTCGTCTAACTGATGCGAGCGTGAGGGATTCGCCGCGACCAAGTAAATGCAGCCCCGACTCTGCTAGGCTCATCGTTCCAAAACAACCAGCAGAGTACGCTGATATGGAACTGTCTCGGGAATATCTTCTCTATGACTTGTTATTTGCAGGCGGAAGCTGCTCGGATCTCGGCTCTGGCCCTTGTTGCCCTTTGACATCGCGACTTCACAATTCTAGTGTAAAGCCGTAGTCGCTGACCTACCCAAAAGCTACTGTGGCACGTTAGACTGACATGAATATAACACTAGGAAACGAGACTTACGATAGTCTTTGTGACGCTGCCGAGGACCTTGATATAGTGTCATATTGATGCATCGATGATAACAAACTGGACATGAAGCTCATAGGCTGGAGATTGCTCGACTACTATCAATACTTAGATTTGCGCGAGGCGGCAACTTTGACTGCGAGGGTGAGACACGCACCACGTGACCGCGTAATGGACGCGTTTCGCCACCGACGCGGTACGCACCGTCCGTCCCTCGAGCGTTACTCGTGTTCTTTCAATCGACCTCAGACAGTCGAGCAGCACGGAGACGCCTTAAATGTATGAGGATACATATTCAAGGAACATACAGGCTTGTATTGAAGATGTATCGCTGGTCTCGCAGTCAGTGCGTCGTTTGTGATGGTGTTCTGCTAGGCATTCAACCTGACAGTGCGATCCATAGCTCGACAGCAGCCGACCATCCTCAAGGTACATTGCATCAGCGGCCGGTTCTTATCTGTAATCTTTCCTCGGGTGTGCCTCTTCATCTCATCCTCCGCACCAGCGACTGGCTCGTCCACCAGATCGATCAATAGTTCGGCTGTCCCTGTGGTAGGTATGTTTTTCTTAGCCCCCTGCTCATGGATATGCCGAAGTATACCCTTCTTCTCAAAATAGCCCAGGGGTCATCCCCAGCCTACAAGTATTATTGAATGAGTTCCCTCTGCCCAATGATGAGATGGTCAGGATATGGGCAAAACGTCTGCGCATACATCACCAGGACGAGCAGACGTGGATCCAGTTTGAGCGGGCCTCTGCTCCAGTGGTATGTCCCCATTTGTGCCGGTCGGTGCAACGCACTTATTTCCTATTGGCGGGAAAGGAGTAGCTCCATTAATGAACCAGCCCGAACGCAATTATCCACCATGCAGCGCATACACCGATTCCTGACGCCCACCATGCGCATACACCGCTGTTCCTGGAGGACCAAGGCAAATTTCTCTATGTTCCTAAAGATTCCAATCTCACGTCTCACCATGCAGATATTGAAGAGGAGCAAAAGCCAAATTTCCTTACTCTTGAACAACGTCAAGTACTGGCACAGGTCGTCAGAGCCCGCACCCTATGACCCCGGTTAATTTGCCGCGTATGCCTCCCCTTTAGACGCCATACCTACCTAGCACATCTTCGCTCGGTGACCTCTCATGTACCCCCCCTCCTTGCAAACCGCGCCGAGCGCGGTATAGAAATAAATGTACCAAAAAAAGGTCGTCAGAGCCGCCCTCTCAGCACCTCAGCCTCCACCGCCGAAGACAGCCGACGAAGCAAAGAAATGGCTTGACGAGCAGGAGCAGAATATGTCGACTTTTCTACAGAAGATTCGGATAGGAGACTATGCCCAGTTTGGGTTAGAGCCCTCCTTATTGTCCAAGTGCAGTGAACATTATAGTGAATAATGCATTTGCAGATGAATCTGGCGTTGTGATTAGCAGTCTAGGGTCGCGGAAAAGTACATCAAGTGTAGATGTTATTGCAACGAAACAGCCATCTCACAGCCTGGTTTTGCACTCCTCTCGTTTCCTATCCTCCGCCCGGCGCAGCAACTTGCGCATCATCTCTACCCACTCATCCATACCGCCCTCGCCAACACCGTGCACCCACTCGTCCGCCTCACCGAGCCGCTCCAGGTCCCGCCACTCCGCTCTCAGCACGTCCCGCTTGTCATACATCTCGCGCACCCATGCCGGGACGCGATCCTCTTCGCCGATCCATGCATGTAGCTCGTCGCGATAGTCGAACTGCTCTTGCGGCGCGAAGATGTGCCACGTGGCCGCAATGCGGAGCTCGTCCGCACCCACACGCGCGCGCAGCTCCTCGTACCGCGCGATCACGCCGATGGATTCTTGCGTCGAGTCGAAATGTTCTGGCTCTGCGAAAATCTTGAGCGCTGCGCGGACCTGGGCTTCCATAAGCGGAAGAGGCGCGACGCCTTTGAGCAGCCCCAAGAAGCAGATACGTGATGGAGGAAAGTCCTTCGATAGTGGGAAGAGATGCCGTGCGAGCGGGAAAAGGTGGTACGTCGAGTTGTACAGCGTCGGTGGAATCGGAGGCACAGGTGGCGGGACCGCGACACGAAGTAGCGACGGCGGAAAATACGGCTGGTGGTGCTGGTAGCCCGTCGCAACAATGCAGTGATCGATGCCCGTCTCCGTCGAGCCGTCCTCGAACACCACCTTTCCTTCGCCAACATCGAGGTACTCGGTGATGAGCCCGCGCCGCTTGAACGTGCCGTCATCGCTGTCTTCGGGCACGCCATCGGTGACGGAGTGGATCACCACACGCGCCACACCACGCAACTCGGCGGAAATGTCCAGCCCACTCGGCCCGCCGCCGACGACGAGCACGGTGCGGCCCTTGTGCTCTGGGTGGCGATACCATGCGGAGTGCATCGCCTTGCCCGCCGCGATCCACGTGGCGATGCCGGGCGTCGCGGGGTAACGCGGCACGCGGTAGTGCCCGTTTGCAACGATGAGCAGGTCGTACGCGTGCTCTTCGCCGCTGCTCACGCTGACCCGCCACTTCGCGGTGCTCGCATCCCAGTCGATGCCAAGCACAGTAGTCTCGAGGCGGATGTGCGGAAAGAGATTGAAGTGCGTGGCAAAGTCTGCGAGGTACTTTTCTACGGCGACGGCATGCGGGAAGAGCGCGGTGGAGGGAGGGAATGGCAGGGAGTCATAGCACATGATGGGGTGCGGGAGGTTCGTCGTGAGTGAGTCGTACAGAGGCGTGATTGGCGGGTCGTCTTTCGGCGGGGCAGGAACCCTAGAGATGTGTGCAGTCACGCAAAAGAGAAGGATGGGTAGCGGACGCATACGCACCATATACCGCCGACTTTGTCTCGCTCCTCGAATGCCGTCGGATGCCATAGTCCCTCTTTGTACTGCGGACTCTCCATGATGATCTGCAGTGCGGCCAACCCTCCGGGACCTGCACCTATGATGCAGATATCCTTTTTATCGCTCGAGGCATCCTGTTTCAGTGATTCAATGGCGGCATCTGTGCAGCGGCGTCAGTTGTAAGAGAATTGAGTCACGATAAGAGCACGGCACTATGTACTCGGGAGGAGATCCATGCTGGTCAGTTTGAAGTATCACTGAGCTCAACGACGAACTGGGTCCCCTTGACTTGAGCGAAGTAGCGTAAAAGATACCGTTTTCCGGGCGCTGATGCCGGCTGATGAACACGTTCCTAACTTCCTTACGAACGGCCGGTCAGGAAGATACGTAAATATCACGGCTTGTCGCGGCTCTCCTGGTCTTCTACAATGAAAGCTTGATGTGAGCCTGCCTCGCGCTCAGGACCGTCAGCAACATGCGGAGATATCGAGCAGAACGAGTCACGAGCTCGCCACGGACGTGATGGTTGTCGCTGCGAACGAAGAACTACATCGTCCGATTTATCTGTATCTGAACGAAGCATCCAGACCGACCAAGGCCATGGCGAGTGCATATGCATGGTAATAAGTAAGCCCTAGATAATTGATCGTCGCAGTAGAGCATATTGTGTATTGTGGCGGTGGAGGAATGGGGCAATATGGCTAAACCCATGCTTCCCCTCGTCGACCAAGTCAGCGCAGCCCCGAATCTGCACCGACGGCTTTCTTGCGCATTCACGACTAGGCTCATCGAATCCGCTACTGTCCATCTTACATATTCTGCCTCGACATGGATTGGAAACTGCTCGGTCTACTTCTTGATCTCCAACTTGTTTACTGAGCCAGAAGAGCCGCTGCATTCATTTTGCTCCCGCATGGCCATTAGCCGTGCTTCTCCAAGCGAATGCTAAGTTATCCGACTGGATTCATCAATTCCTGTCCGAGCTTTTTATCGTTTTTGATGCTAGACTAATTTGAAAAAGCTCTCGGTGCGCTCGTACCGTCAAGCCCGACACATACGATCGACATAGTACATATATGACAATGTCATATATGGTAGGGCCGGTACCGGCAGCGCCCGCTACGCCCGCTACGACGAGCACATCGTGCGCGGCACGTTTGTGGTCTATCGAATTATGTGACCAGCGAACATATTACGTACACATAGAGTGAAGCGCTATGTAGGTTGGTAGTTGGGGTTAAAGTACGAGGACACGAAATTTATTCACAGTGATGGACAGGGTAATATCGTTGCATAGTAAGAAAATGTAACGGGGCGACGTGTACAACGCTATAGACGTCAGATGAGGTACGCGAACGAGCCCACGTTCATCGATCACTTGGACAAGCATGAATTGCAGCGCGACGATGTCGGACGTCTTCAGGAATTCGCGACGATATTTCCGCAGCGAAGTCTTTGGGAATTACGGTGACACGCGCACATCGAACATGTCGTCGAACGACTCGTCAGCAACAGTGGTGAAAGTGAACAGGTCTGTGATTGGTGAATAACAACAGTGGACAAACGGGGATCGTACCTTTCAGTGATGCACATAGCATATGAGCCATGGCCTTACGGTCGATCGTTCACAGTAGATTGATCGTCAGTTCAGAACTATCTGGTCGGGATGGTGGGAGAGTGTAGAAAATGATACCAACGACAACGATCTTAAGAGGGGAACTGTGTCACGGTGCATTGAATCCTGTGCCCTAAGGCAAGGAAATGGCAGCAAGGTGCTTGCCAGCGTCCAGTGACCTGCACAAAAAAGGGGTTTGCCCAGGAAGGGTCAAACCAGGCATGCAGTGACATGCAGCCTAAAAAAGGGGCTCAAAGGGCCCTTAGCCTTATGCTCACAACAAGGGGTGAATTGGCTTGTTAGGCCGCATATAATAGGTGGATGACTCTAAGATCTAATAAAGAAGCTGTGTGCTACCAGCAGCAGGCACAGGCTTGACACTATGCAGTGAGGACCTAGTGGGCAAGGCTACAAGACTCCCAATGAAGG